GCTGAGAATCATGGGAGTTGTAGTTCAGCAACATCTGGAGGGCCAGAGTTTGGGGAAGCCTGTTCTAAAGCATCATGGGAGATGTACTTCTACAACATCTGGGGATCTACCTTTTTGGCACCCCTGCCACACTTTGCACATGCCACACTTTGAATGCCAATGAGAAAACATACGACTATAATGAACAGACAGAAAGGATATGAGGCTGGATTCTTCATCGCTCTATAAAATATATACAACCAGTAAAAACTGCCAAGGCATTTAAATAAATCAAGCTGAAACTTTAAGGCATTTGGTATTTGTTTTGTGATCTTTGCATTTACTATTCTTTAAACAAATCATATGACATGCACTTTGATTTTTTTTTTCACACCTTTTTACTTTACAGATTCTACATTAAACTTTCCAGCAAGCACAACATTATAAACACTGTGGGCATTTTTCTCTGCAAAGACAATTTACCCAGACCATTATATAAGACAAATGACCATAATACCAACCTTAGCACACGTTTACCAACCCAACACTATCTCTTAATAATTTTACATAAAGTGGAAACTACCATAAATCCTTGAATATTGTTCTGTACAATATAAGCCCCACATATAACTAATACAATCACATAACCAAATTGGTCAAATCAATAAGGAAAGAATTGGATTAATTCCAGCAGATGGAATGAGAAAAAGTAAAAAAAAAAAAACACATTATAAATATTATCACTTGGAATCTGGAAATTCTGCAGATAAATGTACTGTGACAGGGTTTGTTATTCACCCAGTAGCAGAATAGTTAAAGTGAAGCAGTATACTGTATTCAGTGATAACAGATCCTTAATCATCTGTCAGGAAAGCCACAATGTTACAGTTAATGAGATGTGACTGGACAGCAGGTTGTATATCTGACCTCCAAACATCTGTCATGCAGTTAGGGTGGAGATCACAGCTGCTATTACAAGAAAATGGATTACCTGAGTCAGTGTGATGCAGATAACTGTGTGTGCTGTGCTCAAGGCAGCCACAGGTCCCTGTGTTTAAATGCAAGGGTTAAGGAGGTCCCACATCACAGTGTCACATCTGTGAATTGTGTAATGCAATACAAAAAAACCAAAAAACACTGACATTAACAATGTAAGACAGCCTTCTCACGCACACAGCCAATAGCAATACACCTTTCTATACTTGTAAAGCCATGAAGCTATGATACTTCAGCTCCAATTGGTTTGCACTGTCTGCTGCTTGGATTGGATTGTATTAGCAGTGAGAAAGGATGGGGAGAGCACAGCCCCATGCCCTGTTATAGTATGTCAGTGCCCATGTAACCCATGCATGTGCCAAGTGTCCTGGAGTTGCAGGGTCAGAGTACCAATATCATTCCTTTACAGGTCCACTGACTGGCTGCAAATCTGTTAGTTTGTTTCACCAACAGTATGCTACTGTCTGTTCTATTTAACTCCATCAGTTCTGGTTTTCACTTGATTTTCTTAGCCTCCAAAATGTGTTAGCAGCTGTGGGAAGTAAAATAAACCAGTATCAGTTTAAATAAAAAAAAATTAAAAAAAATTTAGTGTAAAAAGAATAAGTTATCTCCATCTCAGGGCAATCAATATGACCACGTTATTGTCACATATTTGTACAAATAATTAGCTAACTAAAAGTTAGCAAATGGTTATTTTTTTAAAAAACAAAAAATAAATTTCACTAGTTTCTATCATTCATAGCATGAGAAAATGACCCACAACATGGAAGTGCAATAGGTAAGTGCTATTTTTTTTCTTGTTACCTTGGTAAATATTGCAGTACTTCCAGGGAAGTGACAGCTCTCATTTAATATTTCTAGTTTTTTTTTTTTTTTTTTATATTTACTTTATATTTTAAATATACATACAGAAACACAATATCCAATATTTGGTAGAAAAAGTGTTCAATATATGTTAATTCCATATTCAGAAACATTCAAAGTCCATTATCACCGTATCAAAAAAGCTTGTTGCATGTTCATAAAGATAAACCACAAGTACAGACATAAAACGTACAACACTTAACAAGGTGGCTGAGCAAAATTTTTAAATTTGCCCTTTACAAAAGACGGAGTGGTTTTCCATAAGAGGTCTGGGAGAGAGAATCTAGTCTTGTGTCTTAGAATTTAACAAATCACAAAAATACACCCATTCTTATCTTGAAAAGGGAGTACAAAGCTTAATCACTTGTATTTGTCTGTAATGTTGTTCCATTTGGTTTAACCATAAATTCAGTTTATCATATGAAACCTTATTATACCTCTTTCTATTTTAGTTGAGATTTAAGCTGTTCCTTTACTAAAGACCAGATTGTAGTATTAAATGATTTCAACATTTCCTAGTTTTATATGTTTGAGCTCACAGATAGCAGATTTAAGGTAAACTGTGGCAGAAATGACAAATTATGTAAATAGTGTAAAAAAAATAGAATGTAAAAAAAAGTTTCTCACCTGTAAAATTTCCTTTAAAGCACTCTTTAGAACAAGCGCTGGATGAAAGTAAGTAAAGCCTTGTTTTAAAATGTTTTCAGGGCTTCTTAATGGGGCACCTAAAGAATAATACCCAGTAGGGCATTGTTCAAACAGGAATCACAAGTGTTAGAGCAAACCTTTAAGGTTATATTACCAAACAGACACAGATTCATATGCATACACGCACGTAATAACAGACACATACTGTACACACACATTCACACACATGTAATCACAGACATATTCATACACTTAATGTTTTTTGTGTTGTGGTATGCCTGGGAGGACAGGGGTGCTGCTGCTATTTTGATACAGCTATGCAGAAAGAGCCAAGTAAGTACATAGCTCCCTCACTGCTTGTCAGCCCACCCACCAGAGTATTTGGGCAGAGTAGACACCTGCGGAGGGTAGTGGCGGCTGACTGGGCCACCTTAGGCTTGCACTAGCCATACTCTGTGTTGAATGACCAATTTGTTTACGAGGGTGTGGGCCTTCTGACCCCTATTTTAAAGGGTCTGCCTGCAGCTACAGTTTAGCTCCCTGTTAATAGTAAAAAATAGTAAAAAAAAGGGAATTGGGGGACATCCAGAACATGCATTTCTCAGCATTTCTCTGTACAAAATACAGATTACGGAACAGCGCACACACAAAAATAGTTTTACAGGAATATTTTACAGCTACCTTAGCAAACAATGATGGGGATTTAATTCATATTATGTTGAGTCCACCACTACGCCACAGTACCTCAATATCGGTGGGTCCTACACAAATTCCAATGTGGGAGACAAATAAATTGAGCTAAAAGAAACTAAAGTGTGTTTAATGTGTTGTAAGAGCGTTGTGAATACAGTGGGACCCCGGTTTACAAACGCTTCAGTTAACATAATTTTCGGTTTACAAATGAAAATCCATTGAAAATAATGCCTCGGTTTACAAACTTTTTTCGCAATACAATGCAAGTTTCCCTAGGATGCACTGCACCTGGGAGGTTTATAGCACTGCCCCCTGCATGCTGTAGCCTGTGGGTAGCACGTAGCGTTGAGTGTGGAGGTGTTGGAGCGGCTTTTGTATCGCGTTTTGGAGCCATTCTGGAAATAGTTTTCAGTTGTTTTGGGACTTTTTGGTGCATTTCTCAAGCTGTGGAAAGGTAGGGAGCTGAGCTTCGTCGTTTGTGAAATGGAAAAATCAATCAATAAATTGATTATTTCTTTGTGTATCTGCCCCTGGCCAAATTAATGAAACAATGCGTGCACGCTCCCTGAAGTAATTCACACCAGACACAGGTTCCAGGTTGTTGAATAACTTGAGGAATGTTTATTCAGAGGGGACGGCAAGTCCCTTTTAAAGCAAAATTACATCATAAGCATTGTCAGAGATAACATGGAATAATACATCAATAATTGGTTAAGTGTCTTCTTAATGATCTGCCTACTAAGGGTGATGTCACTGGAACCATGAGGGTCTCCCACGGATTCCAGCGCCATCTTGTTGCACGAGGTAGTTAGTCGGTGTTATAGGGAGGGAGGGGTTAGAAGCTTCTAGCAGCCATTTTGTCTAAACATGCGTGTATAGCTTACATACTGATTTTAGTGAGATGAGTAAATAGACATTTTACTAACTAGAAAATATATCAATACCTTATGCCTTTTATTGTGTGTTCTGCATTGTGGGTTAGTTTCCATGCCAGCTCATTTTTACTTTTTTCTGACCTCCAGAACGGATTAATTGGTTTTCATTGCATTCCTATGGGAAACTGCGTTTCGGTTTACACATTTTTCGCAATAAGAAAACGTCCCGGAGAACGCATTAAATTCGTAAACCGAGGTCCCACTGTATATTTACTACAAAACTGAATGCGGTAAAAAAATACAGTGTAAAAACTAAACAATTAAAGTGATAGTGCTCTTACAACAGATTAATAGCGCAAGTAGCTATAATGATGCACTCTTGATGAGTTTGGGACTTGTCTCAAAGTTGTTCTACTCAGTGCGTATCATGTTGGTTGTAAACATGAAGCTCTAATTTGTGTAACCAACACTTGGTATTTAAAATGCTGGCCTGCTTTATTAACTTCAATATTTGACTCTTTTTTTTGTACTAAATATATTGACAACCACAATGAAAAAATACATATACAAATCAGGAGTTTTGCAAAAAAAAATTTTTTACAACTGTTCTACTAAACTAACAAGTTTTTTATTTTTTTTAATTTAATTTTCACAACTCATCAAAAAATGCAGTTTAGTAACTGGACATTGCACACTATCACTTGACTATAAACAAAAGAGACACAAAACAGGAGTTCTTATAAACCTCCTAAACCATGTCATGCAGTACTCCGGAAAAATGGCCGCCACAGTCCCACATATTGTCTCACTTAGTGTATCGGTGTGTAGCGCTCTAAACTACCAGCTGATTTCATGTAAGCCAATAGCGACGCGTCTTTCACTTTCTTGTCTTTGAGCCGAGAATTCCGATTGGTTGTTGTTTTTTTTTTTTTTTTTTGTGGGCGCGTCCTACGCTGCTGACAGAAGAAGGAAGCGTGCCTCTTGCATTGTCTCCATTCTGTGGGTGCATTGCCTGGCTCCTCCATCATGGAGGCGGTTGACTGAGCTCATGCCAGGGTCCATGGGTATAAAGGGGGCTGCCTGCAGGCTGCTGGCTATGGAGAGTGTGCGATGGGCTTTCCACTGTGGCTCCTGGGCTCCCACCCGTGCAGAATGGCTGCTGTGTGCCCAGTGTGTGCAGCCAGAAGAGAAGCACCGCATTGGGCAGTTCATGTTTACCAGGGATGCCAAGGCTGCCATGGTACCCAGCTTCTTAGTGTTTATTACCGCTCCATAATAATCATAATTAGTTATATGGCACCATTTCTAGGGTTAAAGGTGGCCAGCAGATACACCTCCCCTCTTACAGTGATGGGAGTTTGCAGCTGGGGGTGGTCTGCCTCTTAACCCCCCTCCCCATATCCAGAGATGAAAAACACTGCAGTGGTGATCTGCCTCCTAATCCCCTGGGGATGAAAGGCACCATGCAGTGGTGGTGGTCTGCCTCCTAATCCCCTGGGGATGAAAGGCACTATGCAGTGGTGGTGGTCTGCCTCCTAATCCCCTGGGGATGGGAGACACTATGCAGTGGTGGTGGTCTGCCTCCTAACTACCCCTAGGGATGGAAGACACTATGCAGTGGTGGTGGCCTGTCTCCTAACTACCCCTAGGGATGGAAGACACTATGCAGTGGTGGTGGTCTGCTTCCTAACTACCCCTAGGGATGAAAGGCACCATGCAGTGGTGGGCTGCCTCCTAATCCCCTGGGGATGAAAGACAATATGCAGTGGTGGTGGTCTGCCTCCTAATCCCCTGGGGATGAAAGACTATGCTTTGGTGGTGGTCTGCCTCCTAACTAACCCTAAACATGAAAGACACTATGCAGTAGTAGTCTGCCTCCTAATTACCCCTAGGGATGAAAGGCACTATGCAGTGGTGGTGGTCTGCTTCCTAACTACCCCTAGGGATGAAAGGCACTATACAGTGGTGGTGGCCTGACTCCTAACTACTCCTAGGAATGAAATGCACTATGCAGTGGTGGTGGTATACTTCTTAAACCTCATTAGGTATGAAAGTCACTATACAGTGGAGGTGATCTGCCTCCTAAGCCCCCCTAGGGATGAAAAAACACTATGCAGTGTTGGTGGTTGACCTGCAGATCACCAGCATTGTAACTCTCTATATTATAATGCAATGGGTTACTTGGTTAAAAAAATTTTTACATCATAATGTAAGCTCATTTGAGCAGGGCCCTCAAGCACCTCTGCGTTCCAACTTGTCTGCTTACAAAATCTTGCGTGTTAGTCCACCCATTGTACAGCGCTGTAGAATTTGTTGACGTTTTATAAATCGGAATAATAATAATTCACAGAACTACAGATTGCAGATCAGATTGAATTCTGAATGGGAAAATTTAGGCTATAGTAACTGATCTGAAAAAAACCTCCAACGTAGCTATGGACACAGTTTGGATTTATTTATTTTTATCCTAAATTTAACCATTTGGTTTAAATTTGCTTAACTTCACATTTTAGTGAATAGACCCCTAATGTGTGAATTAAGAATTTTAGGCCAGAATAACTAAGGCAAAACACAGCTGTTTGTTTATTTATTTTTTCTTCAATTCAGCTATTTTGTCGTAAAATGTGCTTTGCATCCCTACAATTCACCCAATAGTGAATACACTGTGTAGTGACAATGTGGCATGCAGCCTGTTGAAAACCTATTACTCCCAAAATATACATTCATTTATAATTTTGCCTCTCTTAATAGCACAATAAACTGTGAGGTTGCATGGCACAGAAAGCTGCCTTTTAATGGTTATGTTTAGATCTTCTTTTTTATACTTTTGTAATATGCGTTTGCTGCTGAAATAGTGTGAATTTGTATTTTGGGGATCTCTGCAAATAATAAAACTAAGGTCGCAATTGTGTATTTTAATAAATAAGAGTTACATATACAGAAACACCCAACAAAATATTTATAACATAGTTTATAACAGCAAGTTTTTGGAAATAAATAGCTGACAGCCATAATATAATGGAAAGCAGGTCTGGGTGCTACAATTTATTGTCCCTCCCCCCCTGTAAATGCCAATAAATTATATTGGTGTGTAGTGCTGCTGTGGTAAGAGAGAAAACATACCTCCACGGCACTTCAAGAGACACTCCAGGCACCAAGACCAGTTCTGCCCATTGGAGTGGTCTGGGTGCCAACTCCCACTACCCTCAACCCTGCAAATGTAACTATTGCAGTTTTCATAAACTGCAATAATTACCTTGCAGGGTTAACTCCTCCAAGTGGCTGTCTACTAGACAGCCACTAGAGGGCACTTCCTGCTTCATAGCACTGTGCTAGAGCATCGCTGGACGTCCTCACGCCGTGCGAGGACCTCCAGCGTCGCTCAATACCCCATAGGAAAGCATTGAAAAGCATTTTCAATGCTTTCCTATAGAGAGCTCTAATGCGCATGCATGACATTGCCGCGCATGCACATTAGGTCTCCTCAGCCGGCGGGCAGGATCAGTCTCCCCCGCCGGCTGACGTAATGAAGGGGAGGAGGTGGTCATCGACGGGGGTCTCAGGTAAGTCACTGAAGGGGTTTTCGCCTCTTCAGAAACCGGGGATGGGTGATGGGAGGGAGAGGGGACCTGCAGTGCCAGGAAAACAGATTGTTTGTTTTCCTGGCACTGGAGAGTCCCTTTCAGTACTTTGGATGCCTTAAATGGCCATTATACCTCTGGTGCACTCATGCCACTTTAACCCCTTAAGGACCAAACTTCTGGAATAAAAGGGAATCATGACATGTCACACATGTCATGTGTCCTTAAGGGGTTAATATACTCCAAAGGCTCACTCTAAAGGATGTTGGGAACCTATTTGGGTATTAAACCCATGAAATATGCAGAAAATTTTATAATCTGCTGCTCCATACGATGCCTGGCACTATTCTCTGTTCGGAAACTCAAGCTTCCAGGTGCAAACATGCATCGTGTCGACCATGACAAAACCAAATATAATTGTAAATTATTTTTTTTAAACAACCAAGATGTACCCTTCTTAGTCAATGTAGTAATAAAACGTTGGAGAATATGAGTAAGAATGTGGATGATGCTTAGTTTTTAGTCGCTCTGCAGATAAACCATTCAATTACAGTTTTTTCTGGTTTCACTTCGAACTGGTACTATAAGAGTGAGATTTCTCTTGAATACATTTGTTGGACTTGCGTTAGGAAGGGTTTGGATGTCACAAAAGATTCTTAATGTGTGTACACCCTGTTGGGTTTGTGAGTTGTATTTATGAAATAAAATTAATAGGCTAAGCCTACCAGTAAATATTTTAAAAATGTAAAAAGATACTAGCAATGCCTCATAAATGTATCAAATAGTATTTTGAGATCTGCAGCAGATTTGCATGTTTCAGACTAAATGATCAAGTTGATGACGGAGTTAAAGACAACATTCCATGATTCCCCTGTTGACACTTTAAAATTCCAACTTTAATGAATAAACCTTTATCGAATGTTAATTGTTTATATATTCAGTATTCTGTTCAGAACCACTCACCATTCCCCTTTGCTTTCAGGCTGGTCGTCTTTTAATAAGAAAGTTAATTGCTGAAAAGCTTCAGATTCCTTGGAGTAAAATATTGCTGCAAAGGACAGCAAAAGGAAAACCATTTCTTGTCAATGAAATCTCAAGCCAACATCTGAACTTTAACTTCAATGTTTCTCATCAAGGAGACTATGCTGTACTCGCAGCCGAACCTGAGCTACATGTTGGAGTTGATATAATGAAAACAGATCTACCAGGTATGCAACCTTGTCATTATATGGATACAATTCAAGGAAGCCCCCCATTTAAAACAATATAAATAATCTCCATTGTAATCCAAATTATTCAACCCCCATTAAAAAACAGGATTTGGTCAAAATGTACAGACTTTAAGCTGTTTGCAATTAACAAAAGCATTTGAAATCGCTAAACACAATGAATGCTTCAAGTGGTTTCCCCAAATTCAACTGAAATGACTTCTCCGTTCTCTAAATTATTCAACCCCAGGGCTGGCACGTCCATTGGACGGACTGGGGCAATGGCCCCAAGCGGCGCTGTAACATATACATGCAAAGAGGCAGCTCTCCAGCCGCCTAAATCGCCTTGGGGCAGACTGATCCGTCTGGTCCTCGGGGAGAACCTGACACCTGGTCGGGGGGGTTGGCGGCGCCGACATGCCCTGTGTGCCGCAGTCTGCCCTGCAGGAGAGAGACACACTGTAACTGTCACCTTCACATTCTGTCACCCCCAGATGCTGCTTCCCCCACTGTCACTCGCACAGCCTGTCACCCCCACACTGTAACTGTCGGCCCTGCCACCAACTGTCAAACCCACACTGTAACTGTCACCCTCACACCCTGCCCCCACTATATAGACAAACACACACAATGTATTCAATACACACAACATCCATGGCACACAGACACTGCATCCACTACACACACACACAGACATTGCCTGCACTACACACACTGCATAACATAATGGATGTTGGCATGCTTTTGGTGGAGGGTGCATTACGTGCTGTGTGGAGCATTGCCATAGCAACCCACGCGTGGAGAAGGCATGAAGGTGAGTTTAGACTTCTGGGCCACCTCTCCACACTACACAGCATAATTTGTCACTGCACGACCAGGGAAACTAGTGTTCCTCCTCCCTGGCCACACCTATTTATACATTTAAAAAAAAAAAACAACAAAAAACTGATCAGCCCTCTACACACACCACATGCGCTACATAAACACTACATCCACTACACACACCAAACATACTCTGCATCCACTACACTTTACCCAATATGCAGGCACTACACACACTCTACATCCACTGCACCCACTACATAGCATCCACTACACAGACACTGCACCCATTACACATATACTACATCCACTACACAAATACAGACACTGCATCCTGTACACACTTTGCATCCACTATATACATGCTTACACTGCATTCACTACACACACTGCATAAAATAATGGATGTGCATGAGGTTTGGGGGGATGGCCGGGGGCAGCATTTCATCCTTCGACACAGGCAGCACAATGTCTTTGACCGGCCCTGTTCAACCCCCTAACAGAATCATTCACAACAGCACAAAGATGCAAGCACACCTGATGCAACTAATCAAAGGCTTAATTAGTTGCACCAGGTGTGCTTGAGCTAGAACACTTGAAACTGGCCTGGGGTTTGTTGAGTGTCACATTTGACTGTATGTTAGAAATATGGCTAAGTCAAAAGAATCGTCCATAAAGTTAAGAGAAGAGATCATCGCTCTTCACAAACAAGGAACACGATTCAAAAATATAGCAAATGTACTGAATGTTCCTGAAGACAACATTGGAAGCATAGTTTGTTTGTTCAGAGTTGAAGGAACAGGGGTTACACTACCTGGAGGAAGCTATCAATGGCTGCAACCAGATTTCTGAGAAGGCCGGTAGTGAAATATCCTCAAGTGACTGCAAAAGACCTGCAACAAGACGTGGTGGCAACATGCACTGAGGTTTCGGTGAGCACAGTAAGAAACATACTAAATGCAGAAGATTTCCATACCAGGACTTCAAGACATACACCACAACTGACCCAGAAGCACAAAAAAAAAGTCAACTCCAATATGCTCAAAATCATATAAAAAAAAAGCCACAAATGGTTTGTGATTCTGAGGAGTTGTGAAACAAAACTGGAACTTTTTGGCCCAATAGATCAGCGGTATGTCTGGAGGGAGAAGAATGAAGCATATGATGAAAAAAAACACTGCCTACAGTTAAGCATGGTGGTTGCTCGTTGATGCTCTGGGGCTGCTTTGCATACACTGTCACTGGAAACCTTTAGTGTGTGTAAGGCAAGATAGATTGAAGTATCAGGAAATCCTTGGAGAAACCTAGAATGTGACGACAGATCAGAACCTTTCAGCCCATCTAGTCTGCCCAATTTTCTAAATACTTTAGTCCCTGGCCTTATCTTATATCTAGGATAGACTTATCCATATCTCACACATGCTTAAACGCCTTCACTGTGTTAACCTCTACCACTTCAGCTGGAAGGCTATTCCATGCATCCACTACACTCTCAGTAAAGTAATACTTCCTGATATTATTTTTAAACCTTTGTCCTCTTATTGTGGTAGTTTTTCTTCTTTTAAATATAGTCTCCTCCTTTACTGTGTTGATTCCCTTTATGTATTTAAATGTTTCTATCATATCCCCCCGTCTCGTCTTTCCTCCAAGCTATACATGTTAAAACATTATGCGGTCTGAGAGGAAGCTTAAGCTTAGGTGTCATTGGACCTTTTAACATGTCAATGATCCCAAGCATTCCTCAAATTCCACCAAAGCTTTGTTGGAAAATTCTACACTGGCCATCACAGTCATCTGACTTGAAATCTATAGAAAATCTCTGGTGGTATTTGAAGAAGGCAGTTGCAGCAGGCAAACCCAAAAATATTACTGAATGGGCTAAGATTCCTCAGGAACCCATAAGCTGGTATCTGGCTATGCATTTAGTTTGGAGCAGGTGATAATAGTAAAAAAGGTTCTCTACTAATAATTTTGAGACTGGAGAAGTCATTAGAAGTTGCATTTTCAATTGAATTTGGGGAAAGCACTTGAAGCATTTGCTGTGTTGAGCAATTTCAATAGCTTTTGTTTGATTTGTTCCTTGCAAACAGCTGAAAGTCTGTAAATTTTGACAATAAACCTAAGTTTAAATGGGGGTTGAATTTACCATTTTTTAATATATACCATTTTTGTGTCATCCTGAAGATGAGAATTAAGTCAGAGATCTATAAAGTAGAAATATTAGCATGGTTATTTGATCTCATTAAATAACCTGTAGCACACGTTTTAATAAACTCCTGGCTGGCTAACCAATTTAATTAAATACCACACTTAAAAATGAAAAGTGATTATGAAATGTAAAATGTGTATTCATAGCTTTACTGAAGTTTGCGCAAAACAAATATCTCTGGAAATCTGAATCACACCCTCCACTAAAAACAATCACACATTTATTGAGAAACTGCATGATGTCTCTCATCACATATAACATTATTATTATAACAGTGCTTACAAAAAAAAACAAAATTATTACTCCTTATACTTGGCAGCTATTTTCGGCACTCCAGATCTCTTTGTTTCCTCCAATGTTTTATTACCTACAATGTCCCAGCTTTTGTTTAAATTTGATACACTATAGTTGGCTCAGGTCCAAGTAATATTGTATGCTGTATTTCAAATCCACTCTTTATTATCTAATGTATGTTCTATTATGGACACTGTGTATATATAATGTTACCATTAAAGAAGCTTAATGAAGCAGTTTTAGTGTATAGATAATGCCTCTCAGGTTTTCACTGCTCAATTCACTGCCACTTAGGAGTTAAATCACTTTGTTTCTGTTTATGCAGCCCTTGCCACACCTCCCCTGGCTATGATTTGACCCAGCCTGCATTAAAAAAAATAAAACAACAAAAAACTGGTTTCACTTTCAATCCAATGTAATTTACCTTAACCCCTTAAGGACACATGACATGTGTGACATGTCATGATTCCCTTTTATTCCAGAAGTTTGGTCCTTAAGGGGTTAAAGGGACACTATAGTCACCCAGACCACTTCAGCTCAATGAAGTGGTCTGGGTGCTAGGTTCCTCAGGTTTTAACCCTTCAGATGCAAACATAGCATTTTTTAGAGAAACTGCTATGTTTACATTTGGGGTTAATCCAGCCTCTAGTGGCTGTCTTATGGACAGCCACTAGAGGCGCATCTGCAACGCTGCAGGCACATTTCGCCTCCATCGCGCAGAGCGTCCATAGGAAAGCATTGAATGCACATTCGGCTCCGCTGACGTAGGACGGGGGAGCTGACGTTGGCGGGGGAGGAGAGGTCACCAGCGCCGAGGGAGCCCGGCACTGAAAAAGGTAAGTGGCTGAAGGGGTTTGAACCACTTCAGCGCCATAAGAGGGGGACCCTGTAAATTGAACTTTAATCACGTACAGGAGGCTCTTGTAGGGTCTAGCAAGCTATTAACATTGCAGAGAATAAGAAAATCTAAATTAGACAGAACTTGCAATAAAGAAAGGATAAACTAGATGACTACAGGAAGTGTTTAGGAAGGTTGTGCAAGTAACATGCAGAGAGTTGTAACTAGGGTTCATAAACAAAGTGATTTGACTCCTAAATGGCAGAGAATTGAGCAGTGAGGCTGCAGGGGCATGTTCTATACACCAAAACTGCTTCATTAAGCTAAAGTTGTTTTGGTGACTATAGTGTCCATTTAACACCATCTTTTCAGAGAAAAAGCAGTGTTTACGGACTTGTGATACCTCCACTGGCCACTCCTCATATGGCTGCTAGAGGCGCTTCCTGGAACAGTGCTGCACATTGTGACTGACATTCAGTATCTCCACCCTCTGCATGGAGTCAATGAACTTTCCTCACAGATGCATTGATTCAATTCATCTCTATGAGGAGATGCTTATTGGCCAGGGCAATGTTTTGCTTGCGCTGGCTCTGCCCCTGATCTGTTTCCTTGACAGTCTCAGCCAATTTAATGCTTTCCTATGGGAAAGCATTGAGATTGGCTTTTGATCAACCCTTCTGATGATGTCAGCCAAGCTGGAAGATCAGGGGCAGTGACAACAGCAGATTGGAATAAAGGTAATATTGTACTTAATTTAGGGGGGACAAGATCCAGGGGAGCTAGATGGTGTTTTTATCACTACTTGGTCAGGAATACAGGTTTGTAATCCTGGCCCTATAGTGTTCCTTTTAAGCAGTCTGAAATTCAAATGTAGCCACTTGTAAAAATAACTCAAAAGTTAACCTTTCTCTGCATTAAACCTGCTATAGGAACAGTTGGTGCTTTTATTTAATTAATCAGAGATAGAACTGGGGACGGCCAGGGCAGATAATGTTGGATTCTAAGTCAGGCCAGTGCTTTAAACATCATGGAACATGCATTTGACTTTGAGCTACGTGGGCAGCATAGTATATTGAATATGAAGAAAACCTACACCCCTTTGCACCTTTGTCTGTAAATAATAGTTCTTTTGACTCTCTCTCTTGTTTTGGCATATACATTTCTTTACTGCTAGCAGTAATATTTGGAAGTATTTAAATGTTATAAAGTGGACAGTGCATGGAAAAGATAGAGGTGGTAGTAAATTAATTTTAATGCTGTGCTTTCTACTGATACATGAACTATAATTAATTCTATGGGAAGGACCACATTCGGTTTCTATAATAAGTTTGTATTTGGCATCAAACATACTCTTTGGGTCTAAAGTGAGCTGAATCCCCAATTATTTTCATTTATATCAGACAATTTGAAACACTATCATTTAGAGGCATCTGGATGGACAGCACCTTGTTTTATTGAAGATTACCGTATATACAGATACCTGTAAAACTCTTTAATAATCTTACTAAAAGGGAATAGAATCAATTGGGTCCATAAGAAAGTGAAAAAAAGCTTATAGCTTAGCGTGATAATTAATATTTCTTTGTTCTATAAGCCTCTGTCTCTCAGGAGGCATTTTTATGTTCTTTTTTGTGATACGGAATGTTATTTTTCATTCTGTTTCTCTAGAAGAATTCCTTATCAGAATTTCCCCTATTTTGTTATATTTACTTATTCCTTTGTTGTGCGATAGGCAGGCTGTATTTACTTGAAGCCGGGAGCTTGACGGATTGCTGTGAACAGCCCAGTATGGCTGCTATCAGTTTGAGCAGTTCCACTCCTCCTGTGGAATGAATAGAATTGTAACTGGGAGATACTAGGGTTTGATGAGATAAAGTTGCACCTCATGAACCAGAATGAGAGGCTCCTGATTGGATGAGTCTCTTTCTGTTAAGAGAGAAGTCTATCTGTTGCAGTCCTTGATGTGCCAGTGCAGCAACTTAAGAAGCTGCAAAATGCGTAGTGTTCACATCACCCTGAGCCCGCTCTCTAAGAGTGACTTATAGCGGCCTATATTTGTAAACATTGTTACCTCTATAGCACAACCTACCAGGGCTGTCAATCATACATTCGGAACACTATGGGTCTATTTTTACCGAAACAATCCGTTGTAACTAAAAAGTCTTGAATTGCAGTCTTAATGTACTGCTAGATCGTTCCTGCTCAAATATTCATTAATTGAAGAGATTACAGAAAAATTGCTTCATTTTGTCTGCTACAGAAAGCACATTTGGAATTCTTTCAAATTATATAAGAATATACATGTATATTAAATCATTGCTGTGTGATTCAAGGCTGAACTTCCAATTTGCCATTCATTGTAATGTACCATTTAGTATGGATAAGTGGTGCGGTTAGCAGTCAGCAGACTTGACATTTTGTTGGAGCTTTAATAAGTTTCTGCAGACGAGTTATTGATTGGGCTTGTCAGTGTCTTATTCAGAGTGTCGGCCTGCTGTTTAGTCAAGCAGCGAAGAAAGTGTCCTTAACATCATTTAATCCAATTCTAAATAGGTTTTCATGGTGTCATGTGCATGCTTTGCACCAATGGCTGCCAATACTAGGCAATCTGCACTTAGCTACATATAGATATGCTGAAGGAATGTTGTTCTTCGTGCTTCTCATCATTCTCTATTGATGAAGAACAGACTCGGCACCCTGTGGAGTTACTTCTACATTCTCCATTGAATCTTTTGACACAGCTCAGAGCTTTCTTAAAACAGATACATAGCATGGCATATGATTGCCACTATTGAAGTAAACTTTTCACAGTTTTAAACCATTTTACCTAAACAGTTTTTACTTTTTAAACATTTTACTTTTTCTTAATTGTTTTAAATTTTTTTTTTTAATTGTTGAATATGATCTGTAATGTAAGCTAAGGATATTGTAAAGACATGACCATCTTAAATGGGAGTGTTGTGTCAGACTTAATTGTGGGGTTCATGGTGCTCAGACTCTGCCTTCTCCATGGCTACATCTCACTCCAAGAGTACAACACTGATGCATCTCACGACTGAGCTAGAGGAAGATGGAGGTGCATGGGGGTAAATGGTTCAGGAAAGTGTTTACGTCTGCTCCCCCTCCTTCGATTTACACTGTGTAAGCAGAAGTGTCACCGTGGGTTGAGTTTGTGTGGGTATTTGCAAACAAAGCAAAGGATCTAAAAGTGATAGGTTCACTTTTAACTTAAAGGGACACTGTAGTCACCAGAACAACTACAGCTTATTGTATTTGTTCTGGTGAGTATAATTATTCCCTTCAGGCTTTTTGCCGTAAATACTGTCTTATCAGTGAAAAGGTTGGTTAGTGTTTTTAACACTCTAGGCTACGTTATCTATCTAATTATAAATGGATTAAAGAGAACAAGTACTTCTACATGTTGGATTTTAATTCTGTAATTTATTTATAAAATATTTTACCAGGAAAGATACATTGAGATTTCTCTCGTTTTCAAGTATGTCCTGGGTCCACAAATCATTGCATTGTTACATTAGGGTACAGTAAAATACAAAACCAATATTAATACACAATATATAAAAAAATTTCACATAGAACAGGTAGGAAATATATAATCAACCATGACAGGTGCATTCTGTTTTGAGGTATGCAGAGAGGGATCTCTTAAAGGACTTTAGGCTTTACAATCATTATTGTACTAAAAAATATTACCTGCTCTGGTGTCAGAATATTTGCTTTGTATTGTAATACTTAGCAGCTACAATAATATTCAGTGTGTATTGGAGGTGTTACAGAGATCCACTGCACTAAAAATCAAACTTCTATGCAGTGTGTATGTGAATATAAAATATATAAAGAGAGGGTGCTGTAGCATAATGCACATTTCATTATACAGACATATCACTACACTAGAAATAAAACATCATATTTATTCAAGTTATTTTCTGAAAGCACACTTGTACATCACATAGAAAGCAGTTTGTATAGGAACACTAATGACAGCACATTTAATTCCCTGCCAATTTCAACATTGTACTCAAAGTATTCCATGCAAATATAAAGGCTCCTTTAAAGATTGATACATTTGATTCTCGGGCCAGTCTCAACATGATATTCAAAGTGCTTTTGTGCAAAAATAAATATCATGCAGAATCCCTTGATATCTTTTGTGTAGCTCAAATACATATTTGTCAGTTTGGTTGAATGCGACATTTAACCAAGTAAGTTCCAATAAATTGCTTTGTGCCAATATAAACAATCTGTTTTCCTTTACTCCATGGAACTCCACTGGTTCGAGACTACGCAAAAGAACGCTCTCTCATGTTTAAAGCGCATTGACGAAGTCAACGATAATCCAAATAACGATAACATATTAATAACCCAGCCACTTCTGTGGTACTTGTGTTCCCCCGGCCAGGTGACTGAATAAATAAAATGCACTATAAAGTCAACAGGAATCCATACGTGACCATGAATAATTAATAGCGGGTCTTAACCAAATCCCAGATACTAAGTTTAGCCCTCAACGCTTGTGTTACTTTTAGTGTTCACTGTAGGCACTTCTACCACCAACATGATTATAAAAAGTAGTTCACTCTGTCACCTCCATGTCCACAGCACCCAATCCACCAAAATGCTTTATAGTTAATGTAATTATGTAATCCCTCTCTTCTCTCCTCCTTCAGACACTGCTTTCTCTTACAGACAAAGAGGTGGGAAAAACACCCAAATAAGCGTACAAATTTTTTCCCACCTCTTTATCTGTATTTACTATTTTGGTGTTAGTGAGGTACACGTGGGATCACTCCTATCTAACGTACTATCAATTTATTACATATATATTTTGAGTGCAGAGTGAACTACTTTTTTATAATCGTGTTGGTGGTAGAAGTGCCTACAGTGAACACTAAGCGTTGAGTGCTAAACTTCTTTTAATTAAGAATGGAGATGCGGTGTTTCCTAAACTTTTATTTAAAGATCAGATCATAGCCAGATTCCAAAACATATACCAGTCTGTTCCTTTTGTTATTATTATTATTGCCATTTATATAGCACCAACAAATTCCGTAGCGCTTTACAATATTATGAGAAGGGGGGGGGATTTAACTATAAATAGGACAATTACAAAAAACTTACAGGAACGATGGGTTGGAGAGGACCCTGCTCAAACGAGCTTACATTCTATAGGGAAGTATAGTGTAGGGAATACAAGAGAAACAAAAAGTTTTCATCAAGACACACATGTTTTTTCTAACCGAATGAAAGTGAAAACTTTTTTTTTTTTTTTGTTCCTGCAGGCTGTCCGTCACAGCCAGGGGAGGTGTTGCTAGCGCTGCATGAACAGAAACAAAAATGATTTAACTCTTAAATGGCAGAGAATTGAGTAGTGAGACTGCAGGGGCATGATCAGTACACAAAGACTGCCTCATTAAGCTAAAGTCTTGGTGACTATAGTGTCCCTTTAAGCCAACCAATCAGAGCGCAAGACTTTCCCCTCCGTGGGAGCTTAATCTTACTCCTTGCGGGGTGGTGATGGATTCTTTTTGGTCTGGTTGCTTGCCATTAAGTATGCATGCCCCTAATCGCAACACGACAGGGGCGGGAGGGAGAGTTTAAATTCCCTTACTAATACTATGTACTTTTTATTTAGTATTAATAAAGTTGTCTGCAAGACCAAAATTAAGAAAAGGAAGGGGTGTTCAGAATTTCGATCTTTCAGCTTCTTAGTAGATGGCGCTCTAATCCTTGTGGGATTGCCATAAGGATACCAAAAAGGAGCTATCTGTCAAACAGCTACCTAATTTGGTGCCCTTAAATATATACAAAGATACCAATTTAGGGATTTATCTGCTAAACGGCTGCAATATGCAGTTATGGTGTAGATCGGAATTTCATCTGTTTGTATGAAATTCCAATATAAGCATAATGACCAAATTTCGTCTGAAAACAGGCAGACAAAATTTGTTTCAGATGAAACAAAATGTTTTTTTCCGTCTGAATAGATTTGGCCGAAACAAAAATTTTGGTGGCGCCCAGGGCTAACTGTTTAAGACCCCGTCACGCTGCCATGAATGAGGATCTGGTGCCACAAAGATTAGAAATATTATGGGTAAAGAGAAGTTCTTTATGAGCAAAGAAACATGGAAAAGGGAAAGTAAAATAAGTAAAGTAAGGGTGGTAAACATCATTTTGAGAAAGCACCAGGAGGGATGCGAAATGTGTCCAGGGCTTTACCTATCTTTTTTTCTGTCTAGTCTTCTTGGGTGGTCTCTCCCCTGTCCCGTATTTGCGGGTAGTCCAGTTATCTGGTATTTATATATATATTTTTTAGATTTTTCGTTTTTGGGATACTGTGTTGCTTTATTTACACAATGCTATTTTTTTATGCTTGCAGTACCATTGCATATATGAGGACTGCTGTTTTTTTTTATAAATGTGTTTCACAATATCTTTATCCTTGTGGATTGTTTTAAATTATCCAACTGTGTGGACCATTGTGCAAACAATGTGAAGTATTGGGATAATGTACTCAAAATCTACCCAAATAAATATGATCTCTTCTTCTGAGGGCAAACTTAGAGCTGGAACTCTGGAACTACGTTTTACATTGCAGCACGAAGTGCAAAAGAGTCACAGTACCCAGACTTCTTCAATGAGCTGAAGTGGTCTGGGTGTCTACAGTGTCCCTTTAAGATGGCTGAAATTCTTACGCTATCCCATTTTAAACATATAAATGTCATCTCCCTCCTCACCAAAACTAGAAATATCCAATTGTGCATGTATCCATTTTTATTCTATGTGACATAAGTGTAATTCTGTAAAAACGAAATGAAATAAAAATGCACTTTGAATAATGGTTGTAATCTAGAATTAGTATTAATCCTAATCATAGTGTAGGCATTGAAAATTGCCGTGTTTTAGTTTTCATTTACATTATTTAACTTCCTATTAATCTAGCAAGAACATCAGAAGCTTTATCTTTTTAGCAGACATTGTAATAACCGCTAATAAAAAAAGATCATGCTGAGTTCACTGAAGATTGATCTTTTTGCACACTAAAGTTGAATGGACCTTGCTGCTTCCATCACTAAAATGGTGCAACTAAGAATAAACTGCAGCAATTCATCACAATGACATGTTTTATTTTGGGAATAAGTTTCTTATATCCTCTTTTATCCTTGGTATTGCCTTTTTCTCTGAAACTGAGATCTGAAATTCTAATAATACTAGCACGACTTTCTAGAATGTATAGTCTACATTTATTTATGTTCAATACACAGCAAAAATAGATTGATTGTAAGAACCGTTTTGTAAGTGTGGAGAAATCCGTAGGAACATTTAATTGGTTTCTTAAGGCTGCCCATTTGTAATTTTGACCCCAAATGGTTTTCTGTACACACCATGACCACGACAGCAGGCTGTGATACTTTCCTTTTAAATCCCTGTAGTTTCTATACTTTATATAACTGCATGGCAACACTACAGGCTGGCCACGAGATTTAGACAGGGGAGCTGCATTGTCCATGCAACCGGAACACTGCATTGTCCATGCAACCGGAACACCAGGGAATGCCATATTCCCCCTCCTTGGTCAGGTAACAAGCAGGGAGGGGTGACTAAAAAAATAAAAAGATTTAAATATTGAAAAAAAAATTAAAATAAAAAATGCTCCCCCCCATTTTACACAAATTTTTACATACCTACAGAAACACACACACACACACACTCTGCATTATATACACACACTACACACACACAATCTGCATTCATTATATACACAATCTGCATTCATTATATACACACTCTGCATTCATTATATACACACTCTGCATTCACTTTACACACACTACACAAACACACTCTGCATTCACTATATATACACACTACACAAACATTCACTATACACACTACACAAATACACACTGCATCCACTACACAAACACACACAGCTCCCCTGTCTAAACACACTGCATCCACTACATGTGGCATGTATATTTTGTGCATTTACCTTTTAGAAATAGTTTATTTTTTCAAAATGGTAAATGTACAGAATCTCGGTAAGTTATCGGCTATTGGCCTGAAAGTTCACAGATTATCGGTATTTGTATCGGCTCTAAAAAGTCATTATTGGTTGATCCCTAGTAAATCTATGGTTCTGTTGTGGCTTATAGGAGCCAAATTGGACCAGATTGATCCTACTAACAGTAACGTTGGGCCGGACCTGGGTAGACAGAAACTGACTGCAACCTGTAATGCGGTATTAGGTTAGAAAAGCAGGAGGTAACAACTAGAAAACATAACACAAAAAACAATAAAACATAATGCTTGGCTCTTAAGGCAGTTCAGGTTGCTGCTCCAGGCTTCTCTCTTCCTCCAGGCCTGAAGGGCTCCGCTTGTGCTGTGTCCCAGCCATGGGTAGTGAGGTAGGGGTTCAACATGGATGCATTAAGAGTTATAACCAGTGTTTGGAGGAAGGTAGTGTTGTCTGTTAGGGAGGTAAGTTTCAACACTCTACCATCAGCATTTGTAGGCGTAAAGTAAGTCCAGTGGCATCTCGCAATTGTCCAGTGACTATGCCAAGGGACCTCAGCAGTGTATTCCTAGTAAGGGCTTGAAAGAATGTCAGCTTAGATGCCTCAAATTCTTTTTTTTTTTCTTGAACTGCTGCCAGGATTCGGTTCTTTTCCGACAGAATGACATCATCGTACTATAATGTCCCAGGTGGCCTCGGTCAGGGCCCGTCTTGACTTGTTAATTCTGTAGCAGCCGTTGAATAAGAACTTTTTTGCTTGAGAGTGAGGCTTGTTTCTGTCAAGCACGGCAAGTACTGTGGCAATTTGGCCAAGCCAACAGAGTCTGGGACACCTCAGATTTTAATTTAGCTGCGTCTGTTGCGATCTTCTGTAATATCTACTTTCTGCATCAGGGAGGTATGAGAGTGTTGCAGGTTTTGCATTTGCTCTCTCAGTCCATGTACCTCTTGCTTGAGGTCCATAACCAACTCCTCTGTGACTCGTGTGCGCACTATCACCATCTGTACCTCAGTTCTGACTATGTCCAGATCTGCCGCTGGTTAGCTATGTCTTGTTTTGTGGCAGAGACTAGTGGTTCCTGTTCCGCAATTTCCTCATAGAGTGTTGTGGGGGACATTGTATTACCAGGGTCTGTGGGATCTGCAAGGGAGTGTGCCCTGCTTGCACCGCTCTCTGACTGGGCCGACCCATTATCGTGGGAGTCTTTGCTGGAACCAGCCTGTGGCTTCTGGGATCTGCATCTCATGTTGTATGTATGCAGAGCTCACCCTTTGCTATTGAAGCTGTGAGTTGGGAATTCCTCCGATGGCAATACATACATAGTTACATAGTTGAAAAGAGACTTTTGTCCATCAAGTTCAGCCTTTCTCACATATTTTTGCTGTTGATCCAAAAGAAGGCAAAAACCCAGTCTGAAGCGTTTCCAATTTTGCAACAACTAAGAACAAATTCCTTCTTAACCCCAAAATGGCAGTCTGGTATCTCCTTGTATCAAGCAGCTATTACCCCACTCATTAGAAATTATATCTCATATATTTTTTTTTTGCAAGTATTTATCCAATTGCTGTTTAAACATCTGTATGGACTCTGATAAAACCACCTCTTCAGGCAGAGAATTCCACATTCTTACAGTTCTTACTGTAAAAAAACCTTTTCTTTGCCTTAGACTAAATCTCCTTCTTTAAGCCTAAATGCGTGACTTTGTGTCCTATGTATATCCCGGCTTATGACTAGATTTCCAAATAATGGTTTGTACTGGCCCCGAATATATTTGTGTAATGTTATCATATCATCCTCTGAGGTGCCGTTTTTCCAAAAAAAGAGATTTGATTTTTTTTAACCTTTCTTTGTAACTAAAATGTTCCATTCCTTTTATCAATTTTGCAGCTTGTCTCTGCACTTTTTCTAGTGCCATAATATCCTTCTTTTGAACAGGTGCCCAAAATTGCAGAGCATATTCAAGGTGTGGTCTTGCCAGTGATTTACAAAGAGTCAAAATTCTATTTTCATCCAGAGAATTTATGCCCCTATTTTTACATGACAAAACCTTACTAGCCTTAGCAACTACCGATTGATATTGCTGTCTAATTTGTTGTCTATAACAATTCCCAAACCCTTTTAGGTTATAAGTTGCTTCTGCATTCTTTGCCCCGAAGTGCATAACTTTGCATTTCTCTACATTCAATTTCATATGCCATTTGAGTGCCGAGTCCCCCATCCTATCTAAATCCCTCTGCTGCAAAGCAATATCCTGCTCACATTTTATTACTTTACAAAGTTTTGTGTCATCTGCAAACACTAAACATGGCTTTCAATGCCTATTCCAAGATCATTTATAAATATGTGAAATAGAAGCTGTCCCAAAACAGAACCCTGAGGGACACCACTTACCACTTTTGTCCAGCTTAAAAATTTACCATTAATGACAACTCGTTGTACTCTATCCTTAAGCCAATGTTCTATCCAAGGACAAGAATATTCCTCTAAAACCAATTTCTTTAAGTTTGAACACTAGCCTATTGTGCGGAACTGTATCAAATGCCTTGGCAAAAACCAAGTAGATCACATCCACTGCAACATCCTGATCTTTACTTCTACTTACTTCTTCGAAGAAGGCAATTAGGTTAGTTTGACATTTCGTTTCTTAAAACCATACTGATTATTGCTGATAAAGTTCTTCCCAATGAATTCCTGTATATTATCCCTTAATAGCCCTTCAAATACTTTCCTAGCCACTGAAGTTACGCTTACAGGTCTATAATTTCCAGGCAAGGGTTTTTAACCCCTTTTAAATATAGGAACGACATCTGCCTTCCTCCAATCCGCCGGTACAAGTATAGAATCTTGAAAGATTAAATACAGAGGTTTACTTATTTCCACACTTACCTTCTTGTGATGCCACAGTTTTGGTGGATGACGTACCAAGTGTACAAGATGTGTGGCAGATGGCTTCCATTCTGCTCAGGCGCTAAGCTCTGCCCCCCGAGGTAGGTATTTTCAATTAATCTTACTGCTCTTTGTAAGCTTTAGGACATGAGTTTACCATCTAAATGGAGATTGGAATTATAACTGCTACAAGAGTTGAACTCTGTTTATTAAGTCCTAACCTTGGAGAAAGGACATTGTGGATTTATGCAGTTTTCTTATCCCCAAGTTTATTCATGATATTTTATACATATTTATCTGTGAATATTATAAATGAAAGCATCTAAAACAATATCAATCCCTTATCTCTTATCTCCAAACATGGGAGGTATATGGAATCTGGAACAAGTGCAGCCACAGGGGTGGAAACAAGAGTCAGGTCTCAGATATACAATACAGTACAGTGTGATTCTAGGCGCTTAGATTGTGGTTTAATATTTAATAGGTCTTAATAGAGAACACTTTGTGGGTACTCCAAATAACCCACCAAATACAGAAAAGTAGAGTAAACACAGCACTCACTGTTTGTGATACTCCCCCAAAACATAAAGTGCAGCACTAAAAGCTATAGGACCCCAAATATATGGGGTGATGAAATGGTACATAGAGTAAAAGAAAGTAAAGTACATATAGTGTAATATTGTAACGGAAATATAAGTATATTTATGGAGGTGAGTGGAAATAAACTCACTTAATTTAGAGCCTTTTATAGAAGTATAGGCTCTAAACTATGTAGCTTGTGTGCCTTTAATGTGGCATACACACCTGTTTTCACACTGGATATTTGGATCAACCGCTCCCACTATGTCACGTTTCATGGAAAAAGGAAACTGAGAATATCTCTTAAGTGCAGTGAAAAGTGTAACATACAGGTATGAAAATTGCTCACCTGGTGTGGAGCTTATTAAAACTGGCTCCAAGTTGTATCTGTTTAGTGTCTATTTATAGGGTGACACTTCCCCTTTGATTGGAACCCAGTTGAAGACTCAGGATGATGAAATAGAGCATACCTTTTATTTACCAATGACATTGGTAAATAAAACCAAAAATCAAAAAATCTAATAAAAAAAACTTGATAAAACCGTAAAATACTAATTTCTTCCTTTTCCTGATGTCCTTTGAAACGCGTTTCGCCTGTGGGATAGGCTTTTTCAATTGGTGATGCTCTTGTTTCCGAGTTTCTGTATTTAAATCTCTGCTCGTCCTGCTTTAGGGTATCGTTATCCAATGGAAGGCTTGATTCCCAGCTGTAGCGTAATTAGGAGCAGAACCTACCTATGTGTTCACCTTCTGATCGTAGTTCCGTAGTAAACGTGCACTCTTGTTGGCATCATGTCATTTCTGGTTATTTTTTGGGGGGAACTGCAATCCCCATACTGCTGTGTTCCGATATCCGTCCATTACAATGTTCATATATGCCATAAAGTACTATAGAAAATGAAAAAAAATTGCAAGTTTAATATATAAACGCTATAGATAAGAACAAATATAAGAAAGAAGAACTAGGCAAGATATATAAGACATAACATTTGTTAAGTCTGGAATGTTTTGCAAAGAAAATCGATAAGAATTTTGGATAGCTCTATATTGCTTTCAACATCATTTTTAAATGTTACAAATATAATGTATCCAATAAATTGAAATCTTAAAAATATTAATTTCTTGGTACTATCACGCCTATTGTGTAAATACATTTATTAAGAAAATATATATTTGTGTATATCTATGAACAATCTTAAAAAATCTTTAAAAAATCGCTTATACAAAAGTGGCACAGTTCAAAATCTACATTTAGACCTAGCGGGGCTCAAGTGTTCAAATTAAAAATCCACTTAATCTCAGTTTTAGTTAGTTATATATTTATTTATTTTTGACAACTTTCCCTCTCCAATTAGTCTCTATTTTTTGAATTGCTAAACATCTCATGCAATGTGGGTCACCGTTATGAAACAATTTAAAGTGCTGTTTTTTGTTTTTTTTTATATTTCTTACATGTTCATTTACTCTTATATGCAATGGTATTTTTGTCCTGCCCAAGTAATACAGATTGCACGTGCATACTAGAAGGAGATGAAGTTAGTGTAACATGTAATAAGACTTTTATTTTTTTTATTTTGTACTTCCGGTTTGTGGATTTTTAAAAGTTTTCTCATGTCTTTAAAAAAACAAAAACCACAAAAACGTATTGCCTGTATTTCTGCATGCTGTACAGAATTGGCCAAAATGTATTTAACTTTTTTTTTTTTTACATTTTATTATTATTATAACTAAAATTGCAGATACAAGTCTTGCCAACCTAGGGCAGGCCATGTTCCGAGCTCTGTTGAAGTGCTCTGAGCCAGAGTTTAATGTCCTGAGTTTACTCAGCAATACTTGAACACTTCTAATGATGCCCTTGTACTTGATCCGGCGCTATGGGTCCGAACCGGGACAGTTGAGAGATATGGCATTACTATTTACACTAAATTTGGAGGTTGATACATAAACTAACATTCAATGTATGGAAAGACCTAATGCTAATTTATAGTAAACATTAAAGTAAACCTTACAGGTGTAATCTAATAATCATGATGGGTTTCACCTAATTGGAGGTAAAGCTGGAAATGAGCTGTTTTGTTCACACTAGACCACTAGAGGTCCTCCAAGGGAAACAAATACTCACAAAAGGGCATAGAGGGAAGATGCAGTGGTGTGTCTTCTATATAATACAGGCAGGAGATAAGTGTAAAGGATGTTCCAACAGCTCTGTTCCTTTCTTATGTTAAATGATCATAGAGTCATAAGCTGGGACTATGAAGCTTAGCACAATTAATACTTATTTTTATTAGTATTCAATGAACACTTTCTTTTTTTTAAATTCTTTTATTATTATTTTTTTTATTTATATAGCGCCATCAGATTCGGTAGCGCTGTACAATTGGTGGACTAACAGACATGTAATTGTAACCAGACAACAGGACGTACAGAAACAGAGTGGGTGGAGGGTACTGCTCAATGAACTTACATTCTAGAGGGAGTGGATTATAGTGACACAAAGGGTAAAAGTAGGGGTACAAAGTAGGTTGTTAGAAAAGTATTCACTGAGGGCTTAGTAGGTAATTTTTGACTGTTGCAGGAGAGGAGTCATGGGGGGTTGGGGATAAAAATCTGCTAACGGTTTAATTGATATAAGAAAAAGGTGCTCTGTGCAATTAGGCGCTTAACAATAATATATAAATAGAACAGCAGCTCAAACACGCATGCAGGTATCCCAATCCTACACAAACACAATGTGAAAGAAAAAAGTGAACTTAGTGGATCGTACTACCACCAAAAGATCACTCAGTGGAGCGCTAAATATCAAATTCTTACCCCTATTGGAATAACGTATATATCACTTTAAGGGGCAGACAGCATAATAAAATCTACAACAAGAAAATACACATCATGGTGCAGTATGCTTGTAAGGTGTGAATGGAGTGGAAGAAGATGTATGTCCAACTCACATGGTAAAGAGCCTGGAGATTGGCTCAAATCACAACAGCTGAGGTATGTTTGGTAATACCAGACCTTCTCCAGATATACAGCTCACAACATATGTGGATAAAAAAGGACAAAAATCCTAGTACAAGTATGTTTAAAATAAACAAGTGGTCACATATAACAGTGCATGAATGTGCTCACCTGGAATAGAGCCAATTGTACTAGGCTCTATGTATAAGCGTGTGGTGCCTTTAAGGGAGGCACTACCCTTCTTTAGAAAATGCAGGAAGCAGTTGAAGATCCACTACCAGATGTATAAGGTAAAAGTAACAATTTATAAAAAAAAAAAAAAAAAAATAAAAACAATTAAGCAAAGTAAAACTGTATATACAGATACCAAAAAGTAAAAGTCTCTGGGGTGGTCTTCCTTGGAGTTCCGAGACGTGTTTTCGCCGTGGGGCTTTCTCAATCAGATTTTTTAATTGATATGCTTTCTTGAAGTGCGTTTTCAATGATTTTTTTTAAATGAGTGGAGACTGAGTGAAAGGCTAACGGAGAAAGGGAAGGGAGTTCTACAGAAGAAGTGCAGCCCTGGAGAAATCTTGGAGGCGAGCATCAGAGGTGGCCGTAAGGACAGAGGATATACGTAGGTCTTTGGCAGAGTGCAAGGGGCCTCGACGGGACATACTTGTGTATTAGGGAGGATAGGTAGGTTAGAGCAGCATTATGTAGGGACTTGTAAACAAGCACCAGAATTTTAAATTGAGCCCTATATCTAACTGGAGGCCAATGCAGAGCGGGAAGGTGTGGGAGGTGCGAGCAGACAGGAAAATGAGCCTCATTTTGCAACCGGGAACACGTAAGGCCACTGAGAATGGGACTGCAGTAGTCGAGGCGAGAGAGCACAACAGCATGGACCAGCACCTTAGCCGCATCCGGTGTTAAAAAGGGGCAGATATGTGACTCAAATCACTATTTCTCTGCTGAGGAATTTTGAGTTATGAGCATGCATATAAGTGCTGTTTGAACACCTACAGTTGGTTTGATATTTTGGGTTCACCCTATTGCAACCAGAACAAAGTGCACATTCCCAAGTATTTTCTTTCAAGGAGTACTCTAAGCACCATGACTCTACAGTGCTTTGTAGTGGTTATGGTGTGCACAGTCTATGGGTGTTTTTGCTTAGCTTGACAAAAGCCTGGTCTGAACCAGTGTTTTCAATCTGACCCTTCTTCTGTGGCTTGACCAATGCGAAAAAAAATTATACTGGACTCGTCCACTTTTGTATGGCAGTGATGTGCTGTAGGTAGATTATCCCAGCTCTCCCAGCCTATTATGTGCCCTAATTTTGATATGTAAACTGAATGTTCAATTCACAATTCTATTTCTGTTCATGTATGAGAATACAGAATCTCCTTCTATTGTGAAAGATCTTCTACATGAGATGTTGAAATTAAATGAGAATATTTTTGAAATGTTTGGAATATTTGAAGCAGGACCTTTTGCACATCTATTTGTAGTCATTAATTGATGGTCTCCAATATAGTAAATCTTTATATTTCCATAATGGTTTTGCTTTTTAATTATTCACCATGTTCATCACCTCTGCATACCTAATAAATGACCAAAAACGATTCCTATAAGTGCTACCTAAGTATACAACAAAAGAACCCCTCTCCCTCCCAGTGGGATTTGCATTGGCATTAAAACCTGCTCCACACCGCCAGACAGCAGAAAGTAGGCTGACTTGGAGTCTATTCTTATGGGGAAGAACTTTATCTAGGTTCAGAGGAAAGACAGACCCTATTTAAAAACGTAATATCTGGCTTTATTAAACTCCACCTGGATTTGGGATGAGCTAAATATGATCTGGTCCAACTCCCTCCTGCCCCCCCCATGACTCTCTCATAATAATGAACAGCTTCTTCCTGCAAAATTCCGGAGGTATAGAATATACAGGGTTGCACAGATATACACATTTATTTTTGTGACCAAAAATTAATCAGCTTCGAGAAGTTACAGGTTGAAATGCCTCTTTCAACCAGAGATATTATGCAAACATACGATTTTGGGGGGAAGGGAATGGGAGGACATATGAAAGGCTTTCTTCTATATGCATTACTGCACAGACACCGTTTTTAGGGGGTATACAACCCCAGTACAGTTACACCACATTGGGAAAATTCCCACTGATGTATGCAGGCAATCAAGAAATTTATGCACAGATGTGGTAATTTTGCCCTAAGATCAAACAATTTTGGAAAGGTGTACAAGGTTTAGTAACTAAGGTTCCATGCAGAAATATACTATTCGACCCATGGAAACTTCTACAATGTAAGTCATTGGATACCTTATCACGTGAAAAAAAACTAATAAATAAGATTTCCCTAGCAGACAAAAAGGTATTGAACCAAGCATGGTTTAAACTGAAGTCTCTATGAGAGCAGAGGTGGAATACAGAGTACAGGACACATATTTTATGGACAAACTATCGGCCTCAGTCTGCTTTCAAAGGCTTAATTTAATACAATTTGGCAACAGTAGATGGCTTATAAAGCCTTATACATGGTTGGGAACATATTTCTCCTGGCACCGGTCCACTCCTGACGGTTTCTTACTCCCATTTCTCTCTCCTTTCCTATCTCTCTCCTTTATTCTTCTACTATTATTCCAAAATTGATCTATTTCGTATTGACACTAGAGAAATTAACCAAGTTTAAAAACAACCACTAATCACCACCTACTGTTATGTTTTCCAATAGATGAGATGTTATATTGTATATCTACACTATAAAAATGTACTAATTGACGCAATGATTGGCTTGTTAAAAATAGAATTGATAAAAATAAAAACAAGCTCCATTTGTGGCGTACACTTCAGTAATATCTAGAGTGTTAGAAGATAGTGTTCTATCACTTGTTTTTTTTGAGGGACTAAAATTGGCAGTTCTTTTTAAATATTTTATTGTTTTTCATACTTGACTACAATTTGCATCACTGGTGATGCTCCTAGTTGTGAAGCGTTGTCACGGTACTGAAGCATAGATGGAATTGTCCTGATAAAGAATATGCTACAGATCATTATAGTGGTTATTGGTGGTAGGAATCTGTGGGTCCCCAGTTTTCAAAACACTTTTGTGATGTGTTACATGGTACCTTTTTCTGGAGTTTAATCAGGACAATTAAGAAAAATCTCAGGACCGTGGGAGAGGGTCCCTAAATTGGGACGATCGCAAACTAGACAAAATAGGTTTCTGTTCTGTATGTTCTAGATTGATATGTACATATTATATATGAAGAAGAATATGTACAACTCTTGTTTATAATTGTAATCTAGCAAAAACATTTATAGAAATAGCTCATTGAACAATATTCTTCTTTTACTGACAAGGTGATGTAGCCTAGATAAATATTTGTAATGTTTGTTCCTTTTGCCTCTCGAAAAACCACTATGTGGTGCTGTTGCACCTTATTTATATTTTTCCAAAGCATGTTATACATTTTTAAAGAAAATAAATATTTTGAAGAAGAGTAATGTAATTGTCCTTGATATGAATGGATTCTTGCAAGATTTAATAAACAAAATTGAACAGGAAATGCATTGAAATGAATTTAGATTATTCCATTTTATGAAGTAGGCTCTTTCTGTTGGACTCCTTGGTCAACAAAAAGTATATGCTAAAAGTAAAAAAAATGTTTTTTTATCTATGAGTAGTTATAAGCCAACCAGTTAGTTTGTAATATTTCTTTTTATGATTTGTCACATTCATCCCATAAACATGTACAGGCTATGTGCAGCTTGTGTACCTAAAGAAACACTCTAATTAAATATGTATTATAGTATTTGTATTTGTTTCATTTGTTATGTCCCCTGTTGGTTGTAGGAATAAAAAAAGGTTGACGAGGCAGAGAAGGGCATACCTACGAATAAGTAAAAGAAAATATAACGGGCTAGAGTTGTTAAGAGCTTTATAAGAAAAGGATAGTATTTTTAATTGACTCCTATAGGATGCAGAAAGTCAATGTAAGGATTGATAGAAGTGTTAGGTGTGAGAGGAGCGACCGGAGAGAAAAATCAGCCTGGCGGCAATGTTCATTACAGACAAGCCAGTACAGCTTCTGGGGAGACCAGTTAGGAAAGAATTACAGTAATCCATTTAAGAAATTACTAGATCTCCTTAACCAGGATGTGGCAACAAACTGGACATGAGGTGCAAAGGTGAGGCCTGAGCTAACACCAAGACAGTGAGCTTGCTAAGACCGTTTGATGCAGGTACCATCAACTTCCAGGGAGAGCGAAAGAGGAGGATTAGTATTATGAGGAGGAAAAACAAGAAACTCAGTTTTAGAGATATTGAGCTTCAAACAGATTAGAAGGGGAGAGCTTGCAAGACACATGAAATCTGCTGCTTTTGCATGCGGTTTTTACATATATTCCCCAATGAAAAAATGTAGAATTAAACGCAAAACATACCAAAATCATTATTTAGTCGATATACCCCCAATTAAAACATGCATGCATTTGGGCAGTGGAGTGTCTCTTTAATAGGAAATGGTAATAACACAGCAAAGACAATTGCATGTTGTAGGTGTAAAAATAAAAGGTGAGAAAACAAAACTCTATCACCATTGTTCGTGTTCTTAAATTGTCCAGGAGTACAGCATAGCTCCTGTCGTAGGAGGAGAAACTACATTCAGGGTACATTTGAGATATGTGTTCCAAGTCCCCACTCCTACAAAATACTCAAAATGATCTTTGGCTCTGTAGGTTAAATAAACCATTTTCCCCACCCTTGTTTCTGTTAGAGTGCCCAATGCTGAGATCCTTGGCTAAAGCACCACAGCAGAAAATTGGCAGCCCAATGTAAAGCTTCCTTTTAGTTACCAGTCTTCTAGCAAAGGGGCATGCGCAGGACAATAAACATCTAGCCGAAATACAATTAGACACCTTTATCTTCCAGAATGAATGGGGTCGGAATCTAAAAGGTAGTGCTTTTAATTACCTTTTATTTTACCAGGCACTTGAGAAGGAATTTGTTTTGTGGGCTTTTAGTTGTTCACCATTTTGCTTTATGCTAGACAGATTATCATAACAATTGAAGAATGGGTCAAGATATAGAGAAATAGCGCAGACAATAGATTTATAGATACAGAGGCAGATTAAGTACATTTGATACATATCTTTGAAGATCTTTCCAGCACACAGCAAAACTCCTTCTGGAAGAAATTGGGCCTAGCAGGAAGAGGAGCAGGTGCGGATATATTCTTTACTCACTTTTCTGAATGAGGAGCTGCCGATAGGCTAAGAGTGTCTTCTGACACTGGTGCCTTGTCCTAGGCTTCCCAATTGAAAGACTTTCACTAAAGGACTTATTCATAGATCAAGTAAGAAATGAACAGTTGAGCGAGGAAAAAAGAGGAGCCGGTAAATAATAAATAACAACAAAAAATTATATATAATGTATAAATCCCTTGAGGACGGCGAGCGTGCTATGCCTTCCTTGGGGACCTGGCTCTAAACGCCGGTGGGTGACAGAGCACGTCCCCACTGTCCTATGTACTTACCCGGTCGCCGGCGATCCCACGCCTGGTGATAGCGGTGTGGGGACTCACCTGGCATCCCAGGGAGTCCCCCTGCTGCGGTCTCGGCCCACCTGGGCCATGTGATCGTGAGGTCCTTGCGAGGACCTCACGATCACATGGACTGCATAGCTGTCCACAGCAGTGCCAGCTGGGGGAGTGCCTGTAATTACAGGTACTCTCCCTGCTACCTGTAAAATGTAAAAAAAACTTAAGTTTAAAATAAAATATTATATATACACACACACTGTCTAAGTGTATTTTAATATTAATATATAATTATATATTAATATCAAAATACACGTAGAATGATGTTGAGTAAATATATATTTATATATAATATCAAATAAATATGGAAAAACCTAAAAAAATTATAAAATATGTATATAAGCATAAAATACCGGCACTCAAGGCTTTCCAAAAGTTTATTCTCCATTATTGTGAATAAATGGAGAACTAAACTTTTGGCAAGCCTTGAGTGCCTGTATTTTTATTTGCTTATAATTGAGCCACCAGAGCACCAGGTATTATTTTCTTTTTATTCGTTGGAGTGCAGGGGTTGCCTGTATTTTTATTTATATATGTGTGTGTATGTGTGTGTGTGTGTGTGTGTGTGTGTGTGTGTGTGTATATATATAGTGTGTGTATGTATATATTTATGTAATTTACATAATTAGGTCAATTTATTAATTACAATTTGCGGGACCTGCCTGTCAACCCAGGCCGAAAGTACAGGGAATTTTAATTTGCTTGCACTATATTTAACCTTGTAACTTTACAAAACACCATAAAACCTGTACATGGGGGGTACTGTTTTACTCGAAAGACTTCGCTGAACACAAATATTAGTGTTTAAAAACAGTAAAATGTATTATAACGATGATATCGTCCGTGAAAGTGACATTTTTTGCATTTTTCACACACAAATTGCACTTACACTGACGATATTGTTGTGATACGTTTTACTGTTTTGAAACACTAATATTTGTGTTCAGCGAATTCTCACGAGTATAACAGTACCCCTCATGTACAGGTTTTATGGCATTTTCAAAAGTTACAGCATCAAATATAAGGCTTGCGTTTCAGTTTTTTCACATTGAAATTCGCCAGATTGGTTACGTTGCCTTTGAGACCATATGGTAGCCCAGGAATGAAAATTACCCCCATGATGGCATACCATTTGCAACAGTACACAACCCATTTCCCATTTCAATGGCAAAAAACTGAAAAATGTAACTTTCCAAAAACACCATAAAACCTGTACATAGCGGGTACTGTTTTACACGTGAGACATCGCTGAATACCAATGTGTATTTTATTGCAGTAAAAGCAAACAGTGTTATGACATTCACAGTTAAAATGTTAAAAAAAATCTTATTTTCTCCCACTTTTTTAAATATTTTATTCATATTAAATTATGTTTCATACCTAAATATTTGATGTTAAATGAAAGCCCTGTTTCCCCTGAATAAAATGATATATAATAAGTGTGGGTGCACTTAATATGAAAGAGGTGAATTATGGTTGAACAGACATATAGTCAAATTCCAGATTTTGTTTACGTTTTGTACATCAAAATGTGTACATTTGTCTCAGTCCTTAAATAGATTTTGAAAAAATTTTTTTTACTGCTCCTCCTTTTTCTTCTATTGATTACTTTTCACTGTATCTGTGAATCAAATGGTGCGAAAATGCCCCTGTCTGTGTTCTGTAAAATAAAAACTTAATATATAAATTTTGGATTTTTTTTTTTGCCACGCACAAGTTTACTAGCTACTTCCTATATTGATTAAAAAAATAAATAATTTTTTTTTATATATATGTAGAAAGGCCATTAGGCCTGAATTTGTGGGAGGAGTAAGTCCTTAAACTCCCAGCCCCTACTCACCGCTGCCGCTCAGCTGATTGTCCTTAGCAACCAGCACTTCCGGTCCAGCTTCCCGCCAGAACTGTACCTGTTTCCAGCAGTCAGACGTCCTGTTCAATCCTCCGTCCGCTCGAGGTCCTTCCACTTTTCCCCGGTCGAGGTACCCGACTTCCGGTCACGAGACCGGCACGTTCACGTAAGCAAGGCGTGGGAATTAGCGTTTGCTATTTTCCGCCGTTCGGGCCTAAAAACGTAGGGGTAGGCTCCCTCTTTCGCATTTACACGAATACATGCTTTTCGTTAAAATCTCCATTCGCGCCAAAACGCACGAACGCTCGGCTCATTTCACTATCGTTTAAACATATTCGTACGGAAACTACCGAATATATATTTAATGTATTAAGCTCATTATTATCTGTATTCCCTTTTTCCGTTCGGTCATTTAGTACCAACCTATTCGTATGGTTAAATACACGAACACCATCTTACTAATTTACATTCGGTTATATTTCTATTCTTACAAGCTAAAGCATGCATAAGTTCTAATCACACGAATCCTACTATTACTTATACCTTCACATCAGTTTGGGGTTATTCTATCTGGTTTAACTACCAGCCTTGTGTTTTTCCTACCTTTGATAACCGATTACGTATTTTTCTATAATAAACATACTGTTTTAACCATGGTTTAACCATGGTTCATACCTTCATACGTGTCTAATACAAGCAATACCATTCTTTCCAAAAAAAAAAAAACACTCAGTTATAAGTCATTTAAACACTACATACAAGTAATACCCATTACACATAATCCGTACTATTCCTTTCACATTAATCACGCTGTCACATATTTTGGCTTTTACAGATTGCATCGGTCTCTTGCTTTTCTGCGCTAAAGTTGTTATTTCAAGGTCCTTTTATTACAGGAACAGGTATGGTATATTATCACTTTGAGTTATCAGGTTTTTATCAATTATCTTCACATCTATCGCTAATATGGAAATTGTCTTTGGTTAAACGCATAGATCCTGTATTAGTCTAAGCTTCCACCGATTCTACGCAGTTAACCTGCCACGATTAAACATAATCTCTGTACTTCAAACCAAGGTATAGTTCACTCTCTTTTCAATACTAGACCTCACGCGGTCTCAACTCCATTACTACCTTTCCTCAGGCTTACGCCCAGGATACGTTATCTCTTTACTACTTGTCTACACAGACATTCGGTCGTACGGCCATCAGGCTCAGAAAACACCAAAAAACCTGACCCGGTACTCAGCCATACCTTCAGGTACTTACGTCCTTACTCAAGTACGTCCATTCGCTACCCCAAGGCCTCATTCTGCCTTCTCACTTATATCTAAAATCATCCCATTCCTACACCTAAACCTCCCAGATCCCTCAATGCAGGATCTCACGTGGCGCCCCTAACAAACCTTCTCCCAATACTATTCATACGACATTACGATACGTCTAAATACATCAACATCTGTCTTAAACCCCCAGGATTCTTCCTCTAAGACCGCATTAAGACAAGACTCTCTACACTTATCAGGAGGCTCCAGATACCATTTAAGACCAGTCAAGGTTAGTATCCACACACCACTCCAGTCCTCTCACTTTACCCTTAAGCATACAATCGAACTGGCTATAGGGCACAGGCTAATGCCTTAGCCCACCCTATCAGGAAATCCGATCCCGCGAGGCCTATCACCCCCACCCCACCTCAACACGGAGGTACGGCCCCACGCCCAAACCATAGTTATAAGCCTCGCATGCCCTACTACAGGGCTCTAGTTAGGGCCTCACCTGTCACGGCCACACGTTTTGATTTCTCTTATCGTCACCGAGAGGCCAACATCCCGCCATCACGTCTGTGGCACCTACGTCATAAGCCAAATCATAGGTAGAGCCTCTCACCGCCACTTGGCATTAGCAGGGCCTCACCTATCCAGTCATCCAACAGTTAAGTTTTTCGCCTCAGCATCTAGCATTACAGTCCAGTTCTTCCAGATACACCACTCCCCATACCCCCCCTACTTACCTCACTCCCCTTCTAATATATCTTTCACATAATCATTCCTTTTTAGAATGTCCCAAGAACCAATTCCAAACGAAGAACTGACAGAAAAAACACCATTCACGCCAATCAGACCCGTGTGTCCAGGCGAATCACTCACTCTTTCAACCCCCACGTCCTTGAGAGCATGGACTATTCCCAAAATCACGGCCGAGCTTAGGCTCAGGGGAATCCCCTTTCCGGCCACAGCTATAAAGGCAGAACTTTACAGGCTGCTTACCCACCAAGTCCCCGAGCCTAGGCCGGGAACTAGCTTTCAAGGGCAACCACCAAGAAACAGCACAGCCACCCAGGATACCCTAGCAGATATCTTGGCCAATCTACAGACCCTCAATAGCAGGCTGTCTAAGGTGGAGAGCGCCATCTCCTCCTCAGGTACTAACACCGAAGTCCCAGTCTCTACCACGGCTGTACCTGCCATACCTACATTCCCCCCTATACTCCCCCCTCCAGCACCTGGCACAGCCATCACAACATTCGAGTCACCAGCACACTCCGTCCCAGACTCTATCAGGAAAGATATCCTAGGATGTGTGTCTGGTGTCTTTACTCATAGCCTCTCAGGATATACTTGAGAACAAGGCATACAACTATGGTGACATTTCAGTCGTGCTCAAAACGAGGTATCCCAGGCTCAATAAAAAATTGTCTATCCCCCAGTTCGTGATAGCTTTCGGGATATACCGCGACGTCATTTGCACGGTGTATCCCCATAGGAGAGAAGAGCTAGATCTCTATCTCCACAAGGTAGTGGATCTAGGCATCAAGTACGGGGGCTCTTCCTTCTATGACTACCACAAGTCAGTTTCAGCGAAAGCGGCGACCCATCTCAAGCAGTTCAACATTAGAATGAACTGGGGTCAGATGGACACAGAACTTTTCTGTCGCCACTTCGCTGGACTCAGGCCCCCGGCTTGTGCCATCTGTAATTCTACATCCCACATGGCTGACTTATGTCCCGTCGAATCAGATCACACCACCTCCACTCCCACCCCTCACCCCACGTTCACACCTAACTCCTCTTTCACCCCTCACAACAAGCCAGTGGGTGGTCTTCGGGATAAGCTGGGTAGGCCCATCTCCTTTTTAGGTAAAGCGCAGGTGTGCAATAATTTCAACGCAGGCTCCTGCAGTTTCAGCGCCTGTAGATTATTGCACATCTGCTCCATATGTTTCAGGGCACATATCAAGACCATGTGTCCAGCCAGGTTGTCACCAAACAAATGACTAACCGACATAAATATCGACAACATGTTTTTTTATCTAAGGTCTCACCCCAGCAGGCACTTGGTGGATTTTCTCACCACAGGTTTCTAACAAGGGTTTCACACAGGCATAGTAGCCATTCCCCCAGATACACTAGAATGTCCTAATCTCCAGTCTGCACGTTTAGACCCAGTCGCTGTAGACACTCTCATTTCCGCAGAAACCACTAACAGTTTCATGATCGGTCCCTTCACCTCTTCACCGTTTTCCTCCTGGCGCACTAACCCTATTGCTATTCACAAATATTCTAATAAAAAACGTCTTATTATCGATTTATCGGCACCGCACTCCTCTTTTGTTCCAAGCATAAACGCACTCATTCCAGCAGCCGAATTCTCACTTCAGTATGTTACCATCGACGATGCCATACAGTCCATCATTACATTTGGTAATCGACCCTGGCTCAGCAAAACAGACATCACTAACGCCTTTAAATTACTGCCCATACACCCCTCGCTCTGGCACTTACACGGTGTTAAATGGCGAGGGAATTATTACTTCTCAACACGACTCACTTTCGGTTCTCGAAGCAGCCCCAAACTTTTCGACATTTTCGCAGAGTCACTATGCTGGCGGCTTCTGAACGTCATCAGGTGTCACTCCGTTATTCACTATCTAGACTACTTTCTACTGATAGAGCCAGGGTCATCAACACCCACAGCAATCAAAAGTACTACCGCACTATTTTCCACACTTGGAGTCCCTTTGTCCCCAGCCAAAACTATAGGACCCACAACAAAGTTGACCTTTTTAGGCATAGAGCTCGACTCTGTCAAACTCAGAGCTAGCCTTCCCCACGACAAACTTTCACGATTGAGAGGGGAGATAGACACGTTCCTGCGGAATGACGTTTGCACCAGGAGAGAACTTCAGTCCCTTCTCGGATCTCTGAACTTTGCCATGCGCATCATTCCGCAGGGAAGGTCTTTCATATCCAGACTTCTTTGCCTGCTCCATGGAGTCCCGGACTCCGGCACAGTTTCTTTGGACCCCCACGCCAAGGCTGACTTAGCTATGTGGGGGAAGTTTTTGAAAGACTGGAATGGTATCTCCATGTTTATCCCCCCTCTCTCCACCTCTTCACCCATCATCCACACAGATGCAGCAGCCAACACCGGTTTCGCAGCCATTTTCGGGAACCACTGGTCTAGGGGCCACTGGCCCACTGAGACGGATGCCTTGCCAGGATTCAGGGAGACTTCAGCCCTATTTGAAATTTACCCCATTGTGGCGGCCGCACACACCTGGGGTCATCTCTGGTCCGGCAAGGCAGTAAAATGCTACTCAGATAACTCGGCAGCTTGCGATATCATTAACAAAGGGCGCTCATCATCCCTGACCATCATGCGGCTGATTCGCAAGTTGACCTGGCTGGCAGCATCCAATCAGTTTCACTTAGTATGTTCTCACATCCCGGGTATTCACAACACCGCCGCTGACGCTCTTTCTCGTTCTCGATTCCAGGCATTTTCTCAGGCACTCCCAATGGCTCACCAACAGCCATCCAGGACACCACGGTTTCACGAACTAATCTTGGATTAAGCACACTCTTGCTTCACGCTAGATCACTCACTCACCAAGCATTATCACCCAACACTGCTATCACTAACAATTGGGCACTTAACATATTTAACAAATTCACTGCAGAATTCGGGCTACAAGGTGACTTTTCCATCCAAACCATGGTGTCTTTTGCCTCTTTCTGCCACCTACACCTTAATCTGTCGCACAACACCATTAAACTTTACCTCACCGGGGTTCAGCACCACAGCCTCACCAATTTTCCTAACAGCACTCCTTTTTTGTCTTCATACCCCATTAAAAAGGTCTTGAAAGGTATATCAAAGGTTTCACCTCCACTCGCAAGCACTAGATTACCCATAGACGGGCCTATCTTCAGGTCACTTAGCAATCTCCTTGACACAGCCACATTTAATAGCAACACCAATACGGTGATCAAATCTGCTATATATCTCGCTTTCTATGGTTTTTTCAGACCTAGAGAGTTCACCGTGGTTTGTCAAGGAGATATCGCGCTAAGCCTTAAAACTTCACACCTCACCAAGATAGAGGATCACTACCTACTTTCTATCCCTACCACTAAAACCAACCGGTCAATACACCCTACTATAATCCCTCTCTTCCCTACTGATAATGCCTGGTGTCCGGTGAAAGTTCTCGACCATCTACGGTCAACTCTTCACGCTCACCTGCCAGACTCTCCGCTCTTAACATTACAAGGGCACCCGCTTACCTCGGCAAAATTGATGTTACATGTCAGAACCCAGTTATCTAAGCTCGGACACAACCCGGCTGCATTCTCCGGGCACTCCTTCCGCATAGGAGCCGCCTCAGCAGCCTCTAGCACAAATGCACCGGTCCACATCATCAAAAGGCTGGGGCGATGGAAATCCTCCATATATAACGCATATATTCCACAACCGGAGAAAGAGCTTCGCCAAGCTTTGAGGAACTTGGTCTTGTAAAATGCAATAAAGTGTGTATTTTCTCGAGTTTATCTTTTGCCCTCTTTTATTTACAGGCCCACTCGTACGTTGGTTTCGGCACACCACAACCAACTTTGCTCACAGATACTATCCATTACGTATTTAAATTCCGAGCACAAGTAGAAAGGCCATTAGGCCTGAATTTGTGGGAGGAGTAAGTCCCCTACTTAAACTCCCAACCCCTACTCACCGCTGCCGCTCAGCTGATTGTCCCCACCCACCTACACCCTGTTTTAACTACATTATCCTTGGTGGGCCCTCTTTTATTTACAGGCCCACTTGTACGTTGGTTTCGGCACACCACAACCAACTTTGCTCACAGATACTATCCATTACGTATTTAAATTCCGAGCACAAATATATATATATATATATATATCTCTCACAAATAATGGCACTCACCCTTACTAGTATAATAAATAGTAGAAGTGCCCTGGTGCAATCTCACGCTGATAAATAGTTATATTGAAAAAAGACTGTTCGGGTCTTCCTCAGGATCAACATGTAAACATAAAATCAGAATATATATAGAAAAAGATAGTGTACTCACCAGTTGTGATTAACTCCCTCATCCATTCAATCCGAACCCGGAAGTGAAAACCGGAAGTCACGTGACGTGCAAAATCACGTGAGAATGTGATTCCAGTGAATAGGGTTTCTAGGAAACCAATGAAAATATTATAAAATTGGTTTCATACTGGTCCGTATATTACGTGGATTGTGAAATATATGTGGCTATTTGTTAAATTATGTATGTGAAAACAACGTACAAAATCCACACGAACTCACTGAGTGCATGTGTCAGTGAATAATACTACAGAAATATCGTGAAATGGAAAAAGTGTCATGCGTAAATAAACAAAAGTGCAGCAGAATATCTAACAGCCAAAGTGAAGCAGATTTGTGTAGTTAGACATATACATAGATAACATAAAATTAAAACATAAATGCCTCCCATGGACAGAAACTAAAGTGTATATATATTGTATATTTACATAAGATGTCTTATTACTTAAACGCAAAGGAAGGAGCAGATTATGGAGTCATATTATATAAATATTGAATATAACACAGAATGACTCTCCAAGGAGCAAAGAAGCTTGAAGGTATTGATATTTAGACATCATTAACTAAACAACTAGGAGCATAATTATTTTGCATTATGTGAGACAATCTAGATTGTATCAAATTTGTAAGAACTTTTGTGTGTGTGTGTGTATATGTATATTAGCACAAGGAAGAAGTTTAGCTACTTAGACCCCATCATCCTATCCCACATCTAAGGAAATGATGTTGGACATGACAATGATAAGTGTCCAAATGTCAGAAAGCGATATAAAGTTGTCTCTCAGATTGAGATTGAAAATCAATGAGACATAATATCCAGGAATACAAACTGAAAGATAGAAAATAAAAATAAGAATATAAAATAAGTAATAAATAAATAAAACAAATTGAAATAAACATGAATGTTAGACACCTAAAGAAATAGAACGTTCAAAAAACTAAATCCTGGACGTGCGATACCTCCATAGCTCCATACATTAGAAATTTTTTGAATTTAAAGGTATATATTACAACCTTATTTGCAATAGCAAATTAAAGAAAAACTGCGTAAACAATATTTTCATTGAGTCCTTTGGGGTCACGGTGTCAAGTCGATGGATCCAGCGTTCCTCTCTTTGTAGCAGCATTCTGCATCTGTCTCTACGTCTAGGTAAAGGAGGGATATGATCAATTGCTGTGAAACGTAAAGTTGGTAATCTATGTCCAAGAGCAAGAAAATGTTTCCCCACTGGTTTGTCGCTGTAGTTGTCACGGAATGCAGTCATGATAGTAGATCGATGTCCCCGTATCCGGTCCCTAAGGGTAAGATCAGTCTTACCCACATAGGATAAGCCGCATGGGCACGTGATTAAATAGATCACATGGTCAGTGGTACAAGTGATGTAATGAGGAATATTAATTCTTTGGCCATTATGAGGATGAACGAAAGTAGCTCCACTGACCATGTGGCTTCAGGTAACACATCCACTGCATTTAAAACACCCTTTTTTGACAATTTTAGTGGCTCCTTGATAGCAATGTCTGGGATCATTCTTTGTAAGGATGTCTTTAAGATTTCTGTTTCTCTTATAGCTCAACATAGGTCGATTCTGAAATGACTTAGGTAATTGTTTGTCAGTTTGTAACATATCCCAATGTTTGTTGATTGATTCTCTGACTTTTGAAGTAACCGTGTGGATAGTTAAGGGTAGGAATATCTTAGATGGCAATGTTGTTTTAGTTATCTTGTTCTTTTCAGATTCAGAAATTTCTTTAGCTCGTTTTTGTGCTACTTCAAGAGTATGGAACGGATATCCCCTGACCTTAAATCTATTCCACATTTCCTGAAGATGTATTTCACATTTTTCTTTAGTGCTGTTATAGCTATATACCCGCATATATATATATATATCTATATATAGATATATATATATATATATATATATATATATATCTCAAAGTGCACACTAGAAAGTGGAAAATTACTGATAAAATATTACCCTTAAAGATAATAAGATTGTAAGAAGACTCCTCAAATCTTCTGTATAAACATAGAAAATATACAATCTAGGAAAGAAAAAATATACAACAGTGTAGAACGATAGACTCTAGTGTACTACTGGTATTATTGCACTCACAAGATTTAACACAGTAAAGGAGTTTAAGCATGCGTGGGATAGGCATAAGGCTATCCTAACTATAAGATAAGGCTAGGGACTAATGAAAGTATTTAGAAAATTGGGCAGACTAGATGGGCCGAATGGTTCTTATCTGCCGTCACATTCTATGTTTCTATGTTAACTTGATTACAGGCTCATACAGGTTTCTTTAAGCGATGTAGCCTTTGATTCTTCTCTCTTGGAAGAGAGGAAGAAATGCAAACATAGTGTACCAATATCAGAATAAAAACACCTTTAATTATATTGCACTTACAGCAAAGATAATTTTTTTCTTGCATATCAAAGTGTTGTTCTTCCACAAGCAGAGAGACAAAAGAAATCCCTCCGGAACAAAAACAAGATGATAGGGGGGCAGGGCCGGACCGCCGAGCTGAACGGTCGCAAGCAGGAGCAGCTCCTGCAATAAATCTATGATTCGACTCCTAAAACATGATTTTTCACTCTAAAGCTGACCGACAGCAAAGATATCCAAAGCAGGGTAGAGGCTGGCTCAACGAACTTTAGTCCCCTGAGGGAGAAACTCTTGTCGCCTGAATTGAGGCTTTCTCCGGCGGTGAGTGGGGCGGACGGCCACCTCCCCACTATCCTGCACCACGGACCCCAAGCAAAGGTTCAATACTGAGTGGACCCGGCCCTGTTTCCCCCATGGACCGGGGGGTGATCCCGGTCCTCGCCCCAAGTTTTGGACCGAGGCTGAGGGGGTGTCAGGTTACCTTTGGTGTCTACCTCGGAGGAGGTTAGACACCTAGACGTCCATCCTCCTAGGGGGGCTGACTCACCCGATCCTCGCAGTCCTCCCGGCCGTTTACACGCCGGCCGCGATAGCTCCGCCTCCTTTTATGACGCGGCGCTCAGTAGCCGACGTCATGACGGCAATCACGTTCCGACCCGTCAATCACGGCAACCAAGTGCCGAACAACGAATCAGGACTCGTTGGGGGCGGGGCCAACAGTTAAAGAGCCAAGGTATAAAAGAGGGTTTTGTGGAATGATTCATTGCCCTGTCGTGGTTCTAGCTAGTCTGGTCACTCAGTGCTCTTACCTCTATTGTCTTTTGGTTCCTGACTCGGCTTGTATTTTTTGACCCTGCTTCCCTCTCTTGTCCTTTTGACTCGGCTTGTCTCTCGCTTACCTACTCTCTCGTTCCCTCGACCTCGGCTTGTCTCTGACCATTCTTTGCTTTCTCCTTACGTTAGTCCGGCCATTCTAAGGTCCGGTATACGTACCTATCTCCTGTTTGTATTCTGCGTGTTGGATCCCTGTCACGATCCTGACATTACGACAGGGCCAATGGATCCTGCAGGTACAAACTCTCAGGTCGGTTCTCCTGACTCTAGATTTGAGGCCATGGATCATAGAATGGACCAGATGGCTCTAGCTCTGCAAGCATTGCTATCTCGTCCTAGTAATCACTCAGAGGAGATGCGTACCCCATCTATCTCTCCTGTAAGTACAGGCCTAGAGGTAGCCACAGTGGCTGCATCTTCCCGTGTTACTTCCCCTTCACGCTATGGCGGCTCTCCTGACACTTGTCGAGGTTTTTTAAACCAGATAGGTATTCATTTTGAGTTACAACCCCACGCCTACCCTACTGACAGGGCGAAGGTTGGATTTATAATCACGTTGCTCATTGACAAGGCACTTAGATGGGCTAACCCCCTGTGGGAAAATGATAACCCGTTAGTTTACAATTATAATGCTTTTGTCGCTGCATTTAGGAGAACTTTTGACCCCCCAGGAAGAAAGGCCAATGCAGCTAGACTACTGTTACGTCTTAGACAGTATAACCGAACCCTCGTGGATTATGCGTTAGAGTTCAGATCCTTGGCGGCAGAAGTCAAGTGGAATGAACAGGCTTATATGGACGTATTTATAAAGCGGGTTATCTGATGAGATTCTAGATGAGGTTGCCACAAGAGAACTTCCTGAAAATTTGGAGGATTTGATTTCATTTATTTCCCGAATAGATGAACGTATGAGACAGAGGCAGAATACTCGGGATAGAACCCGCAGATCCTCCATAAGACTAGCTCCCTCATTTCAGAGTTCTGGTTCTACTACTTTAGCTCTCCCAGAACCTATGCAAATAGGTAACACTCGACTCTCAGAAGAGGAAAGACAGTACAGGAGAAGGGAGGGGCTTTGTATGTATTGCGGAATAAGAGGTCACCTACGCCTAAATTGCCCTAACCGGCCGGGAAACGCTCGCACCTAAGTTTCTCAAGAGGACAGGCCTTGGGTGTTTCTATCTTGTCCTCTATATATGATTATAAAGATCATAGGCTTCTGATACCTGTTTCTTTAGCTTGGGAAAAGGGAGTACTTAATGCTATGGCTTTGATAGATTCCGGAGCAGCTGAAAGCTTTATTGACCAAGCCTTTGTCACTAACCATTCTATCCCATCTCAGCTAAGGGATACACCCTTGGCCGTTGAGGCCATAGATGGTAGACCATTATCTGAACCTGTTATTTTTCGTGAAACCATACCAATTAAGTTAACCACTGGTATCCTACACAAGGAAAGAATATCCCTCATGCTGATCTCATCTCCTTCAGTTCCAATAGTCTTGGGGTATCCCTGGCTTAAGAAGCATAACCCTACTATTGACTGGGAACTGGGTGAGATAGTCTCCTGGGGTCAGGGTTGCCAGAGAGGATGTTTACAGAAAGTCTCACCGGTTTGCATGGTTGACGCCCCGGTTAACTCTTCCCAATCTACAGATTTACAGATACCGTCTCAGTACCTGGATTTAAAGGCAGTCTTTGACAAAAAGAAGGCTGATACTTTACCTCCACATAGGTCCTTCGACTGTAAAATTAGACTCCTGCCTGGTACTATGCCTCCGAGGGGTACGGTATATCCTTTATCCACTAAGGAGAACTTAGTCCTAGAGGAGTACATACGTGAAAATCTAGACAAAGGATTTATTAGGAGATCTTCTTCTCCGGCCGGGGCCGGTTTCTTTTTTGTAGATAAAAAAGACGGCACTCTACGGCCTTGCATTGATTATCGGGGCTTGAATAAGATAACTATTAGAAATGCTTATCCTATTCCTTTGATTACTGAGCTCTTTGATCGACTGAAAGGCTCCAAGATTTTTACCAAGTTAGATCTGAGGGGAGCTTATAACTTGGTGAGAATTCAGCAGGGAGACGAATGGAAAACAGCTTTCAATACCCGTTATGGCCACTATGAATACACGGTAATGCCCTTCGGGCTTTGCAATGCACCTGCAGTATTCCAGGACCTAATTAATGAGGTTCTTAGGGAATTTCAGCATGAATGCGTTATAGTATATTTGGATGATATACTAATACACTCTAGAGAGATTGAGACTCACCACAGACAAGTCAGAAGGGTACTGCGCAAACTGTTACAACATGGATTGTACTGCAAATTGGAAAAGTGTAGCTTCGACCAATCTCAGATAAACTTTCTTGGCTACGTTATTTCTGGAGACGGATTTAGGATGGACCCCATTAAACTCCAATCGATTTTAGATTGGCCATTGCCCAGGGGACTCAAGGCCATTCAGAGATTTATCGGATTCTCCAATTATTATAGGCGCTTCATTAAAGGTTACTCTTATATTATTGCTCCTATTACCAATATGACTAGACAGGGTGCTGATACCAAGACTTGGTCTACAGAGGCTCTCTCTGCTTTCAAAACACTCAAAGAACATTTTGCCTCAGCACCGATATTAGTTCATCCTGACACATCTTTGCCTTTTCTACTCGAGGTAGACGCCTCGGAGACAGGTATAGGCGCTATCTTGTCCCAAAGGCTCGGTTTGGATAAACCGTTACATCCATGTGGTTTTTTTTCCAAGAAATGATCTGGGCCTGAAAGTAGATATGACATTGGTGACAGGGAACTGTTAGCGGTCATTATGGCTTTAAAGGAATGGAGACATTTGTTGGAAGGGACTTTATACCCGGTTACTATTTTGACGGATCACAAGAATTTGTCCTATATAGGGGAGGCCAAGCGCTTGTCCGCCAGGCAAGCTCGTTGGTCCTTGTTCCTTACACATTTCAATTACGTGCTCACTTATAGACCTGGTTCTAAGAACTCTAAGGCAGATGCATTGTCCCGCCAACATGAACCTTCTACGGTGTCTGAAGCAGCTTTGTCTTCTATCGTTCCCAAGTGTAATATTATTGCCAACACGTGTGTCAGGATACACTCGCCGTTGCTTGCTGAGATCAAGAAAGTACAACATCTAGCTCCCAAACCTGTTCCTGGGGCTCGGTACTTCGTTCCTCCTGAGCTCCAAGTGGAACTGCTGCATTGCTTTCATGACAGTAAAGTTGCTGGGCACCCCGGCATACGCAAAACGTGTTCCCTGATTTCTAAAGATTTCTGGTGGCCTTCTTTTCGTAAGGATATAAGGGATTTCGTCGGGGCATGTGCTGTCTGTATGAAGACTAAGCAACCTCATGCGCTCCCATGTGGGCTTTTGCACCCCTTAGAAATTCCCGAGAGACCATGGTCCTGTTTGGCTATGGACTTCATTGTCGATTTGCCTGTTTCTAAAAAACATACTGTTATTCTCACGGTGATTGACAGGTTTACTAAAATGGCTCATTTCGTGCCCTTGCCTAAACTGCCCTCGTCTCCCGAATTAGCTGAGATATTCGCGAGGGAGATTTTTCGTTTACATGGTATTCCCTCTGAAATTGTTTCTGATAGAGGTTCCCAATTTGTTTCCCGCTTTTGGAAGTCTTTCTGTTCTCACTTAGGCATCAAGTTGAATTTCTCATCTGCCTACCATCCCCAGTCCAACGGAGCTGCCGAACGCACCAACCAAAAGATTGAACAATATTTGCGTTGTATTGTTTCTGAACACCAGGACGATTGGGTTGGTCTGATTCCTTGGGCAGAGTTTGCGCACAACAATCTCGTTTGTGATTCTACTCGTTCTAGCCCCTTTTTCTTGAATTATGGCTTTCATCCTTCCATTCTTCCGTCGGTTTCCCCTTCCCAAGGGGTACCGTCGGTTGATGTTCATGTCGCCAATCTGAGAAAGTTGTGGGATCAGACTCGACTAATTCTTCTTCAGAATTCCATGATGTTCAAACGACACGCTGACAAACGGAGACGGGTGGCTCCGGTTTTTGCCCCGGGTGATAAGGTGTGGTTGAGTACCAGAAACATCCGCTTGAAGGTTCCTTCCATGAAATTTGCCCCTCGTTACATAGGCCCTTACAAGGTTCTGTGTCGGATTAACCCGGTTGCGTATCGTCTTGCCCTTCCGCCTGCCCTGCGCATCCCTAACTCTTTTCATGTTTCTTTGTTGAAGCCTTTGGTTTGTAACAGATTTTCCTCCGCTGAGTCCTCTCCTCTCTCTGTCCAGGTTGAGGGTCAGGAGGAATATGAAATCAAATCCATTCTCGATTCTCGTATTTCTCGGGGGAAGTTGCAATATCTTGTTGACTGGAAGGGGTATGGGCCTGAAGAAAGGTCTTGGGTGGGCCATGAAAATGTGCATGCCCCTCGTCTCCTCCGGGCATTTCATGCTCGTTTTCCGTCTCGCCCCGGTTCCTTCCGCCCGGTGGGCGTTTCTGAGAGGGGGGGTACTGTCAGGTTACCTTTGGTGTCTACCTCGGAGGAGGTTAGACACCTAGACGTCCATCCTCCTAGGGGGGCTGACTCACCCGATCCTCGCAGTCCTCCCGGCCGTTTACACGCCGGCCGCGATAGCTCCGCCTCCTTTTATGACGCGGCGCTCAGTAGCCGACGTCATGACGGCAATCACGTTCCGACCCGTCAATCACGGCAACCAAGTGCCGAACAACGAATCAGGACTCGTTGGGGGCGGGGCCAACAGTTAAAGAGCCAAGGTATAAAAGAGGGTTTTGTGGAATGATTCATTGCCCTGTCGTGGTTCTAGCTAGTCTGGTCACTCAGTGCTCTTACCTCTATTGTCTTTTGGTTCCTGACTCGGCTTGTATTTTTGACCCTGCTTCCCTCTCTTGTCCTTTTGACTCGGCTTGTCTCTCGCTTACCTACTCTCTCGTTCCCTCGACCTCGGCTTGTCTCTGACCATTCTTTGCTTTCTCATTACGTTAGTCCGGCCATTCTAAGGTCCGGTATACGTACCTATCTCCTGTTTGTATTCTGCGTGTTGGATCCCTGTCACGATCCTGACAGGGGGCCCGAGAGCTGTACACAAGATGGCGGGTGCCATGCACACAAGAGGCAGGGGGAAGACCAACTTCCTCCCCGCGACCATGGATGGTGAAGTGGCTCCTGCCTCCCGACCCAGCAATAAAGCAAGGCAGAGGAACACTTGCCTCAACCCGAAGCCAACCAAGCCAACACCAAACTGCACAAGCGTCCCACATGAGAGGACAATGGCGGCGGCACAGAGGGGCCGGAACACAGCACAATAACCATCCCTGCCTGGGCATGAAGAAAAGCAAGACACGTATTGGAAATTTGCCCATTGGCTTATGCAAATGATGTAGTTTCACTATTGGTTAGCAATAGTGAACTGACGCTAAATATTAAAAAGAATTACATCATTTCATACTAGCTAACAGGGATCCATGGAACGCAGGTATAAGCAGACACTGGAAGAGCGGGCAGCTCTAAACGAAAATGAAGACTGAAAAAGAATGAAAAACTGGTGATGTGAAGGGAACAAAAAAAAGCTTGCGGTGCCCATCATCATAACCACATGAAAAGGATGTTGTTGTTTTTTTAAATCACGTATTTAATACGCATAGAAGAGGTTTGTTTGTTTTTGTGTTTAGAACATATAGACCGTTTTAGATGAGGTGAAAGGATAAGTTTCAGTGATTCCATTTTGCTGATGTGTTGGGTATCTCTGATGGAAACCTTGTAAATGTCTTTTCTCCAAAAATAAAAAATGTTTTTTGCTTTGTTTTTTATTATCATATTTGTTTACATTTGGTAAGTCTGACTCAAATGGCCTTTTTACTGCTCTCCCATTTTATAAGTTCTGCTTCTCGAATCACATTCTTGGGAACTTTGAAGATCAGCAGACAACGTTAATCTCAATTAGTGTGATTGTGACAGCTGTGTACTGTGTTTGTGAGTCCCTTTGTTGCTTATGATTAATGGGCAAGCACAACCTCTGCTATTGCTGTGGAAAAACATGAATATCGCAAGTAATACTACTGAGATATATATTTTTTATTTCCTATTATCACATTATCTAGTTCTTAAATGCTGGTTTCGTCTTCAAGTAAGAAAAAAATGCTTTTTTCTTTTTGTTGGATTCTGGTGTATTTCTGCTCTGGTCAGAGGTGGAGACCTGTCGGACAAGTGCCATCTTGAGCGTTTTTTAGGTAAACCTTTTTTAAATGATTTAACCTTTTAATGGTAAAACATCTAGGCACTAAAACAACTTTATTGAGATGAATAGCTAGCCAGTCTATTAAAACTACCCTTATCAATGAATCCATGGTGTCAGGATACATACCCAAACTTTGGAAGACTGCAAAAGTAGTACCTATCCATAAAAATGGTGGCAATACTTTGATATCTAACTATTGCCTGATATCATTGCTCCCAGTATTGTCAAAAATCTTGGAAAAATGCGTCCACATGCAACTATGTGAATATTATCAACAATCAAATTATCTGACCCCTGATTTATCAGGCTTTTGTCAAAATCACTCAACTTCAACTTTCCTCTTAAAAGTTTGCAATGACCTCCAAATTGGCATGGAACAAGGAGATTTAACTGGAGCTATTTTCCTTCATTTCGCCAAGGCTTTTGACACAGTAGACCATGGCATTCTTTTGCAAAAACTTAAAACGTAGGCATTGGTGATCATCCGCTAACCTGGTTTCGATAATATGTTTCAGACCGATTGCAATATGTGGCCATTTCTGATAACGCCTCCCTCTTTCAGTCACGTGTGCTGTTCCCCAAGTAACCATACTCTGCCCCCTGCTATTCACATTATTTATAAATGATCTGCCTAACGTCTGCAAATCCTCAACTGTACACATGTATGCAGACATCACTGTAATCTACGCTAGTAAACCCAATCTACCGCAGTTTGAGGCTGTGTTACAAAATCTATTCACAGAGGTAAAAAAGTGGATAGCAGTTAACAAACTCTTCCTAAACACTGAAAAAATTGTTACAATGATCTTTGGAACTGTACCTAAATTATGTTAACTACAAAATCAACAACTGTGTATCAGATCAAATTCATCAGTAGGTGTGTTGCTAGACCCCAAGCTATTCTTTGGCCTTCACATTGAAAAACTCTCTTTGAAACTCTATCCAAAACCAGGTGCCCTGCACAGAAACAAATCATGCCTAAGCCCTACAGTAAGGAAACAGATAGTTCAACAAATGCTAATGCTGGTCATTGATTATGGGGATGTCGTGTATGCACCTGCATCTCAAACCCACCTTAATACGTTATATAATTCGTTCTGCCACTTTGTACTAGAATGTAATTACTTTACCCACCATTGTGACATGTTAAAAGCGTTAAACTGGCTATCGATGGAATCCCGATGCACTCTTCATCTTTCCAGCCTTGTGCATGAGAGCTTTTCTGGGAAGCTCCCACCCTACCTGAGTAGAATGCTCTCCCCAGCTGTTCCCACCTCCTATAACTTCCAATCCAGTACTAGCACGATATCTAGCATACCACAATACAAAAATAAAGTGGCTCGATTCTCAGTTTCCTACAGAGCATCACAATTATAGAATAACCTCAGTGACACAGTCAAATCTTCATTCAATCTAATTCTCCATTCTCTAAAAAGACATCTATGGAAATATAACTCAGCACAGAATGCACCTGTCATGGTTGAATATATTTATTACCTGTTATGTGTTAAATTTATATATGTGTGTATTTATGTGTGTGTGTGTGTGTGTGTGTGTGTGTATGTATATATATATATATATATATATATATATATATATATATATATATATATATATATATATTTTGTATTATATTTTTTGTAATATTGTATCCTGCTGTAACAAAGCAATGTTTTGTGGACCCAGGACATACTTGGAAACGAGAGAAATCTCAATGTATCCATCCTGGTAAAATGTTTTATAAATAAATAATAAAAAACATAAATAGTGTAACATTGTATGTCCCCAAAAAGTAGATATTGGTAATTATTGCACTCACAAAAGTACGTGAAATTCAGGCACGTAGTAAGGCTTTAGCGTGTGCGTCCTTCTTGCATCCTCTTTTCACTTATTCAATACATAAAGGGAAATGGAAAGGGACAAACACACAACGGTCGTGCCGCAATAAAATCAATAAAATAACACTATACAAGTTCCAAAGCCCTATGCGTTTTGTCCAATGTGGGACTTCCTCAGGGCATCCTACATTAGACGAAACGCATATGGCTTTGGGACTTCTATAGGGTACTTTTTTGTTTTTATTTGATTTTATTGCTGCATGACTGTTCCTGTGGACTCTTGTATCGGCCTGGACAGCAGGAGCTTGTTGACGTGCCTTACTTGAACTTTTATCTTGTGAGTGTAATCTTAATAAAGTCATTCTTCGGGTTTAAATTGTGCCTTAGTTGACCGAGGTTGCAGATTTTTTTGCTCAACTTAATCGAATCTCCAAGTTACTACTTCACTCTCTTGCTAAACCACATGCTAATTAGTAAATCTTTGAAGGTAGATTAGTGTTATTTCATTTGTCATGTCAGATAGGAAGATAATGTATAGGGGCCTTAACAACACATAGCATGAATTATGAAGCATTCTTCTACTATCGTACCAAAGCAAAAGTTTTAAAACTTCACTTTACAGACTGCATTTGGAATATGTAGCATACTCCTGTTCTTGAAATGTCTCCTATGTTAGCTTCAACAATCTTGATAGTGGAAAGCTCCATCTGGGGATCACCTTCCTCTGACTCGTTTCTCTTGCAAAAAGTGCAGTGAAACATTTTCACATGATTCCCTACCTGTCTATTCTCTCAGCTGTGCACGCAAAATCAAAAGAAATTAAGCAGTTCTGTCACTTGCGAGGTCTCTACGTGTTTTTGTACCCTCCCGGGAAACATTTCTGCTGGATGGCAGCACTTGATATACATGTTGGGGATAACTACTCACCTCAAGCTTTCCTCCCTTGGTGTCACCATCTTCTTTTGCTTCTCTGACATGCCAAGAACTGAGACACATTTCTAATTCTTGAATGCATATGGTGGTATGTAACAGCGAGCTTTGGTTATGCACTCTTGTGCGTTCTCGATAGTAAAAAAACAGGATCTGTGTTAGATCCATCACATCATTCATGTGCAAGGAGATGGAATAGATGTCTGGCAAAGCTTTAAATTTTGTCCCAAGTGATGGCTAATGGAAAAAGACAAAGCAGTTGTAAAGTAATAATATTCTGATTTTGCCATTTCCTTAGGCACACATAGATACATTTTGATTTTACTTGAATTTCAGTGAGTCTCCAATACAAAATAGTCTGTCATATAGTCTGCATCAAATGCTCTTTGTCTTTGAATAAGGTATTTGGATAATTAATATAATGATGGCTAAAATTTTGTTTACTGTTATATCTCATAAACTTACCATTGCAATTGCTCTTTTATATATATATATATATATATATTTTTTAAATATCAGGAAGTATTACTTTACTGAGAGGGTAGTGGATGCATGGAATAGCCTTCCAGCTGAAGTGGTAGAGGTTAACACAGTAAAGGAGTTTAAGCATGCGTGGGATAGGCATAAGGCTATCTAACTATAAGATAAGGCCAGGGACTAATGAAAGTATTTAGAAAATTGGGCAGACTAGATGGGCCGAATGGTTCTTATCTGCCGTCACATTCTATGTTTCTATATCCAAAACTTACTCTTCTCAATTGCCTTCTCAATTTAGTCCGCACTATCCTCTTCTTATATCACACATTTTTAATTTGCTTATAACTTTAACCTCGCCTGAAGGACGGCTTTGTGAGTACTTTATCCTGTATGCCTAAGTATTTGTCAATGGCTAGTATGCTTTTTAACCAAATTAAAAACATTGATTAAACAAATATGTACTCATAAAGCTTTAATGTTAGCCTAGTTATTTGGATTATTGTGCCTCCCAGAACTTTAAAAATCCACAGGGAAGCATTGGGAGGTTAGTGTGAATGTGCAGCAAATCACTGCGTTGTGCCAGTAAACGCCTCAGTGAGATGCATTGTGTCGGAGCATAGAGAAGCTGAACGTTAGTACTGCAGACGTGGCAGGACCGAAACCAGGAAGGCACCATTAACACTGATGAAGCCGAATAGTTAGTCTCTATAGCCTAGAACCACTACATGAAGCTGTTGTTGGTCTGGTGCTTATGGTGTCTATTTAATAATGATAAAGAGCCCCAACCAACAAAATTATGAATGGATAAAGTGTTACTAAAATAATTTAGTTTATCCTATATACCCCATCAACTCATGTTTAATGTAAAAAAAATAAAAACAAAATAGAGAAGAAAAAAAATAAATACTACACATTGGTGTATTTTCTATAAACTTTTTGAGCTCTACCAGTACCACTATTAAATAATACATGTTCTAGGTGTCTCCCAAAATGATGAAGAGCCAACCAATCGCAATGTTCTGACAGGCAAGTCTCTCCTCTTTCTAAACACTTGCCTAGTAATGTGCATAGATGTATGTTTGTTTTTTTTTTTTTATAGTAACCCTTTAACCTCCATCCCTATACCACTAGCTTGCTCCCCTCCCTCAACATGTCACTTACCGATTTTCTTTCATTGCATGTGACTTGCTGTATTTACTTCTAATATCTACCTTCATGTTGCTTGCATGCTTCACTTCCTGCATTTCATTGTTGCTGTCTTCATTTCACTTGACCATCTACCTCCCTGAATGTTACTGGTCCTCTTCGATTTAATTTACTTACCTACTCTCCTCTAAAGTGTCACTTAATCGATACTTCCTGGAAACGGCTGCTATTAAATTTTCCTTTGCTGTCTACCAATGGTCTATATTTTTATCAAAATCCTCTCCTGCAATAGAACCAGATCTCATCAAATCTACAGCGCTTGGAGGTTCTTGAGGCCAGGTTTTGAGAATCTCTACTAAAACATATGAATAACCAGCAGCCTATGTTTATATGTGTGTTTTTGTAGACTGCACAATATAATGATCTTTTTCAGCCTTTCTTCATTTTGCGCTTTCATCATTTTACATTGCCCTCTCTGTGCCCGACCATAAGAATTTTCACGGTGACAGTCTTTGTAGTGAAAATATATTGCTCGTAAAAGTTATGCATCTTGAGTATACATTATATTGTGAAGTGGCAGCAGAATCCCGCTTTTTGAGTCATATGTTCCATTCCTCTGAGAGATTGGGCTTCTGCACTAAAACATTTTTTTTTTTTAATGAGATTTCTCTCTTCGGTACAAAGAAAACCTGAAAAAATAGAGCACAATCTTTTTGTTGACTGTTTTCTTCGTTCTCTAGATGCCCGAACGTTCACTTTGTAGGGTCTGAAGTCTTTTAATCTTGCAAGCTACATTTCGTGCTGCAGCAGATGTCTGTTGATACTAGCTTCTGTATAATGATTTTAGATTTAATGTGTTGGGGACAGTGCACAACTTTATTTAAAGTAACAATCAAGGATTTTTTTTTATTTTTTTACTCTGAAAGAATGCAGTAGGAACAAAGCAAGGGTAGACCCTTTTGCACAGACGTTCGCTTGCACACAGCCAGAACCAAGCCATGAGTGCCATTTGCACCCGAGCCTCTCCCGATTTAGGATTATGGCACTGGTCGTTTAAATTTCCTGCAGCCTTCTTGATGTAAAGTAACTCCAGCCAGTTAGTATGAGTATAGTTCCCGACCCCTAACCATTACACTCGTCAACCTCCTGAACCTATCTGGACACAGAGGGTGAACATGATTGAATGGAATGACTGCCTTCACTGTATTAAGCAATCGAGGGACCACCGAACGTTTGTACATAATGTGTGGTGTAATAATATAGCCGCAGGTTCAAAGGCCGTCAGGTCGTCTAATAACTGGTATAGATTTCCCTACCAAACCTCTCAACCAGGGTGCATTTATGCAGTAAAGTGCCTTCCACCGTACCAAAGCTGCAGAACAACGGGGACTGTGTCAAGCCACGGGCATGGAGAGTTGCTGGAACTTGGTGCCATCTTGTGCAGGTTGATAAGAAATCTTCTTCAACCATACCGAAAGAGACATTGTATGGATCTTGGTCCTGTCTTTGTCTATTAAGGTGACATGACATGCAATTCCACCTCCCACCTATTTGTGCATAAAAATTAGGTGTCTTCCCCTACCCCACTCCCCCCGCATGTAAAAATAAAATATTTCTCCAATGCCATGTGCCTCCAGGATGACGGTCCAGTCCAGTGCTTCTCTTCATTGAGAAACTTAGTTGCATGCTCTGTGCTCGCCGCTATGCACCTAGAATTTCTCCATAGATTATCATTGCATTCAGTGATTATCTTTGGCTTACAGCAACGGCACTGCGCATGTGTGCACGACATCATTTTATGTTATACCCAGTGGACTTGGAGGTGTGACTTGAAGCCATGGCTTCCGTTTAGTGAAAAAAAAAAAAATGAACACCTTTGGGGTGTAGGATGGGGGTGGGTAAGATAGGGATGGGAGCAGCAGGACTGCAGGCACTATAACAACTTCAATAATATGAAGTTATTTAAGTACCTACAATGTTCCTTTAATCAACATAATAATCAAAAGACACAGCACTGACCTGTCCAAGCAAGAAAGACATTGATACTCCCATTTACGGAAATAATTCACAATTGCAAAGAAAATGGGAGAGAAGATTGCCTGGAGTCACACGAAAGGATCCAATGTGAGCCAAAGTTCTATGTACCATATCTTGGGATGAAAACCCAAACTCTGTATAGATGTATATGTCAAACTATAAATATTGTACCATTGTTCAGATGTGCAAGGAAGTACAACTATAGAAATCAGTGAGGATTGGTGGGGTAAACATATCACAAGAAAATTGATGCAGATTTTCACTAGACTATAAGCTGCTTTTGATTGGGGCTGCATCAACTCTTATTCCTGTTTATCATTCTATTTTGTCTACTTTTTGTACAGTGCTGTGGAATATGCAACAGTGTATAAAAGCAATAATTTATGAGATATGGATACGTATTTAAATAGTCCTTACAATTACCAGACATACAAACGGGACATATACCATATACATATAATATTGTTGTTATGAAAAATATATATCTACTTTATCGATTTGCATCATTGCTTTAAGAAAGCTTTGTGTTGTAATTTTCCTACGTGGCATGCGAGTAGTGATAACTATCAAGGCAGACGAATCAAGGAGAAATGTGTTGAAATGAAGCTAAACCAGTTGAGAATATATATTCAATATTTTGCTAACAAAACCCTAGAACATATAAACCGTAAACCACACAAGTAGATTTTCTGTTTAGTTCATTAGCTAACACATTTTATCAGGTATTTCCACTTAATCCGTTTATTGCCAAGCTATCCTTGCTGTTATTGATTTATTGTAAATGAACTATCGATCCAGATAATGGCATAAATTTGCAATAAAGTACTGTTTCTAATCACTTGAACGAGGATTACTGTGTGTTTCTCGGTAAATATACCAACCGGTTTCATTTAGCCTCAAATATAGGAAGAAATCTGAAGTGAAACATGTATTCAAATTGTCATACGTCAGGTGGTCAAGTATTTAGGAACACTATATTGTCAGGAATACAAACATTTATTCCTGACACTATAGTGTTGAACTAATTTTGTGACGCCCCCTCTGATTGCTTGGCAAAGGTGATTTCACTCAGCTTATATTTCCACACTGTGCAAGTCTTGCTGCGGCTTGCGTTGCCTTACCTCTGCTGAGATCATCACAGATAATAAACTCCGTCAATCCAATACTTGTCCATAGGAAAGCATTTGGAGGATATTGCATTAAACGCTGCACCAATCAGCATTTTCTCATAGAGATGCATTGACTGCATCTGGACTAGGAAGCAAACCTAGTTGTTGTCTAAGTGATTGTCGCTAGAAGTGTTAGAAGGCAGCATTGTGAACACTGAGTTTTCTCTGAAAAGGCACCATTTACAGTGTTCAGGCTATAGACACAACGACCACTACATTAAGCTGCAGTGGTTCTGGTGACTATAGTGTCCCTTTAAGACAAGTATTCAAATATTCAACAATTCGTGACTCCAAACAATGGCCTGCTTCACTGCACATATTGCCTCCCCTTTCCCAATAGTAAGTATTACTAACGTGTACTGTGGCTAGAGTGGTTCTTTTTAATTTTTTATTACATTTAATTTTAGTTTTTCATTTTCACAGTATTACAAATATATGCATTACAACATATACAATTTTAGTTTTTTTTTGTTTGTTTTTACATGTATCTCATAATGAAGCATCAATTAAAGGGACACTATAGTCACCCAGTCCATTTCATTACAATGAAGTGGTCTGAGTGCAGTGGCCCTCTCCTTTTTAACCCTAGAATGTTAAACATTGCAGTTTTTTATTTATATAAGATGTACTTCCCTGCACTGTCCGAGTAATGCGGAAGCACCTTCCTATGGGAAACTTGAATGCAGAGAGCTCACTGCGCATGCACATTACCTCCCAATGCTTATTTGTTTTAGGGGGCGAGGGGATGAGACCTTAATTCTAATAGGGACAAGTATTTGTGTTTTTTTATGTATGTCAAGCACATTCTTTTTGTTTTGTACAGTTTGATAATTGGTTAGATTTAGAGTGATATTGACCTAGAATGTTGCTGCTGAAGATATATTATTGTTATGTATTACATGACGCCAGGTTACTGTAGCACTGAGTACAGGCATTGTTAGTCAGACAGAGTGCAATGCAATGTTTGAGTCATGCTGGGTTAATAACATCACACATCGCATAGGTTCATTAGCAGTCTCTACAAGTAGCACCTGCTATTAACTATAACACAGTAGTGGGTAATGGTTTGTAAAAAAAAAAATACTATTACTAATACTATTCTACTATACTATATTTGACTGTAATTGTTATTGTGCTTATAGATGCTTGGATTTTTTTTTTTTTTAATTATACAATATTTTTCTACAAACCAATGAGAAATAGAGCAGTATTATTACTGTTTTATCCTTTTTTTATTATTATTTATTTTTGTGTTTTAACTGTTCAATTTTTGTATTCTAGGTAGTGGTTCAACTGAGGAGTTTTTCCGCCTAATGAATCGTCAGTTCACAGAGAAGGAATGGTGTACAATTAAGAGCATGAACTGCGATAGGAGCCGGCTAGACATGTTCTACAGACACTGGGTAACTACATGTTCTAAAGCCAAAACAAGAAATATTGCTTATAAATAAGATGATATACATGTATGTGTTGCATGCATAGGCTGGCACGGACTGTTTCTATTAGCGGGCAGCCAATGATAGGCTGAAGCATCAGCTGATGCTCTCAGCCTATCTTCCTCGGCCCGACAAACCTTCCTCATTCTACAGCAGCTATAAGAAGACAGATCAAAGGTTAATCTGTAGCAAAACCGTTTAATCCCGGATTATAAGACCGCATCTGGACACTTCTGCCCCCATAATAACTTCTATGAGCTGACATTGTTAAACCCAAGAGCAACACTATGTAAGCTGGGTGCTTTTCAGCCCTGTTGCAGGTGTTCTGTGAACAGTCCTCCGGCACACCTAGACACAATGCTTTTACCTTAATGGTCTCATTTTTTCCTCAGTCAGTCAGTAACATATCTCTCTAAATCCATGAATTTAATTTGTTCATCTTTCAAGCAGCTAATCCTGGATGGTTATAAGAAGAAAATGTGTAGTTGCTTTTCCAAAGAAGCTTCGGAGTAAGCGAAAACAGCTGTAGTGTCATCCTTTTTATCATGGTTTCAATCCAGTCTCCAACAGACGTTTCTGGATATATGCTTAGTTGCAATTTAGCCAGCCCAGTCAACTCTGTCTCCTGAGCCAGTGACAAGATCACTACAAAAAAGGCAATAAAGAGAAATGTTGGGAATATCCTGATTCCAGTTAATAGGCTCATCATCCAAATTATCAACAGATTTAAAAATGTAATGCTAAAAAGGTATTTGTCACAAAACGTTTTTTACATGTAAGTTAAAGAAGAAGACTGTAAGGAATTAGAAGATCTCCCTAAAGTGGATGTGCCTTTTTGCACAGTTGGGGAAAAAAGACCACCCTACCTATAGGACAGGGGTCAGCAACTCAAGGTGTCTTTGCACGGCACTCAAGGCTGCCAGAGCCAAACAGGCTCTTGCCTATAAGGACTCCTTAGTGCAAACTAAGTGGTGAGGGGCAAGTATCAATTTAGGCATTGCATCACTTAGTAGAAGTAATCTCGGATCACATCATCCAAGAACTTGTGAACAGGAATTTACACTGGAGTAGAGCAGCCCACAGAAGCTATTGCAGCTCCTGCCCTTGATCTATATCTGTCCAGCCTATTCCCCACTGTACTCCAGGGAAGCCACCACATTCCTAGATATACACAGAGCTGGAGAAGAAGCTGTACCCTCATACAAATAAAAACAGCCCACATACAAACATTGCATCACCACAAGAACACTGAAAATCCACCTACACTCTCACACACACACACACACACACAACCCCACAAGCAGCCTCTCACATACAATACCTCAAGCAGCCCAACACATACACACACCAAACACACAATGTGACATATCATCCAGACACACAATTCCACAAGCAGCCCCCATACACAGCCCGTATTCATTGGTATCATATATCACACTACCACAAACTACTCATGAACATATATACTGTACGATATAACAGCCCATATGCATACACATTCAACATTACAAAGCAACTACAACACCTATAAATAACACAAGTACAATATGGAAACCTCAATTTAAAAAAAGAGGATCGGCACACCAAGAGACTTCAAACTCTTATTTTGGCACAGTACTACTGAAAGGTTGCCTACCCCTGCTATAGGAGATTCCGGTGGACCACCAGGTGCAATGAACCAAAAGTGCGTAATCTACATTAAGGAAGATATTTTCTACAAATGCAGCTCAGCGTAAAGCCCTTATGCCAGGAGCTTCAGTAGAGAAAACCCAAATATTACAATGGCATCTGATTTTCTAGCAGATTCTATTTCAGAAGCACTGGTTAAATCCATGGGGCTCTCTACAGTTGCCGTAAGAGTGGTGTGGCTTTGGAACTGGGTGGTGGATTCAGCATCAAAATATTCCATGTGTGACCTGCCATTTTAGATCTCAACTTGACGATCTTCTTAAACAAGATGGTAGAGCAGAGGGTAAATAAAGCTCTACTGGAAGGGGGAAAAGGAGAGATGGAATTCAACAGAAATAAACCCACGTATAGAGAATCTATCATAGATAACATTTTGATTATAGGCGTAAACATAAAGGAAAACTCATGGGTAAACCAAAAGACCGTAATTTCTGATGCCAGGGCTGTAGATGAACTACTTCATTGAGAAAACATCACCAAAGACGGCTGGGTTCTAATACAATTCAACAGTATTCCTTTATGAAGATATGTGTTCTTTGGTTCAGTCACACAGGACAGCATCAACCCTAAATATTGAAGTTCAGAATCTGCTAAAAAAAAGTGTGATAGAAAAAGTTCAACATACAGAATACTTCACAGGAACTTATTTAAGGCTTTTTTGGTTTGAAAATCAGACTGGTCTTTCAGACCTATTTTAAAAAAGTAAATCTTTACATTGCAAGGAAAAACATTTGTATGATAACCATTCAGTCAGACACTCTTGTTATTCAAGACGGACACTGGTTGAGTTCCTTAGATCTGTGTTACAGAATGAGACAGTCTTCTTTACCATTTCATAGCCCTTGCTTTTAGTCTCTCCTCAGCTCGTGTCTTTTCCAAAGTTCTAGTGGTCATTACAGCTGCCTTACGAAAGGAACGTCTCCATTTAATTACATTTTGTGGACGACTAACTGTTAAAGGGACACTCAAGGCACCCAGACCACTTCTGCCCATTGGAGTGGTCTGGGTGCCGACTCCCACTACCCTTAACCCTGCAAGTGTAATTATTGCAGTTTTCATAAACTGTAATATTTACCTTGCAAGGTTAAGTCCTCCTCTAGAGGACACTTACGTGTTCATAGAACACGAAAAGTTTGTTCTACGACGCTGCACGTCCTCACGCTATGTGAGTAAATCCAGCGTCGCTGAAATCCCCATAGGAAAGCATTGAAAGCATTGTTCAATGCTTTCCTATGGGGAGATCTAATGCTCATGCACATTAGGTTACCCCTGCCGCCAACCGCGCATGCGCAATAGGGGGAGGAGCGTAGGCGGAGCCTGACCCAGCGCCGAGGGACATTGGCGCTGGATACAGGTAAGTCACTGAAGGGGTTTTAACCCCTTCAGCAACTTGGCACTGGAGAGTCCCTTTAAAGGCAGACACAGAAGAGCAACTTCAAAAATATATCAGGAGAGGCTTTACATGTCCACAACTACATGGATGGATTCTGAACCTGGAAAAATCAGGACTTTTTCTCTCCAGAGAATCAATTATTTTTGTTCTATTTATTAAAGATTTTTTTTTCCCACAGAGAAGAAGAAAAACTCCTTAACTTCACTGGAAGGAAAGGAAACATAGACAATAATAGAAGCTACGCGAGTGATGGGCCTTTTCACTTAATCCATTCTACCTGTCAGCTGGGCCACGGCAAGACTGCAGCCCTTACAACGAAATATTCTAGCAGAATGAGACAGTAAAAAGAATTTTGGATTATGAGGATGGAAAAACTCCCAATGACTGTCAGAAGCCATGTGATAATCACTACAGAAGTTTCTTCCTTCAGTTTGGGAGCACATTTGGAAAAATCTTGACAAAAGATCAGTAGACCTCTTGAAATTCCAGGAAATCTTTAAATTTCAGAGAACTCAAAACTTGGATGGCACTGAAGAGTTGTTAAAATTCATTTTCAGGGACACAGTGTTCAAGTAACATTGAACAGTGCTGTGACAATAGCTTATATAAACAGACCGGGACAAATTCAATCTTCTTCCCTAGCAGGATTATGCTCAGGATTATGCAGTGGTCGAAACTTTACCTTATTTCACTGATAGCGGTCCATAAAAATGTAAGGGTAAACATTTTAACAGGTGCCTTGAGCAGGAATATTTTAAAGCAAGGCGATTGCTTTTTGACTCCAAAGACCTTCCAGAATATAGTGGAAAAATTCAGGAAGCCATATTATTATTTTATTATTTATACAGCGCCAACAAATTACGTAGCACTGTACAATGGGACTCTCCAGTGCCAGGAAAACAAACGGTTTTCCTGGCACTGCAGATCTTCTCTCCCTCCAACCTCCCATCCCAAGTTGCTGAAGGGGTTAAAACCACAGAGATGGGATACCATAGATAGACATTATGGCCTCAATTCAGAATCCATCCATGTAGTTGTGGACATGTAGAGCCTCTCCTGATATATTTTTGAAGTTGCTCTTCTGTGTCTGCCTTTAACCCCTTAAGGACACATGACATGTGTGATATGTCATGTTTCCCTTTTATTCCAGAAGTTTGGTCCTTAAGGGGTTAAAGGGACTCTCCAGTAAACAAATGGTTTTCCTGGCACTGCAGGTCCCCTCTCCATCCCACCTCCAATCCCAAGTTGCTGAAGGGGTTAAAACCACAGAGATGGGATGCCATAGATAGACATTATGGCCTCAAAAATAAACCGAAAGGTCAATGAATTTGCCTCAATCGACAAATCAAAGCATCCAGACTTTCTAGACACTCCGTCACTTACCTGGGAGTTTCGTCTAGCAAACATCTTTCCTCAAATACTGTTAATTCTAAAACCTTTGCAGAAGGACATTTGGACAAATCAAGTCATTGTCATTATTCTATTCTGGCACCACATGAGCTGTTTTTTTTGTTTGTTTTTTTATTGATGGACCTTTCTAAGAGAAATTTCTTGCACCTTGTACCATCAGAAAAAAAACGCAATACAATCTAATTCCTCTGCACCTTGAAAACATTCAATCTCACACTGTGGTATCTGAACCGCAAAATTCTAAAAACTAAGTTTAAGCCATGAAGTGATTGAGATAGTAGTGGCTACCAAGATGGAATCCACAAGTATTGTCTGCTCCAGAATTGCATAAAAAAACTTAGTATTGCCTTAATTTTAATGAGAATCTGTATCTGTTTCTGCACACTGCATTCTGCAATTTTGAAAATGTTTTACGTCCTGCTTCGTTGGGAGTTTACGTTTCTGGAATCCGTTTCTATAGGCAATCTTCAGTACTGCAGATGTTACAGCCATAATCCTGACAGAGCATCAGGAGGTATGTAGTGCACACCATCTGGAGAGCCAAAGGTTCCCTACACTTGTTCTATGCCATCATTGAGACTTGGTGTCTGATCATTTGGTTTCAAGATTCTTCACAGCAGTTTCACAATCAGATACATTATTTCTCCATGGGATCTTAATTGTATTAGTTCAGCTCTCTGTGAACCTCAGTTTTTGAACCATTGCAGGACTGTCAGATGAAAGTTCTGACCTGGAAATTGTTTTTCCATCTTGAAGTTACATTGACAAAAAGACTTGGTGTACTTTCTGGAGCAATTTTGGCAGAGTATTTTTATACTATTAAAGAAAGAGGATTAGGAGTAGCTTAATTATTGCATTTATCTTATAGTTCCTGCCTGCCATTCCTCACAGTAAAATTCCATAATGTAAGTCTGCACTGCCTCTAATCCTAAGGAAAAAATCATTTACAGTAGGTAAACTTTTGATTATTTGGCACTGTTCTGACCAAATCTGCAACATACACAGCTTCTATACAATTGTCTTCCCAGTGTTTTTTTTATCATATATAGTTACAAAGGAATCGTTTCAGCACTTGACTAGAAATCACAAGGGTAACTTAAATATTTAGTAAAAGTTTACTGTAAGACAGTCCATATGATTAGCATAAATGTTAAAGGAATACTTCAAGCACCATAACCACTACAATGTGCTGTAATAGTGTCAGGAGTTTCCTGCATACCCCCAACCCCCTTTCCATGTAAGTAGTGAACCTTTTTCTTACATGGGGTCCACTGAGCTTAGCACACAGCAAATGATGCTCTAAGCCAATGAGCTAATTCTTGTGATACCTCCTCTTGGCGCATGCTGCTCCGTTTCCTCCATCCATGCTGATGCCGACATCGCGGGTGCATGTAGGTTCACTTTGACCAGCTCGGGAGCGTGTGCATTTGTTGTCTTTGGCCCTTTAAAGAAAAAGTAACCTATTTTTCCATCTCGGCTAGCACTCCATTTCTTTCTGTTCACTTATTACCCAAATTGTTTCCCTAACCTATCAGCTCATACTTAGCCCTATTTATTCCTCCCTTTGACACTGTCACGTATTCATCCGCACATAAAAATGTGGTTAATAGCATTTACTGTCCTGACGGGAAAAGTTGTGCCGAGCAACATTACCGTCCTGACAGGAAAAGTTGTGCCGAGCAGCAATCATGCACATGGAAACCTGGTAATTACTTTTGGGGTCAAAGGCCTGTCATGGCCAATCAAATCCACAGAAGGGTTTGTGCTGAGCAGCAATCATGCACATGGAAACCTGGTAATTGCCTTTGTGGTCAAAGGCCGGTTACAGCCAATCGGATCCACAGAAGGGGTATTATACTAAACCCAATTCTTTGACTACCCTGGTATCCTTGACTTTTGGCTTTCCCTCCTCTTTGTGTCTGATTCTGTGTCCCTGACCTCTGCATGTATTTTGACTATTCTTGAAAAAGTTGTCTGGCCATTCTAAGGTCTGGTTATATGTTATTATTAGTCCTAGGTGTGACTCAGTACTGCATGCTGGATCAACTTGTAATCCTGACAGACATCACTTTCTAGCCCGAGAGTGCATTTCTTTACTGTAGACGTTTCTGGTATCTGACTTCGGCTTTGCTCCTCGTTTATCCATTCTTCTAGTATCCTTGACCCTTTGCTTTGTTCTACGTTTATCCCTCTGTCTCCAATCCTGACATTGGCCTGTCTGACTATTCTATTCTTCTTGTTGTACTCATATATTTTAAGTCTGGCCATTCCAAGGCCCGGCAATACGTCTTGGTTTGTATATCGGTAAGAGCCCCTGAGTTTGCGTGTTAGGGAGATTGACCTTTACACAGGATTGCGAACAAAAGCTCCTAGCAGAAACTTCTAGCTCTCCATAGCTGAAGGTAGAGTCAGGAAGCAGTGTCCAACAGGCCCCAGGTAAGAAGTCAAACCATTAGCACCATAACTAATACAGCATGCTGTAGTTGTTATGATGTTTGGAGTGTTCATTTATTGATTATTCTGCCTACTGTTGGCATCAAGACTTCAAGTAGTCTTTGCATATTTGTTTGCTCTATACAAAAGATTATACCTTATGTTTTTTTGTATCATGTTATTCTTTTGTGGAAGGAAGTAATAGTCAATCTCCTATTTGTTATGTACCTGCGCACACAAAGCATCAATTAAGAGGTGAAGGCAACCGTAGATATGTCTCTGCTACCTGTCGTGCTGTGGTTATACTACTTATTTGTACTCTTTGCAATGTAATCAAAGGTCTATATCCAATAAATATTAATGACAAAACATAAGAAGAAGCACATTTTGTGTACTTGTTTTTATACTGTGATTATTAAGGATATTGTTCCCCCTTAAATATTCCATCAACTCATTGTTTAGTGTACAAGATAATAATAATAAATTGTAGATCATTAAGGAGTTATTTTTTTTTATTTTATGCGATTTTCAGATCGTTCTGTCAATAATGTCAAAATGATTTATCTGTTATCCACTCTTTTTGGCATTGATTTATGAATTCCACAATTTCTTCAAATTCCATACTATACACTCTAGTTTTCAGCTTAGTAAAATAATCATTCCAAGTATGAGTATATATATTAAAGCGCTCAAATCCATAGTGCTGTATATTTATAATATGTTCTTGAAGTTGTTGATTCATGACATTTATATTTTCTATATATTATATTTTATCCCACATTTCCTTGTTATGCATCTGTGAATAGCTCCCATTTTATAGTAGTATAATAATTATGAAATCTTGGTAATTTTTTTATGTGTTTTAGCCCATGTTAAGGCATGATGGTTTCCATGTGGCTCAATCACAGACATTCACTCTCTAAATTGGTTTAGATACTATTATAGCCCATACATATGAAAATAGACAACCATATCCCTTTTGGATGTATTTACCTTTTACATATTCTGCAAAAAGGTCTCATGGGATCATTCAAAATAGATCTTTGTGTCTTACTTCAGTATAGTAAACGGGTAGTGTTGAACTATATGATCAGCCACTTAATTAAAAATCATCTATAATTTAAAGGAATACTATAGTGCTAGGAATACAAAGGTATAGTGTGCCTCTGCCCCCCTCCTCCCCACGACAGTTTTCTCACTTACCTTATTCATGTGCCAAGCTCCATGATACGGTAGGATGCACCTCTAGCAAACGTCTGGTAGACAGCTACTAGTGGCAGTCTTAGCATTGCAATGTAAACATTGCAGTTTCACTGAAACTACAGTGTTTTACATTGCAGGACTGAAGGGGACAAGGACACTGCACCCAGACCACTTCAATGAGATGAAGTGATCTGGGTGTCTGTTGTCCCTTTAAGCAGTATTACAAAGTAAAATTACTAGAAACTACAGCCAGGGCTCAATATTTCAGGTTCTATGGTACTAGCTAGGCCTAAAAGTTACTTGTCACCTTCACGATTTCTGGAAATGGTCAAGGAGGCAAAACGCACAGAAACCCTCCTGTAGCATGGCTTCTGATTTAAAAGTCAATCCCATATTATTAACCTTTCTGTACTTAATGCTGATCTAATTCGGTATTTAGCAGAATGTATTTGCGATCTCTCCCATAATTCTGTCATTCTGTGTGAGGGGTAAGCAGACTGTTTGTTGCAGCATTCAAAGTACTCCCAGCATGGTGCCAGAGTTGGGTCCACAATCTCTACAGAGCTTTAAACAGCTAGTGCCATGTTGTATTGTTAAATGTTATTCCTGATTGCCACTGGCAATTCTTAACAAGCAGCTGCTTTGAATTAGCACTTAGAATCCTCGCACTCTGTAGGGTCCATAATTGAATTTCCACTCTTTATGGATGAACTTTTACTTACCAATGGTTAGAGTGCAGGTGAAAATGTTGATCCCTATATATATATATATATATATATATATATATATATATATATATAGTAATGTAATTAGTTTTTGGGAGGGGCAGGGGGGTGGGGTTGGAGAGGGATTATTTATTTTTATTTTATTTACTTGGCCAGGTGACTTGATTTTAATTAGATGGTCTATGGCATTATATCAATCTGTTTTTTGTTGTTGTTTTTTTTTTTTTTGTAAATCTTTATTTTTGTTGTGCTGGTGAGACCACATTCTGCTGCCTTGTCACAACAACATTATACATGTTGCAGGAAGTTAGAGATGATACACAGAGAAGAGTTATGCATAATTATGTTGGAACAGCACAATCTTATAGTATAAAGAATGAGAGAGCATGCTAATAGAGACTGCGTAACATTATGGTAGTTAGTCAAGAGTAGGCTTAGTAGTCAAGCTTGAATATAACATGAATAGAACCACATAGTCAAGCTTAAATTCACCTGGCGGGCACACGCATAGCAGAGTATGTGGCGACTGGAGGTATGGTGACTCCTAAAGAAAGTTGCAAAATGAACATATTTACTTTGAAAATAAAAATAAACTTGACATAGTGTGGCTTGTGCTGTAGGCGTTGTGGTCACTGGCAGTCTGTGGTAGTAACATAGTGACTGTGGTCTGCTAAGCATGGAGTGTGCATGCTGGTGTCTCAATCATTATAATGCTGCACTATTCATGCAATGCATATTAAGTAAGTTAGTAGGACTATGGCATCTAAATGGGGATTGAGTACTAAATAGTGTGTATCGCATGAGATAAACAGGCTAGAGTGTAAGGGTAACCGAGTTGGTGTCAACGTGAGTGGTTTAGGTTGTGCATTAGAACTGATCTGAAGTTCTCTTTGGGTGGTATACTGGGCACTGTCCTTGGACCATCATGTCAGCCGATTCTTGTGCTGGGCAGACTGAGAGCGGATGCTCGAAGATCTCGAAGAGTAATGGCGAGCTGTGGACGAAGAGAGGCCTCTCCCCATCCCCAGGCTTTGTATAGGGCACTTATCCGTTGTCCACATACCTGGGAACTTTGTGAGACCGGGTCTCTCCCTGTATGGATACTGTGAAAGGCCCTGATGTTCCTACGTGGTCAGCGGTGGGCGGTCTTCTGGCCTCGGAGGGGATCACCATACGACCTTCTGCCTGGGTGGGCTTGCAATCCGTGTTATGTGAACAGAGTGAAATGCTTTGCCCGACACCGGCCCACAGGCCTCGCATCCCCAGTCCTCCCCACCTCCCTTCCTTGGGTATGAGGTGGTTGATGGTCGCGCTGCTCCAGCTTCTCCCAAAATCGGGTGAGTATTGGGTCCAACTGTGTGAGCAAAGGCTGCATGGTTACAGGCACTGATGGTCGATTTGCGTCTGCCATTTTTCTGTAGTTGGAATCTGTGGTACAATAGGCAGTGGGAGACAGTGGCAGGGTGTGTGCCGGATTGGAGGGGGCCGGGATAACCCCCCACCGGTCCATAGGGGGGCGAGCAGGAGCTCAATCTGGGATCTGCAGTGAGTTCTGGTGGCGGGAGAGTGGCTGTCTCCCCGGCCAACCATGCTTCTAGGCCGCAAGATTTGTACGCTCGAAGCCGGTAAGGAAGTCCACATGTGTGGTATTGGTTTGGAGGTTGTAAAGTTCCCTTTCGTTAGTAAACCAGATTATGTCGGGTTACAGGCTCTGCTCAGGGAAAATCGGCACGATTAAGAGGCGTTAAGATGCGGGAGCTGCTGTAACCTGCATCTGCTCCAGTCCGCGGTTAGGACCTGTCCCCCATAGCAATCTGTTCTTTAAGGATCTTGTACCAAAATGCAATATGCCACTCATCCGCTGCAGGGATGTATATATAGCAAGAGCAGCATATGGTCATGTGGCACCGGTGATGAGATGAGATCTTGGTTCTTTAAGTGTTTGTATTGTTATAGCATTGTTTAATCGTGCACACCTTTTAATTAACAACTCACGCTCACCATATTAATATATTTACACATATACAGTGTAAACAAAACATGTTATCTGAAAACACTATTTCCATTGCTTGATCTGATTTAATACGCTTCCAGGAATAATTCCTTATTAATATATGCAAGGTGAAGATCCTCCATTTCTATAATTTATTAAAGTACCACTTTAGTGCCAGGAAAACACTCATTTTCCTGGCACTATAGGGTCTTTAGGTCCCCCCCACCCTCAGGGTCCCACCCTCGCCAGGCTGAAGGGCGAGGAAGAGGTTAATTTCCTCCCTCTTCCGACATCAGCGCTGAATGCGCATGCGCGGCAAGAGCTGCGCGCGCATTCAATCAGTCCATAGGAAAGCATTTCTCAATGCTTTCCTATAGATGTCAGCATCTTCTCACTGTGATTTTTCACAGTGAGAAGAGCGGAAGCGCCTCTAGCGGCTGTCAGTGAGACAGCCACTAGAGACTGGATTAACCCTCAGTGAAACATAGCAGTGTCTCTGAAACTGCTATGTTTACAGCTGCAGGATTAACCCTAGATGGACCTGGCACCCAGACCACTTCATTGAACTGAAGGGGTCTGGGTGCCTATAGTGGTCCTTTAAGATTCTGATTTTTGAAGAACCAAGAATCCTTTGCTCACTCAAGATAAATCAGTTATGGGTTCTGTACCTTAAAACAGTTGGTTATCTGTAAGATTCTATATTTTCCCTCTTTCTTTTTTGATGTATCTATAATATAATCTATATGTTTATTCCTAGTTTATGTGCACATGCATAACATCAAAGAGGCTGTACTGTTCATTCAAAGTACAAGTTTTTAGAAGGACAAAATATAAATACGATACATTACGACTAATTAAGTGGCACATAAGAACAATTTTATCATATTACAAATTATTTTAATCCTTTATATGGACCACAACAAATGTTTCCATTGCATATTCAGTATCTATTTGTCGTATTTTACTCTTTTTAAAATAATTTTGTCCTGAAATTAGGTGCCCTTCTGCATGTAATTTTTTTTTTTGGTATCTCTCATAATTAGCCATGCATGAATGGACTGTTCATTTAAAGGTGACAGTTTCCAGCAGACCTTCATTCAACCTATATTCACAGCTGGCTTTGTCTTTTTATAGAAGATATGCATTTGCATTTGTTTCAGAAAATGTCAGGATTGTGAGAAAAGCTGAGTAGGTGTAAAAAGTAAATTATAGTATACAAGGTTGAGTACAAAATATGAAGGCATTAAGCAGAGAAACAAAAGCTATCACAGAGTCTCAGTTGACAAGACATGCTTTGCTTATCAGTAAATTGGCACTAATATAGTAAAATAAAAAAATAAAAAAAATAAAAAAATATATATATATATAGAAAATAAAGAAAATATATAAAATGAAATATATAAAAATGGAAAAAATGAAAATAGAAATAAAAATAAACAGTAAATAAAATTAAATAATATGAAAAATTAAACAAATGAAACTAATAATATAAATATAAAAATAAAGATGAAATATAAATCTCTTCAGTACAATTTGTTCTAAATGTAAAAGTGAACACAAGTGGTATACAAACTATTGCACTATTCACATCTAGTGGTTAATATTAGTTAATTCTAATGGTGCCCCAAAAGGAGGGGGTTTACCACATAAAAAAGGAAAGTCATTTTTTGCAGAAAAGAAAGAGTCCTAAAAGTAAGGATATATATAAAGAAACTATAAAAAATGGACTATTAAAAATTTAATTTTAAAGTGGGATATTTGTAAAGTTTTTTAATATTTATGCTCTAGAAATAGTTTTTATACAATTTTTACTGAAATATCTATTTCTGAAAAATAGGAGGAGTGCAATATTCACATAAACATGCAAAAATCTTACTCCTCCAAAAAACACCATAAGTCTGTATCTAAGTTAAGCCCACATGGTTATATTGTTTTTAGTTTGTTTATCCAGAAGGTTTCCACTTGGCCAGTACGACTAGCATTACCTCACTGCATCTACCTATGTATATACTGTATATCTCCCGTCAGATACTGTTTTCCACTTCATCAGTATCACTACCTGGCTATTTTGTAATTAGTACACTTTGTACACATTAGCTCCAGTAGTTGGTCCTATTTTTATACTTACTATCATCTCCTTTTTTTCATTATTATTATTTTTTCACTTTTTTTGGTGTCTGGGATAGTTAGATATGTTTATCCAATATTGGACAATAAAGTTTTTTTATTTTCTATGCTTATGTAAATTAGGCACTATATGCCAATTACCTTTTACTTAGTAATTTCTATTAGGGTAATAGGACTGGAACCAGGTGTGTCTCCTTGCAGACCTGTTTTCACGCCCTCTCTACTATAGTGTTTTTAGTTTGTTTATCCAAAAGGTTTCCCTTTGCGAACGTTTTTTTTAATTCTGTTACCTCCTCTCCAATGAGGGTTGTATTTCTCATTACATCAACCCCAATGAGGGTTGATGTAATAAGAAATCTTGCCAATTGAACTTTCTACAACTATTGCAGTGTATTGGTACTATGTGTTTAGTGGAGTTTTTTCTAATATTGTTTTGGTGTTCTAGGATTCTTTTTTTAAGTTTCCTACAATTTCTCCCTATATATTGTTTCCCACATGGGCATTGTAGCATATAGATAACATATTTGGTGTTACAATTTATATTTGATTTTACTCTTTCTTTAGTAATCGTGCTTTTAAATTATTTTCTTTGTATATATTTTTGGCTCTTACATCCTTTGCAGGTATTACAGGGATTAAAACCTTTGACATTAGATGTTGTACCTTTTCTCAGGAGTTTTAATGCATAACTTGGGGCAAGTATGTTTTTTAGATTTCTCGTTTTCTTAAAGATGATTGGTGTTTTTTTTTGGGAGCACCTTTCCCATTATGGAATTTTTACATAAAATATCCCAATGTTTATTTAAGATGTTCTTTATTTTTCGGTGTTGTGTATTATATTGTGTAATGAAGGAAAACTTGTGATCTTTTTTGGTTTCCTTTTTCCGTTTTGGTATTATAGTACAATTGCATCTGATTGTTGTTAGTTGGCCTTTTGGGATAGTTTTAACCAATTTTCATGGTGGCAACTTTTTATGTGTATATAACTATTGCCTTCTGTTTTTTGAAATGGCATTTTGATTGTATAGTTTGATTTTCTACATAAAAACAAACATCTAGAAAATTTATTGTTTTGGGATCAATAGCGTGGGTGAATTTTAGACCATAATCATTCCTATTAATATAGTTTATCAAAAGTTGTAATTCGTCGTTGGTTCCTCGCCAAATCATTAAAATATAGTCAATAAAACGTTTCCAGAGGACCAGGTTTCACTACCCAGCTATGCCCCCTCCAAATGTAGTTGGATTCCCAATCTCGCATGTAGATGTTGGCATAGCTGGGGGTGAACCTGGTCCCCATTGTTGTACCAGTTGTCTGAAGGTAAAAGGAACTTTAAAAAAGAAAACAATTGTGCTTCAAAATGAAATTAATGCTTTTAAGTACAAAGTCTCGAAATTTAGATGAAATATTTTCATCTTTCTCCATGACTCGTTCAACTGCAATTAAACCCTTTTAATGCTTAATGATTGTATACATAGAGGTAACGTCTATGGTTACCACAATAAAATCCTTTTCCCAATTGATATCTCTCACAATCCTCAAGATATGTGAAGTATCCTTCAAATACGAGGGTGCCTCTGATAAGTGTTCAGTTACGGAATTAATGCCGTTGATAATTGGCCTTCCAGGTGGTGTTATTGAGTTCTTATGTAATTTGGGTAAAAAATAAAAAATTGGAATGATTGGAAAGTCATTATGTAGATATTCCATGTTATTTTTGGAGATAATACCTTCTTGAAACGCCTGGTTCAATAATGATTTTAAAATAAGATTGAACCTTTTTGTTGGATCCTCTGTAAGTTTTATGTAAGTGTTAATGTCTCGCAGAATATTACAGTTGCAAGAAAAAGTATGTAAACCCTTTGGAATGATATGGATTTCTGCACAAATTGGTCATAAAATGTGATCTGATTATCATCTAAGTCACAACAATAGACAATCACAGTCTGCTTAAACTAATAACACACAAAGAATGAAATGTTGCCATGTTTTTATTGAACACACCATGTAAACATTCACAGTGCAGGTGGAAAAAGTATGTGAACCCCTAGACTAATGACATCTCCAAGAGCTAATTGGAGTGAGATGTCAGCCAACTCGAGTCCAATCAATTAGATGAGATTGGAGGTGTTGGTTACAGCTGCCCTGCCCCATAAAAAACACACACCAGTTCTGGGTTTGCTTTTCACAAGAAGCATTGCCTGATGTGAATGATGCCTCGCACAAAAGAGCTCTCAGAAGACCTATGATTAAGAATTGTTGACTTGCATAAAGCTGGAAAGGGTTATAAAAGTATCTCCAAAAGCCTTGCTGTTCATCAGTCCACGGTAAGACAAATTGTCTATAAATGGAGAAAGTTCAGCACTGCTGTTACTCTCCCTAGGAGTGGCCATCCTGTAAAGATGCTTGCAAGAGCACAGCGCAGACTTCTCAGTGAGGTGAAGAAGAATCCTAGAGTGTCAGCTAAAGACTTACAAAAGTCACTGGCAAATGCTAACATCCCTGTTAGCGAATCTACAATACGTAAAACACTAAACAAGAATGGATTTCATGGGAGGATACCACAGAGGAAGCCACTGCTGTCCAAACAAAACATTGCTGCACGTTTACAGTTTGCACAAGAGCACCTGGATGTTCCACAGCAGTACTGGCAAAATATTCTGTGGACAGATGAAACCAAAGTTGAGTTGTTTGGAAGAAACACACAACACTATGTGTGGTGAAAAAAAGGCACAGCACACCAACATCAAAACCTCATCCCAACTGTGAAGTATGGTGGTGGGGGCATCATGGTTTGGGGCTGCTTTGCTGCGTCAGGGCCTGGACGGATTGCTATCATCAAAGGAAAAATGAATTCCCAAGTTTATCAAGACATTTTGCAGGAGAACTTAAGGCCATCTGTCTACAAGCTGAAGCTCAACAGAAGATGGGTTTTGCAACAGAACAATGACCCAAAGCATAGAAGTAAATCAACAACAGAATGGCTTAAACAGAAGAAAATACACCTTCTGAAGTAGCCCAGTCAGAGTCCTGACCTCAACCCCATTGAGATGCTGTAACATGACCTCAAGAAAGCGATTCACACCAGACATCCCAAGAATATTGCTGAACGGAAACAGTTCTGTAAAGAGGAATGGTCAAAAATTACTCCTGACCATTGTGCACGTCTGATCTGCAACTACAGGAAACATTTGGTTGAAGTTATTGCTGCCAAAGGAGGTTCAACCAGTTATTAAATCCAAGGGTTCACATACTTTTTCCACCTGCACTATGAATGTTTACATGGTGTGTTCAATAAAAACATGGCAACATTTCATTATGTGTGTTATTAGTTTAAGCAGACTGTGTGATTGTCTATTGTTGTGACTTAGATGATGATCAGATCACATTTTATGACCAATTTGTGTAGAAATCCATATCATTTCAAATGGTTCACATATTTTTTCTTGCAACTGTATATGCTTCTTGCATATAATATTCTTTAGTCATATTGACTATGGCCCCTCCCTTGTCCGCTTCCTTAATAATCATGTTTTCCATTTGTTGTAATTTTAAAATACAGTATTTTCTGGCGTATAAGATGACTTTTTAACCCTGGAAAATCTTCTCCAAAGTCGGGGGTCGTCTTATACGCCGGGTATAGGGTCTATATAGCTGCCGGGGGCGCCCTGCGCCCCCATCGCCGGCCCTTCTAATTTTGCAGTCTCTCTATAGAGAGCGCTCAGACAGCTGCCGCACTGCCTCTCTTCTCACCTTCCCTTCCCTGTGCAGAGTGGGTGGCCGAGCTCCTCTTTGTCCTGTCAGTCCGGCCGGGTACCACGCGGTACAGGAGATTCAGTTACACTGAGTGCTCACTTCCTTTCAGTCGGGCCGGGAACAGGTAACTGAATCTCCTGTACCGCGCGGTACCCGGCCGGACTGACAGGACGAAGAGGAGCTCGGCCACCCACTCTGCACAGGGAAGGGGAGGTGAGAAGAACGTAGGGAGGATTGGGGGGCGTGAGTAAAAAGAATGGAGGGGTGGGAGTAAATAGAATGGAGGGGGTGGGGGGAGTAAAAAGAATATATCGCAATTAGCCTCCTGTGTGCTAGACCAGCAGGCATGGATTATATGCCCAAACAGCCTGGCACATACCTGGGCTTTAAATGCTATTTCAGATTATCATTATTTAATGTCTTGCGGTGTGGCTCTGTCTGCTCACTGTACATCATGGCTAATTTTTATTTGGTGTGCATTGGAAGAGGGCTAGTCTTATACGGCGAGTATATCCCAAACTCTATATTTTAACTGGAAAAGTTGGGGGTCGTCTTATACGCCCAGTCGTCTTATACGCCGGAAAATACGGGTACTTGCTGCTTCTTCCTTGCTCATATTGTACTTTGTTTTTTGCAAAAAATTGTTCTTTTTCTATTTTTTATAAATCATGGCACACCATATTATTAAAAGTTTCTAAGAATGGGCCTCTGTCCCCAACAGGGTAGAAATGGGACTTTCTTTTAAAAATGATTTCCTCTTACATCTTCTGTAGATGTTATTTCTCTTTTTTTCCCTTTTTAGAAAAATATTTATAATGTCATTTTTCGAATGTATTTTTGTAGATCTATACAGGTATGAAATAATTCATGTTTTGGTTTGGAGCAAATTGTAATCCGTTTTTCAAGGCTTTTAAATCATTGTTAGTTAACTCTATGTTTGTTATATTATAAATTCCATGCTGTTTTTCTAATTCTCATAAGTCGGTGGCCATTTGGGAATACAACATTTGTGGTTTACATACACAGTTATACACTGTTTTCCTGTTTTTTATTGGCTTAGCAGATCATACTCTATTTTTTTGTATGTAGACAGCCACTAGAGGCTGACTTAGTGCTGCAATGTAAACATTGCAGTTTCTTTGGAACTGCAATGTTTAACATTGCAGCACAAAGTGTGAAAGGGACACTGCACCAGACCACTTCAATGAAGTGGTCTGGGTGCATACAGTGTCCCTTTAAGGTCTGTTGTTCTGCATCTCGAAGTTTAAACTTCTCAATCAGCTACTATTCAAGTCAAACCTTCCTATATCTGTGCAGATTACAGAACGAGTAACCATGGGCGTCCGCAGGGGGGACCAAGGGGGGGCACTTGCCCCCCCCCTGGATTTTTCAGCTTGTTCTGATATTTTTCGTGTGAGATTTAAAATGAACTGCAATAGCGGCGCCGGCCAGTAGGTGGCGCTGTGTATGGAGAGAGACAGGGATAGGAAGCTGCATCTATCCCTGCTTCTCTCTGGTGATTGAAACCGCAGGGGAACAACACAAGCAGCCAGAGACAGCCTACATATCAGGTAAGTGAGGGATGGGGTGGGGGGATTGAGATAGCCTATAGACTTGGGGTGGGGGCAGCAGCAGCCCTATAGACTTGGGGTGGGGAGCAGCAGCAGCCTAGATAGCAGCAGGGCAGGGGGCAGCAGCAGCCTATAGACTTGGGGGGCAGCAGCAGCCTATAGACTTGGGGGGGGCAGCAGCAGCCTATAGACTTGGGGGGGGGGCAGCAGCAGCCTATAGATGGCAGCAGCACTTGGGGGTCAGCAGCAGGCAGCAGCAGCCGTGGCAGCAGCAGAGACAGCAGGACTGTGCCTATAGACAGGGGCAGCAGCCTATAGAACTTCCTTGAGAGGCAGCAGCCTATAGATTTGGGGGCAGCAGCCCATAGACTTGGGCAGCAGCCCATAGACTGAGGGGGCAGCAGCCTTTAGATTTGGGGGCAGCAGCCCATAGATTTGGGGAGGGGGGCAGCAGCCTATAGATTTGGGGCGGGGCAGCAGCCCATAGATTTGGGGGGGCAGCAGCCCATAGATTTTGGGGGGGCAGCCTATAGATTAGGGAAGTGAGCAGATTAGTGAGCCTATTGCATTAGGGTGTGCACCCTAAATCACAAACACACTCCATGTGTATATGTATGTATGTGTTTTTGTGTGTGTGTGTATATATATGTATATGTATATGTATGTATATATATATATATATATATATATATATACACACTGCTGTGTGTGTGTGTGAGGGTGCTGGCAGTGTGCTATGTGGGTGACGGTGTTTTTGTGTGTGTTTGTGAGAGTGCTGTTTGTGTGCTGTGTGTGAGGGAACTGGTAGTGTGCTGTGTGTGTGTATGTGTGAGAGGGTGTTTGTGTGTGCGTGTTTTTGCGGGTCCTGTTAGTGTGCTGTGTGTGGGTGTTGTGTGTTTGTCAGGGTGCTGTTTATGTGTGAGTGTGCTGTTTGTTTGTGGGTGCTGTGTGTGGGTTTTGTGTGTTTGTGAGGATGCTGTTAGTGTGTTGGGTGTGTGGGTGTTGTATGTGTGTGGGTGCTGTGTGTGCGAGGGTGATGTATGTGTGTAGGTGCTGTGTGTGTGTGTGTGTGTGTGCTGTAGGTTTGGGTGGAAGTGGGGGCAGATTAGTTAATATCCCAGTCCTGCTGCCTTCCCTGGTGGTTCAGTGGAGAGTGAACTCTAGCCCGGGTTCTCTGCTGCCTCCCTCCATGCTGCTGTGGACCGGTGAGGTAGAACTTTGTTCTCCCCACCGGCCCATGGAGGCTTAGACCAGAGCCGTCGCTCGGATAGCGTCGGCTCTGCATGAGCCGACCGGGGAGATCCAGAGATCTCCCCTGCCGGTCTCAATCTATTGGCGTGCCGCAGGGATTAGGGTGTGCCCAGGCACACCCAACACACCCCGTGCGCACGCCTATGGAAGTGAGGGATGGGGGAGACAGCCTACATGAAGAGTCAGCAAGGAGCAGGAAGGTAAAGTGAGAAGAGGAGAAGGAACAGAAATGAGCAGGAAGGGACATCAAGGAGAAGAAAGGGGCAGCAAGGAGCTGGAAGGGACAGCAAGGAGCACAAAAGATAAAGTAGGAGAAGGAGCACAAAGGAACAGAAATGAACAGGAAGGGGCAGAAGGAGCACAAACATAAAGTAGGAGAATGAGCAGGAAGGGCCTGCAAGGAGCAGGAAGGGCCAGTAAGGAGCACAAAGGTAAAGGAGCAGAAAGAATCAGAAGGAGCACAAAGGTAAAGTAGGAGAAAGAGCAGAAAGGGACAGCAAGGAGCACAAAGGTAAAGTAGAAATGGGAGCAGAAAGGGTCTGCAAGGAGCAGAAAGGGATCAGAATGAGAAAGGAGCAGAAGGGCGCAAAATAAGCAGAAATTAGCAGAAAGGTAAAAGAGCAGAAGGGGCCAAGGATAGAAAACAGTGTCAGAAGAAAAAAAAAGACTGTCAAATGAAGGAGAGGAAAAGGAGATTGGAGCAGGAAGGACAAATGAAGTGAACCCTCCACTTTATTCTGGACACCACATCATAAGGCTTTGGTACCTGGGCCAGGCAGGGAAACACTGGACCTTCTCATCTTCAAAGGTAAAAAAAATATTGGTGTTAATGTGTTCACTTTTATTTACTGAGTGTCAGGAGTGCCGTTGGGTAGGGGTGTTGCTGATTGGCTAGAGCGGTCAGCTGGCACTCTAAGCCAATCAGTAGCTCCCCATTCATAAAAATATTTTATGAACCGGAAACTAGCGATTGGCTTAGAGCGTCAACTGTCCACTCTAGCCAATCAGCGGCACCCATGCCTGACGTCAGTCTGCACTTCCTGACACTCTGTTTCAGAAGCCAAATACCACTGAGCGACCTGGAGCTGGAGGAAGCCTTTGGGGTTAAACCATTTGAGATCGATTTAACCCCTTAAAGGAAAGCGAGCACCCAGGGGCTTCCTGGCATCATAGCATTTTCATTTAGGGGAAGTTGTTATGGTGACCAGAATGGTCCTTTAATTTGCTTAAAGGAACACTATAGTGTCAGGAATACAAACATATATTCCTGACACCATAGTTGTGAAAACGCTATTCACCCTGGCTTTATGTGATAATGGCTGTGCCCCTTCCCTTTCATGACACTGTCAAAAAGGTACCAAGCATGGATGTCATTACAATTATGCCCCCCCCTGGAAAAATTCCTGCGGACGCCCATGCGAGTAACTAAACCAAGAAATCTAAAAGGAGTACTCCTACGACTAGTAATTATACTCCTACTACGAGTACATGTAACAGCCTGGGAGTATTTATCTTTACCTCTACATGCATGAGTAGTGACTGTCTTCCCTATCCGCAAACATGTATAAGTGGTACTGCAAGTGAAAAAAAAGCTCACTTGGGTTTTTAAATGTTTCATTATTCTGGCCATTGTTTCAGTGTCGGCAAAACATGCTTCTTGAACGTGTCTCAATCATCTGGCATGAAGAGGAGAGGGAGTTACGGGGACAAGCATGTGCTTTTGACTGTAGGGAGAAAATGATTTGTAGCTACATTTTTCAAAGTGAGATAATGCGCATATAATGCTGACAAAACTAAATGAATTATTAATTTCAAAATGTGAAACATTTATAAGGTTGGCTGAAGCGATAACTGCAGATTATGATATGAGGAAAAACTATAATAAATAATGCAGTTCTTTTTGTTGCAAAAAATAAATAAAATGGCAGTTTGTATGTGTTTGGACTTTCAGGCTCTAAAAGAAAGCTTTATAAAAGCCATAGGGGTCGGACTCGGATTTAACCTTCAGCGAATTGAGTTTGAGGTGTCTCCTATCAATATGGAAACGGGAAAAGCTTATGGAAAAACCAAGATGTGGCTGGATGAAGAACAAGAAAATTGGATCTTTGAAGTGAGAAATGTATATCTTGTTGTAGAGCAATGTATTTCAAACATGATCTCAAAGGCTGATTCGTTGGATAAAACAGATGGACAGAGAATCATGGGAATTGTAGTTAAGCAAAATCTTGACACCAAGGTTTCAGGTGTTTGCTGCAGGTAATGAATACCTCCAATGGGTGTGTACCTGTGTTAACTATATGAAGAGGCTTGACATTAAAACAGCTTGGAAATGGCAGGTGTGTTGTACCTGACATATGTAAATGTTGGGCAGCACTCTTAACACGGTTATCTACTAAAGTAAATTCAAAGTGAATTCAAGATGAATTTCAAATTTAAAGGGTTCATCTAGACCCCTAAACAACTTTAACTTACTAAAAAGCTTTACGTGTAAAGAGTGTGTCCTTCACACGTAAAATTTTCTAAGTTAGATATGCTTTCAATTTGGCTACTCTGGCCCTTAAAGGGTCTCTCCAGTGCCAGGAAAACAAACCTGCAGTGCCCCCAATCCCATGTTGCTGAAGGGGTTAAAACCCCTTCAGTGACTTAGCTGAATCCAGCACCGTTGTCCCTCGGCGCTGGGTCAGGCTCCGCCCACACTCCTCCCCCGCCGGCAATGGCCACGCACATTAGACCTCCCCATAGAAAAGCATTATTCAATGCTTTCCTATGGCGATTCCGGCAACGTTGGAGGTCCTCATGCATAGCGTGAGGACGTCCAGAGTAGTTTAAAACACTTTTGTGTTTTAGGAACCCGGAAGTCCCTCTAGTGCCTGTCTGAGTTTTCCAGTAAACTTCCTTTATAGCAAAGTGTGTTTAATTTAGAATGTATTATCTCCTACTCTGTTAATAGCTTGTTACAGCCTGCATGAGCCTTGTGCATGTGTCTAAAATTCAATTAACAAAACAGGAGATAAAAAAAACAACAACTTTTAAACACACTGTGCTGCAAGATCTGATTGAAAATAAATTTTACTATGTAGACTGTGTCACAGCCAGGGGAGGTGTGGCTAGGGCTACATACATTTAAACAAATAAATGGCAGAGAGTTGAGCAGCAAGATGCATTATCTATAAATAAAAAAAGTCTTCATTAAACCTACATTGCTTTGGTACTTAGAGTATCCCTTTAACCTGATTTGAAAAATCCAAAATAGCAACTTATTACATTCCCTCAATTATTGTAACTTGATTATGCATGATTGTAGGAATTTGACATTTTATAAACTGATGGTCTAAGCCACATAATATTTTTTATGTGTGTGTGTGTGTGTGTATATATATATATATATATATGTGTATATATATTATTCTTTCTATTTGTCATCCAATAAGCAAGAAAACAAACATATTAAAACATAATCATATATAAATAAATTCCAGTAAATTCATATTTCAGGATAATTAATGTGGGCTCATATATTTTATGTTAATTAACGGATGTGATTTACGTTTGGCAGGAGTATTTACTGGATAATCAGCACCATGTTGCTGTTGCTTTAGGGGAACTAGATGAACCGAAAAGAGAAAATTCCAAGGTATGAATTTAATTATCCCCAAAAAGTGCCAAATCCTTTGAATATTTAACTGTTATTGGTTTTTAAAAACAAAAAAATTTTTATTTAACGTTATGTTTATGCCTCTTGTGTTATGCAATGTTTAGAAATATTGATACATTTTTTTAGACCGAATTGTATGTGTTTTTGACATTATTTATTTTTTATTTTGTGGGAGGGGGGCGTGGTGCATACTGCTCAACATTTGAAGCTTAATCTGTAATCTATAAAACACATTGATCCCCAAAAATAAAAACACAAGCTAAAATAATTTATTTTAAATGTTGCATTAAAATGTATTATATTGTCATTTGCTAAATTTTAATAGTCTCACATAATATTAAAAAATAAAAAAAACACCAGTAATCAATTTTTTAACTGTTCAGTTGTGTACAGTTGCCAGAGGCCTAGTGAATATGATCTGCCTTTAGCAACCATTGGGGACCAACTAAAACCGTATTTTAAAACGTTTGATCTGGCTGCTAAGAAGCATCCAATAGCTTTACTAAAATATGAACTACATCAAAAGAACCTTATTTGGCAGGGCCTTGCACATTGTGACTGGCCAAGCTGTGTTAAAAAGCTCTTAATGTTTCTCTACAGAAAGTGACATGTGAAAATACAATGTTTACAGTCCTTACATTTGAAGATCTGATGGCATCTGCAGTTCCAATCACATCAGAAGACCCAGAATACTGGGATAACTTTCAATCAAAACAAGAAGTACCATTTCGACAAAGATCAAATCCAAGCTAATAACTGTTATTAGGAATTTATCATACAAAATATATATATATATTACATTATTATATAAAATTATGTTGTCTAAAGTGTACATATTTTTAAATTCATAGAACAAATAATGATATGGGAGCAATTCCTTATAATCTTACAATACAAATTAAGCTTCTGAAGGCTATTCAACCATGTTTATTTGCTGAAGTATTGCAAAATTTGAATGTTTGGATTGTTAATAATTATTTCAACTATAAAACCCCGTTCTCTCCAATATGGTATTGCTGTAGGTTGGCAACAAAATGTCAATGGGGATGTAAGACCAGATGGTTCTCTAGAGAAGATGTGTTAATGGTATAAAACAAGTCAGATATACAATTAAAGGAACACTCTTGTCACTAGTACCACTGCAGCTTAATGTAGTGGTTTTGGGGCATGTAACCTGACCCTGCAGGGTCTGCAGTGTTCATGCTGCCTGTAATGGATCCCCTATACTCTGCTTGAGTATATCCGCTGTAGTTCTCCCACCCAAACATCAGCCTAGACTTGATGAAATGTACAACAGGAATCATTTATTGTGGCCAGATGGCCTGCTTTTATACACATCAGGGTTACAGCTAAACACGTCCACAACACGCCTATGAATTTCTGAGTCAGGATGATTAAGCATAAAAATGCCCCAAAACATCATAAAAATATATAATAACCCCACAAAAATTCCATCCTTAAATATCACTGATCTGAGCGCCTAAGTTCTCCAAATAACGCTCAGATCCATGCAGTGTAGGGGAAACACCACCGTGTCAAAGTTCTGACCGGCCGCAAACATGGTCCTATGCCCAAAACCGTTCCAGTGCGTTTGGTGCTTTGGCCGGTCAACCTTCGGGAGCTCCTTGGCCGCAATACAGGGTGCTCCGTCTGGGTCTCGGGTAGCATTTGTTCCCCTTAGTCTCAGACACCTTCCCTCCAAAAAGCACTCTCATGGAGGATTTCAAAGTCGTTTAAACCCCCAGACTAAGTTGTCCGGGAGTCGCACGGTCACCTCATGCCTTAAAACAGTTCCATAACATTTGCAGCTGAGTCCTGCAGAGGTGACCGGGAACCCACAAAGTCCTAATGCTGAATTTAGTTCCATAACGATAACGGCTAAGGACAATTCTTGGGTTTCTTCATGCGAATGACCGCTAGGAAGCTAGTATTCAGCTCCATTTGAATAAAGGGAAATTGCTGAACCAAGGAAAGCTGCCTATGGAGGCTGGGGAGATTTAACTCCCGAACAGGGTTTTTGTATGTGGCCCATAGTCCTTGGGCAGGAAGCTAGCTAGCAGGCTCCTCCAGGAGTTTGTGACAAACGTCCAGGGTAAGGAGCGTTTGTCACACTGCCTTTTCAACTAAAACTCAGGCAGCCACTAGAGGGACTTCCTAGACGAGGTCCTGCAATCTTTGTAGGACCTATGTTGAGGATCACCAAGCTCTGCTTGAAGACATTGAACGCTCCCCATAGAGATGCACTTATTCTAATCATCTCTATGCGGAGATGCTGATTGTCGTAACACGTTGAATTGACGTGCATGCACACTAGCCTCCCATAGCTTCCCTATGGGAGAAACGTTGGATTGGCTGGGATCATCAATATTGATGATCTCTGCCAAGGAGGCGGGACCGGAAGCGCAGAGCCTGGCGCTGCTGGATATAAGGAGAGTAAAAAATTAGAATGCTGATAAATGAACTAAAAATTCCAGAAACCTTGCTGTGAAGAGAAGAGGACTTAGGTTTGTTTGCTCCTCACCTACACTTTACCCCTTCCAGTATTTGATGAAGAAATTTCATAGTTAAAGATCCTTGCACTAGAATTTGATGTTTCTGACTGACTGACTACACAAAAAGTATTTTTATATTTTATTCAATTAAATACAATTAATTAAAATTCAATGGTTTTGAACTGGCCCTTTAACAGAACATTCCAATTAAAAATAATATATTCTATATACATTTTTTTTATTTCAGTGTTAAACTTATTAGATTAGTTGCTCTTGAAAGGATATGCATCTTCTGACTAGGTTATTAGGAGTATACAGCTGGATGGAGGTCACAGATTTAGAGAAAAAATAAAGCTAAAAGACAGGATCACAACTGCAAAATAAGATATAGCATGGCATTAGTGAAGTAATGAAGGTGGATGACCGGTGTTGACTGGTCAGTGAAGTTAGGCATTTAAAATAAGAAAGCTGCAATATGATATGGAACTAGACTGCAGTTAGCTTAGGTAGGACATAAAATTAACAAGCAGTCCTATGTAGAGTGAGTTAGGGTATGAATCTATGTTGGTACATACAGGGCCGGTGCAAGCATTTCTGCTGCCCTAGGCAAAAAATATTTTGTCGCCCCATTGGCTCCACCCACTCATACCGACTAACATACGCACTGACCCATGCAGACCGACGCACACACTGATCCATGCAGAGACACACATATAGACAGAACTGACCCATGGAGGCACACACACACAATGACCCATGCAGGCACACACTGACCTATACAGACTGACATACACAAACATATTGACTGAAGCAGACTAACATATTCTCTGACACACATCTTACCTTCATTGCTGTTTCTATGTTTCCATCTTGCCTGCGCCTGGTGGCCCCAGTACTTCCTTTTTCTGCACATTTCCTGACATGCTCCCGCCCACTGTCACCATGTACAGGGGAAGGGGCTGGAGCAAGCAATTGAAGCGCCCTCGCGCTGCGGTCGTGTGTCGCAACGGATGTCTGAGAGGGGGTCTGGCTGAGCGGACTGATGTGTATGCCACCTGACCGGTAAGTGCTCCTTAGCGCTCGGGAACATGGCCGGCGGCACGCTAGAAATAGAGGGGCGGCCGTGGCACAAACTTAATAGAGAGGTAGCACAAATCATCATAAAGCCGCAGGGCCGGCGCCGTTCTTTAAGCAGCGCCCTTGGTACATATTGGGGGTTGGGCCTAGGCTTGGATAGAGATGGTGGAGAATGCTAAACCTGAAAAAATAATTTAAATAATGGTACTGCATTATGGTGCTTTAAATTATATTAAAGGAACACTATAGGGTCAGGAACACAACCATGTATTCCTGACCCTATAGTGCAAAACTCACCATTTAGGTGGCTTGCCACCCCCTCATGCCTCCTTAAAAGGAATTAAAACTCACCTTATTTCCAGCGCTGCGCGGGTCTGCCGGTGCTGGCTCTGCCCCCTTGGTGACCTAATTAGAATTGCCCATGGGGAAAGCATTGGATTGGATAAAATCGACAAGGTTGAGGGGGCAAACGCTGTTTTGGCCAATCAGCACCTCCTCATAGAGATGCATTGAATCTCTATGAGGAAAATTCAGGGTTTTTATTTTATTTTTAAACTGCATTTTATTAATTTGAAGTAAAAGTACTTAAAAGTAAGTCATGGCTAATATATATTGCATACGTAAAATGCAAAGACCTCTTGTGCGGTAATCAATTTATCACAATTATAACAATAACAATGGAATATTTATTAAAATTGCACGGATGACGTGCAGATTAATGTAGCCTTCTGATCTGAATAGCAGAACTAGCATGTCTCCTATATGGAAAAAATCAATCACGTGTCTGAAGGGAAGTTACTGAATATTAATAGCAGCACATGAAGGATTGTGTTGTCAATGACTTACATTATTTTCCACCTCTAAATATAGAACGATAGATGAGACACCGTTTATGCTTCCACATAAAAGTTTAGATCAGAAGACACAATGGACTCTAAAAAGGACTAACAAAAGAGGAATATTCACTAAACAACAGATTCTGTAGATATTGGAACTGACTTTATGAATGTAGGCTGAATTTGCAAGATTAAATTCTTTTTTTATTCATTGTCATATGCTATGCTGGCCTACTTTTTGAAAATGGATTTCAAAGTCACTGCAACTTGCAGTGTTTAATGAATAAATCCTTCTTTATAATACCGTGGGGTAAGTTTTAATCTATCTTATGACAATCATCGACATGTTAATAGATGGCAATGAACCATTGATGTTGTTCCAGCAATCACCAATCTTTTGGACAATAAAAAAAAAAAAATAGTATTGGTGAAAATAAGCACAATACCTTACATTAAACAGTGAAGTTTAAGCAACATGCTACCTTTCTGAAGAAGAGTGATCAACACATTAGCAGAATCATCAGACACTCAACAAATTCAATAGAAACAAATGAGTATACCACCACAAAAGTCTCCACTGAGCTGATGTTGCAAACAAAATCACAAAACCTGTACAATCATTTTTGTTCATCAATGACCGCAAGTAAAAGACAATCACTATAACAAAAAACAAAACAAAAACACACACAAAAATTGATAGAACGACAAATACAAATGTATGCTATACTCAATAAGTCTGATTTGAACAACCTTAAAGAACTATATCCACATATCAATGCCAATTTGGAACACCGCAGATTATTAATACTTGTTGTCTATTATCGAAACTGCACTTAAATGTGATGAAACTGGCAGATCAATTATTTAAGATGGATACATTTCCTAATCTCTTGGTCTAGATCTTAAGATCATGTGTTAAAATGGATTCTAAAGTGTAAGGAATACAAAGTTGTATTCCTTACAATACAGGTCCTCTGTGGCTTTCATGAAACTATCCTCCATCCCCCCCGTCCGGCCTATGTGTCTACCTCTAGCCTCCTCTTGATTGGGCATGGGTCTTACCTTTTTTCTCTTGTGCCGGTCCCGAAAGTTCTTCATTCAGGGCGTCTCCATTTTAGCATTTCCAAGATGGTGGCAGCTGGAAAGGACAGGCACCTTAGACATGTGTTGACTGTCAGGAATGCACACAAGTAAACATAGAGGATCCATGATGCACAGCATTTACCAACACGGCCAACGACAAAGTTGACAAAGCATATGGAGCTTGACAAACAGAAATTCAGAGTTCAGTCCAAATTTTTTCCAAGGGCTACCTTGAGTAATGTTGGTGATGCACAACAGTTAGTTTTATATTATTTTTTTAAAATACTACAGAATTTTATTTTTAACTTCCGCACCTCCCCCATATTGTTGACTGTGGAATATGACATGAAGTTGAATTTAGTTTTACACACAGTGAGATAGAAATGAAAACAAAACCGTGGTTTACATTTTTAAGAGTGTAGCGTACAATTAGAAATGTTAGTTTAAGGTTCTAAAATCTACACTTGCACATAGTGCAGGGTGACAAACATGCTGAAAGAAATTTTTATTTTGGCTTCACTAAAAAATAATTTTCTTATTCAACAGCAGCAAGCACCAAGGTACTGGCTTACATCTACAGCACAGATGGTATCCTGATTACTTGGCCAACCAATGAACAGAAACCATGTTTTATGAGAGGTTGAAGCCTCAAATAGGCAGTAAAAGGAATACAGTGATTAATATTTCCATTTCGATGCATATTTTCAGTCTTCAATAAAAGTGTGAGGAATGGTTAGCACAAATCTGAATATACGTAGAATAGCTTTGTTCCTTTGTGTTAAATTTGAACAGTTTGAATTGATTGTAGTTTTCTAAATTTATATTTTAAATTGTATTTTAGTCAATCCTGTAGTCTATTACTGGTATTGTCGCTTAACATATTCAAATAAACATCCCTTATAAGAAAATGATATGATATTTTGCCAGTACTGTTGGATAAGTATAAACTTGTAAACAGATGGTATATGGTTCCAAGTAGAGTGAGCACGACACTGGAGATTATAAAACAGTTTATAATTGAATATGGCCACTATGTCTTATGTCTTTGATGTTTACATTAACCACTAAATAAGCCACTTTACATTGTTGTCAATACAGTAGCTGTGATTTAATACCAATGTTGGTTTCTACATTTAATTTACATGGATGCTCAAATTAAGTACCGTTTAGATGTGGCTCTTCTGATGATGCACTTTACTCAAAGCCAGGGCACTTTCGTACTTTAAAAAGAATATGTATTCAATATCAATAGATGGCAACTCTGTTAAGTATGGTGTATGTTTGTTATATGTTTTTCCTATTATTTAATAAAAAGATAAATGATAAAAAAAAGTATAAAATGGCATGAGATGGAGATGAAACTAATGACTTTTAAACTTTTCCTGAAAATATAGCTTTTTTTGTACTCTTGTCTATGCATTCTTCGGTTATGTCAATTTCTACAATACAGTGCAGATACCCTTGAGTAGTATAGCCAACCTTTCTAGCAACCATATGCATGTATGTATATATAATATATCCGAGGTATGCAAGTGGTGTGTGTGTTTTTATATATATATATATATATATATATATATATATATATATAATTTTTTTTAATTTTTTTTTGGGGGGGGGAATAATCTCAAGCACACAGAGATGTACACCAGCTAAAAGGAAGGAGGTCAGAGCCTGATGCATGTCAAGGCCACAGTCTTGGATGAAACACAGAACATCCCCAAGCCCATCATGAAGATGAACTGCTAAGGGAATGCCTGAGACAACAATAGATAGAGGATGCAGAAAAGGAGGAGGTCCCATGGCAAGACAATCATCTTCATGGAATGTACCACCAGCAGATATTGGATGTGACTTAGATTATGAAGTCCTACGAGCTGTGGTAAAATGAAAGACCGCACTGAAGCACTAAGCCTAGCAGCATAGGAATACTCAGCACCAGCTCAATATAAGCAGAGGTCTACCACTCCAGACAATATGCAAGTTGCAGATTGTGCACAGAGGCCCCTGAGACAATCCAGCATATAGGAGCCAAGGGCAAGATTTTATCAGGGAAAGCATGCTTGGATTGTGTACTGAAATATTTGCAAAGAATATGGACTGGAACTCCCTAAATCCAGAAGGGGAAAACCAAAAAAGGTAGTTGAGATGGCAGGGCTAATATCCTGTGGGACTTTCAGATCCAGACAAACAAGTAGTGGCCAACCAACCTGACATTGTGGTGGTAGATAAGGAACGGAAGACTGCAGTGGTGGTGGATATGGCAATACCCATTGACCATAACATCAGGAAGAAGGAACATGATAAGGTGGACAAATACCAAGGTTTGAAAGAGAATCTAGAAAGGATGTGGAAAGTGAAGGCAGTAGTAGTCCCAGGTGAAGCCTCAAAGGTTTGAAAGAGAAGCTAGAAAGGATGTGGAAAGTGAAGGCAGTAGTAGTCCCAGGTGAAGCCTCAAAGGTTTGAAAGAGAAGCTAGAAAGGATGTGGAAAGTGAAGGCAGTAGTAGTCCCAGGTGTGATAGGGACACTCAAGGCTGTGACTCCCAAGTTAGGAGAGTGGCTTCAGCAGATTCCAGATGTAACATCTGAGATTGCTGTCCAGAAGAGTGCAGTTCTTGGAAAAGCTAAGATACTGTGCAGAACCCTCAGACTCCCAGGCCTCTAGTAGAGGACCCGTGAATAAGGTATACACCCAAAAATATGTACAACTTATACATAATATATTATTAATAATATATAAATATATATATATATTATAGTAGAAAAAATGGCAGCACTCACGGTCTTCACTAAAAATGTTCTTTTATTTGCAAAGTTAAAACATGGATCGACGTTCCAGTCCCTAAATGGGACTTTCTTCAGTATATTGATCCTGAAGAAAGTCCCATTTAGGGATTGAAACGTCTATCCATGTTTTAACCTTGCAAATAAAAGAAGATTTTTAGTGAAGACCGTGAGTGCTGCCATTTCTTCTTCTATATAGATACTAAAAGTCCCAGGCTTAGCACCCGGCAAGTATACATTATTGGAGCCTGAGTGCAAGAATTTTTCCTAGTATGTATATATATATATATATATATATATACACACACACACCACACCCTGGAGGGGTGAGAACATTAATTTATTTTTGTGTGTAAGGGGCATAGATCCTGATGATGTCACATACTGATGCATCCAATTTAGACTTCAACTATAACTTACCAAATGCATACAAAATGGCTGCGGGCTGGTGAAGGTGAATTACTTTATTATATTTTGGTGTCTAATTTCTCTAAAAACAAAAACTCAAATGTAGTGCTTGAGTTTGACTTGTTAATAGTTTGCAAAATAGCTCTTTTGACTTGTTAATAGTTTGCAAAATAGATTTGCAGATTAACTGCTGGTAATGTCCCTTGAATCAGTGCTTTTAGTAAGCGAGTTCTTTCATTTCTCTCATCACAGCTAGCATGTGCGGTCTCTTTAATATACACAGGCATATTATCAGTCAATGCTTATCCTAAACCGAAAATTAATATTCTATCCATGTTGACTCAATGGGATTTGTATGTTTATTTTAGGATATTTTTGCCCAAGAAGCAAAAATCCTGTTTGTCAACACAGGATATACCGATGTCCTAATGACCTTCTATAAAAGAATGGTAACAGATGATAAGGAACTAATCCACTTTCAGTATATGACAAGGCTGCAATTAATTTTTCTTTTTGGGAAATATGGGCAACTTGGTGAGTCATATTTGTTATTTAGTGGTAAACTCATTATATTCAAAAATAATTTCACCAAACACTCACATATCAATAAAAAGGGATATTTCATGGTTATCCACTAAGGTGAGAATTTTAGGTGAATTCAAAGTGAATTTAAAATTTAAAGCCAAAGTAGCTGCACGGAAAGCATACCGAATTTGGAGTTTTTTTCCATTTTGGCTATTATGACCCTAAATTTGAAATTCACATAGAATTATCACTTCAGTAAATAACCCTGTTACTGACAACAATGAGTATCTTATTGTTATGTTATCTTATTTCCCTCTGTGCGAAGTTAATACATTCTGAATCAGAAAATATAATATTTTCATGCACAGAAACCGTTTTGTTTTTTTTTATGATTGAATTTGTACTGCTGATACAGTGGAATGAGTAATATGCTCATAAGTCATCGCTTCTAAAAGCTTAAATTCAATTTAGATTTTCAGTAGTAAAATATAAAATAGAGACGTGTCTCAGTTGATATCAAGCTCTTTTATGTGAGGATACATGAAATAATCGAGGCAGCGCTAAAACTAACCTGGTCACGGCTCTTTGACTTTTTGCATAAAGTAACAATCTACCCTCTCACAAAGGATTGATAAAAAAAAAGGAGCAAGTGAAAGCCTGTTGGGTCAACTGCCAAGCCATAATTGTAATACAGTTAAGACATCATTGCAGGTGAGCATATCTTAGAATTACTGAGAAAAGAAAACATAAAACAGATTTGAAAGGAACACTGCCCTGACCTGCTCTCTGCCATGCTTAACTCTTTTTGAGAACACCTACTCAGCAATGATATTACTACTTTTCTCAGCACCCCTTTAATATGTTGTTCATGTCAGCTAGTCCCTTGAAGAGATGTACTGGTTGCATCTGGGGCAGTATTGCAGCATACATTCAATGAACTGATAGCTTGCAGATGAACAGGAGTTATGCTTCCAGAGTCCAAGGGGAATATGAAAGACGAATAAAAGAAGTTCCAATTGTATTTTATGTTGTCCCCTCCAGATATATATCACTGAGGAACCATACCTGGATAATGTGAAGCACCTTCATATCCTAAAGTTGGGATTTGCACTTCTCAAGCTTATACTCTGGAGCAGGCCTTATAAGTGTATTCAATTACTTGTACTGTTTTTTCCCCAAAATAAGCCCTAGCTGGATGCTTGATATATAAGCCCTACCCCGAAAATAAGCCCTAGTTGCTAGTTCGCTAATCTATGGAACATAGATTCACGGGGGAATTCCTCAAACGTAGACATGCTTTCTAGCACAGGATTGCTACCGTTTTCCCCTGAAAAAATACTCTCTGTGTTTCATGACATAACGACACTTTGTCAGAGATAGACTTCTGATGAAGTGTCATTAGAGCGTATTCATCTCATATACTGAAACAGATTTCAGGACATATGAGTATTGAGAAATACAGTAGCTGAATTCGTTTTTAGACTAATTATTATTTTATAAGTATAGAAATGTCAAAAATTCTAAAAATACATCCAGAGGGAAAAACCGGGGAAAAACTCACCTCTGAAAAAAAAAAGATAACATAAAATAGCTGTATACTCATGAAATTTACTGAGCAACTTCACACTTAAGTACATCACACCACAGACAAATACCCCATGCCCAGTGAAAAAATTATGTACATCACATGAAGTGGAGTGCAAAAGAAAATCGCTATACATGCAAATATGTTTATACATAAAAACAATATTTTCCAATGTTATTTTAACCTAGTTACTGTATGTTGACAAATATATCTACATATTAAAAGCTCTACTTTGTCAGTTCTAATGTATCTTCTCCCACACTGGAGGTATTGGGAACACAAGCAATAAAGTTGGGTTTGTATTTATTTAACCAAGGCACCACACACACGTTAATTTAGTTAAGTGTGCTACTTAAAAGGAAACTATAGTCACTAGAACCACTACAGCTTAATGTAGTTTTTCTGGTGGCTGTAGCCTGTTCCTGCAGGCTTTTCAAAGTAAACGCTGCTTTTTCAGAGAAAAGGCAGTGCTTACATTGCTGCCTAATAACACCTGTAGGTGCAGTCACACAGACTGCCACTAGAGGTGCTACCTATTTCAGTGCAGGACAGTGTGCAGAGCCTACGTTCAGCATCTCCACACTCTGCATGGAGACTCTGCAGCTATATGAAGAGGCTGAATGCATGTATATAATGAGGCTGATTGGCATGCACAACAGCCTCCCAATGCTTCCCTATGGGAAATCATTGGATTGGCTGAGATCATCAAGGTTAATGATCTCAGCCATGGAGGCGGAGCAAGCTGCAGCAAGATCTGCACTGAGATAGAGCGAAGGTAAGCAAAACAACCTAATTCCTACACTCAGACCAAATAAGCTAGTCCCTCGCTATATGTTAAGATACATTATTATTATGTTATTTATATAGCGCAATCAAATTCCGTAGCGCTGTACAATGGGTGGACGAACAGACATGTAGTTGTAACCAGAAAAGTTGGACACACAGGAACAGAGGGGTTGAGGGCCCTGCTCAATGAGCTTACATGCTAGAGGGAGTGGGGTAAAATGACACAAAAAGGTAAGGATAGTATTAGACTAATGACAGTTGCAGAAGAGAAATCAGTCAGGAGCTATTAACAGTTTAAGTGATACGCTTTTATGCAGAAGTGGGTTTTTAAAGATTTTTTTGAAGGAGTAGAGACTGGGTGAGTATCTAACGGAGGAGGGAAGCGAGTTCCACAGGAACGGTGCAGCCCTTGAGAAGTCTTGAAGGCGAGCATTAGAGGTGGGAGTACGGACAGAAGATAGACGTAAGTCTTAAAGGACCACTATAGTGCCAGGAAAACATACTCGTTTGCCCCCACCCTCAGGGACCGCCTCCTGCCCGGCTCTGGAAAGGGGAAAAGGGGTAAAACTTACCTTTTTCCAGCGCTGGGCGGGGAGCTCTCCTCCTCCTCGCTGCCCCGTCGGCTGAATGCGCACGTGCGGCAATGCTTTCCTATGGACGGTGGCGTGCTCTCACTGTGAAAATCACAGTGAGAAGCACCCAAGCGCCTCTAGCGGCTGTCAATGAGACAGCCGCTAGAGGCTTTGGGTGAATGCTTAACCCATTGATAAACATAGCAGTTTCTCTGAAACTATGTTTATAAAACAATGGGTTAACCCTAGCTGGACCTGGCACCCAGACCACTTCATTAAGCTGAAGTGGTCTGGGTGCCTAGAGTGGTCCTTTAAGCAGATTGTAAGGGCATACATGCTTGTATGTCTAACATTATAGTGTTCCTTTAGTTCCTGTGGACACAATAATGATCATTTTAATTTAACTCCTTTTACATCAAGGGATTATAAATATTTCTTCATATCTCAACAGTCTAAGCCCTGCCATATTATTTGTCATGTAAGGGTTAATGATGTATTTACTTTAATGTGATCAGTACATATTATGTAACTGATGCTTGAGTGACAAGTATGTGATACGCTTTATCACACCATAAGGGATAACAATTGCACTTACTTATATATAACGTAAAACAATCCTTTTAAGAAAATTGCTGAACAGCTATGCTGCGCCTATACACATTATTTATTATTTGTTTTTCATGATTAATTCTTGGTGAATAGGGTGTTGTATTACATGGCTCCAAAGCAAGGATTTGTGATAAAAAGAAGATTCTACAAAAGAATGTATCAAAAATTTGCTGTCTTCTGGGATATACATTTTCTTACATTTTTTTTTTTTTTTTATACGTATTAAATCTTTTGAAATGTGAAGCAAAGGACATTCGCAGGAGGATTGGCTCCACTAAGACGGCACAGATACAGAAAAATACAAGCTTTGACAACTGAATAGACATTAAAAATATGTGCTGTGCTAGTGAAAATAAAATCTGTTTATATAATCCTAGATCAAATGAAATATTTCTTCCAATTAATACATATTTATGATGTTAGTCCTGGGCATAAAAATTATATTCCACTTTAATACAATTAGCCAATTGAGAATTCTTCATAGGCGTTATGAATTAGAACATGCATGTAACATGATGGATGTTCCTTATAATGGCTCAAACTCTCAAGGGAGGATGCAAATAAAACCTATTGTGTGTAGGTTTGGAATTTATCTGAGTCTGATGGCATTCTTATACCTAAAGAGTTGAGTTTTGGGATTTCTTAAGCCTATAAACAATAGGAGTGCAGGAGAACTGATGATATGCCCTGTGATTCTATGCACACGACATTAACCCCGTAAGGACCAAACGTCTGGAATAAAAGGGAATCCTGACATGTCACACATGGCATGTGTCCTTAAGGGGTTAAATGTATCATAAACAGCCCCCATAACAGCCATATTCACATATATTTTTCATTGTGTTAATAAATACTCAACACGAACTATTAAGCTGGATTGAGAGTGAAAATAGAACCCCCCTGCTAATTCAGTTGGTCCCCACTAGCAAAACAACCAACTGTCTCATTTTCAACAGGACAGTACCAATTTCAGGTTCTTGTCCCACTGTTCTGATTTAGTTTCCTGATTGCATCCAGGGACACCAGGGAACCTACCCCGGGTAGCACAGCGAGAGCAAATTATTAGACATTCTCTGCATTGTCCTGTAGGCCAGGAGCCAGCCAAGAGACTGACTTCTGTAAGCCTGGCATGCTTGATGAAGGTGGACATGTCCACTTCCCAGGTGGGCGGCCCATTATGGGTATTGCCATTTTTGCAAGTTGCGTTACTGGCAATGCCAGTGGGCAGGGTAAAATGGTGGCCACTGACGTGAGTCACATAACCAGAACCGCCATAAGGGGAAAACATGCCCAAAAAGGGGGAGTGTCTACCTGAAGAATTAGGTCAGCCTGGTGTAAACGCAGGGCATAAATGCATCTCTCTCCACGCTTTCTAAGGACTGTCTTCTAGCACTCACTTGTCCACTCCTCTCCTTACCTTCTTGCTAGCAGGCAGATGCTTCTATTATGCAGAAGGGAACATGCCAGAGTGTTCGTGAGACTGAGGCAGCAGGAGCATTTGCATAGTGCACAAAGTCAGCTTTACATTAGTCAGTCCACACAAGCTTTGTTCCTCTACATCCCTCTGAAGTTTCCATTTTTAAGCAAGAGTATGTGAAGAGTAGTAAAATAAATATTTTTTTATTTTTATTTTTTGAACAATGGGCCTATTCCATGGGCATGACATTGCTATCCATTCTTCAAATTTTTACCTTCCTGTGGTCACCTCCAAAAGGGCATCTGAAGCTGCGGTGCTTAATCGAAAAGAAATCTGATCTGGACTCTAAACATACATAGTAAAAAGAAGGCATTGGGGGCACACCTTAAACATGCATTTCCAAGCAGTGGTGCTTAGAAGACCAACATTAATGCAAAATACAGATTACCGGAACAGCACACACATATAAATACTGTTTTCAATTTTACCAAGCCAAGGGGTTAAACTTACCGTTGCAAGAAAAAGTGAACCCTTTGGAATGATATGGATTTCTGCACAAATTGGTCATAAAATGTGATCTGATCATCATCTAAGTCATAACAATAGACAATCACAGTCTGCTTAAATTAATAACACACAAAGAATGAAATGTTGCCATGTTTTTATTGAACACACCATGTAAACATTCACAGTGCAGGTGGAAAACGTATGTGAACCCTTGGATTTAATAACTGGTTGAACATCCTTTGGCAGCAATAACTTCAACCAAACGTTTCCTGTAGTTGCAGATCAGACGTGCACAACAGTCAGTTGTAATTCTTGACCATTCCTCTTTACAGAACTGTTTCAGTTCAGCAATATTCTTGGGATGTCTGGTGTGAATCGCTTTCTTGAGGTCATGCCACAGCATCTTAGTCGGGTTGAGGTCAGGACTCTGACTGGACCACTTCAGAAGGCGTATTTTCTTCTGTTTAAGCCATTCTGTTGTTGATTTACTTCTATGCTTTGTGTCATTGTCCTGTTGCAACACCCATCTTCTGTTGAGCTTCAGCTGGTATACAGGTGGCCTTAAGTTCTCCTGCAAAATGTCTTGATAAACTTGGAAATTCATTTTTCCTTCGATGATAGCAATCCGTCCAGGCCCTGACGCAGCAAAGCAGCCCCAAACCATGATGCCCCCACCACCATACTTCACAGTTGAGATGAGGTTTTGATGTTGGTGTGCTGTGCCTTTTTTTTGCCACACATAGTGTTGTGTGTTTCTTCCAGACAACTCAACTTTGGTTTCATCTGTCCACAGAATATTTTGCCAGTACTGCTGTGGAAAGAAAAAGGTGCTCTTGTGCAAACTGTAAACGTACAGCAATGTTTTGTTTGGACAGCAGTGGCTTCCTCTGTGGTATCCTCCCATTAAATCCATTCTTGTTTAGTGTTTTACGTATTGTAGATTCGCTAACAGGATGTTAGCATTTGGCAGTGACTTTTGTAAGTCTTTAGCTGACACTCTAGGATTCTTCTTCACCTCATTGAGCAGTCTGCGCTGTACTCTTGCAGTCATCTTTACAGGACGGCCACTCCTAGGGAGAGTAGCAGCAGTGCTGAACTTTCTCCATTTATAGACAATTTGTCTTTCCGTGGACTGATGAACAGCAAGGCTTTTGGAGATACTTTTATCACTCTTTCCAGCTTTATGCAAGTCAACAATTCTTAATCGTAGGTCTTCTGAGAGCTCTTTTGTGCGAGGCATCATTCACATCAGGCAATGCTTCTTGTGAAAAGCAAACCCAGAATTGGTGTGTGTGTTTTATAGGGCAGGGCAGCGGTAATCAACACCTCCAATCTCATCTCATTGATTGGACTCCAGTTAGCCGACATCTCACTCCAATTAGCTCTTGGAGATGTCATTAGTCTAGGGGTTCACATACTTTTTCCACCTGCACTGTGAATGTTTACATGGTGTGTTCAATAAAAACATGGCAGCATTTCATTCTTTGTGTGTTATTAGTTTAAGCAGACTAAGTCTATTGTTATGACTTAGATGATGATCAGATCACATTTTATGACCAATTTGTACAGAAATCCATATCATTCCAAAGGGTTCACATACTTTTTCTTGCATCTGTATAATGTGCAACTTTTCATAGCAAAACAGAACACATACAGACTACAGGCACCATGACCACTTGAAAACACTGAACTGGTCACGGTGCTTGGAGTAACTCCCACTAATCACAGGTAGTTGCTACACAAAGATTAAGGGCCCCACTGCTACATAGCAGAAAAAAACAGCAGGATGTGATAAAACAGGCAGATCATGGTATTATGCAATTAGCCACATTTAATTAAATTTGGGGATGTATTTTGCTAATCATAGAGTGGGTTAATCTTTTTTATTTTTAGCCGAGGGATAGAGTATGAATCATAACCTACCCCAACAGGACCAAACATTTCATTCACTATTTTCTTTGTATTTAAAATAATAAATGGTCTTGGCACTCTTTCTTACTATGGGACAGTTAGAAAACTCACAAATGTCAGATTGGGGCTTATTTGAAAAAAATACAATGTGGTTCACTTATGTTTGTAACTATTGCATTTTCATTTCAAAATAAAAAACAGTTATCAACTGACATCAGTTGCCATAGCAACAGAGAAAAGTCACTATAAATGGTTAAG